TGGCTGTCGCGCTTGGTGACCAAGTGCCGCTGAGCGACATTGTCGCATGGCGGATAGCTCGACGACACCACGGATCCAGCCATTTGCCTCACTCGGGCAGCGAGAGATCATGCCAAAGAACATGATCCGTCTTTTTTTCTGCTGCGCCTCCATGGTGTTGCGGGCGCCGACCAGGTGTTGAGATTTTGGCACTGTCTGGCGTGCCCCCGCGCCCACGTTCAGCGGTCGGAAGTTCGAAACCATCGCGACTACAGCGAGGTTCAAGTGTCACACACATCGCTACGCGAGTGAAAGGTGGATACAGGCCCGCAGAGTGCATTGCGACAGGCCCGAAGCGCAGTTTCAACGGTGCGGACGGCGTTGCGACGCTCTGACTGCCCGCCGGCGTCGCGCGCCTCGGAGGAGCAACAACAACAGCGCGGACATCCTGTCGCGAAACGGTTGGAGAGTGCCTCATAGAGACAGTGGGGCCCAATGTCTCCTTTGCCTATCCTATCGCCTTGCCTGAAGCCACTGCGGGGTGAAGATCTCGGACGCTGTGCACGAGGGCGCGAAGCCCGCCGACGACACCAACCGTGAACGCGACCGCGCTTCGTTCGCGCCCGCGATTCCACCACTTCGCCAGCGTCAAAAGATCTCAGGAAAGCGCGCGGGCAATGCCCCGCTCGTCGGAGCCCTTGAGCGGGATGCTTTCGAAAGCACTCCCGCCGGCTCATCCTACGAGCGCGCTCTGGATCGCCGCTTGCGCCGCGACGGACGCCTACACAGACGACATACCGCAAGTGATAGCAACGCTTCATTCTGAGCCTGGCTCCCTCTTCGAGTCTGTACGGATCTCAACACCAACGAAAAGCAGGGCTGCGTCCAGGCGCTGAGTGAACCGGGCTCCCCGACCAAGCTCATCCGCCTCCGTCCGCCGCGACATCACTGCTCCTCTCCCTCCACACAAGACTTCGCGGGCCGACCGTGGCCAGCAAGCGTCCGCTATAGCTGGCAGACAAACACGCATGAGATACATTCATCGCAGGCAGGCCGCGCAGAAGGAAGACGGGGCAGTCGAGCAGAGCCACTGGACACACGCACAAAGACCGACCGCCGCCAGCTCGAGCTTCGTCGGCGTATCGAAGCAACTCATGAAGCGCTGCAGTGCTGAGAATAGCTCTTCCTCGAAGACCTGCGCAGAGGCAAGTCGATCAACGAAAAGCTGATCTTGAAGATCAGGAAAGTTTCCAAAAATTCCTGCCTTGCGGCAAAGATCCATACGCAGTGAGGTTCCAAAAATTCTTGCCTTTCGGCAATAACTAAATGCAGTGTGTTGTGAAGAAAAAAAAAAGGAAAAGAGGACTCAAGACGGAGAAGGGGAGGGGTTTTTGTACCTTGGGCGGAGCATGGTTGTCCCGGACACACGGGGGAGGGCCGGCTGGCCAGGCAACCGGGCGGTGCACCGTCTGCCAGCGCCGCCCTTCCGCAAGAGGTAGACATGATCGCCCGGCGATGCGGGTGGCCGGCGGCGGTGATGCTGGCTCACGCAGATGCTCCATTCTTCGGGTTTTCAGGACCCTCGATTCCTTCTAAGGGAGCGGGAGGTCTGGTCGTGAATCTCATGCGCATTCGCGTCTGCGGATGGTGCTACTATTGCGGAACTTGCTCGATAGCTAACCCCGGAAGATGAGAATGTGCCTGCTGCTGTGGGTTGGAGTTCCGGAACAACTGGTTCTGAACACACTTCTCCGAGAGAGCTTGCACGGGCCGAGGCCAGCGTAATGAGTAGACACTTCATGACTTGCAATCGCCCCAGCTGCCAAAGCCGGAAAGGGTATGGCATGCCGCCCGAGATGAAGACTCAACTGCATTTGAAGTGACTGCAGGTATTTGCAGTGATTGGTTGCTCCCTTCGTTTCTCCCGCCAGGTTGTCAAATGGTCTGGCCCTGCCGCTGTCTTTTCGCTGGTATGGTTACCATTCACACAGGTCTCTTTTATGGTGAAAGTGACTGATAAAGGGATATTATGCTGTTTGTTCTACGGAAAGCCTACTGACGGCTTGTGAAAGGTCATGTTGCACAACCAAGAAATGCTGTCTGCCTTCCTGAAGCGGCCGCCCGTATTGCATCATTTACCTCAGAACAGAGCAGAAATTATATGCAGGGAGTGAACCAGTGACATTTGCGAGCCCGGAGCTGCCATACCTTTCGGACAGTCAATGATCAGCGGGAGAAGTCACTGCAGAGGCCAAAGGGGCGCTCCGTGTATTCAGAACCAAGGGTTCATGGAGGGACATGAAACAGAGGACAATCCTTCCAGACCCCACCAGAAGCTCTTTTTGCACTTAATGATGAGTGACGGCCAAAGCAGGCCATGGATTTGGTGCGATTAGATAAGGCCCAGAGCATGTGGCGTGCATACAAGCAATTACCCCTTGCATGAGCATGTCAAATCGACAAAGCTTGTCCGGACCTAAGGCGCCAAGCGATAATTCGGAATAGCTTGTTATATGCAGCTAATTTGCGAATGGGAAGCTCACGTACAATGTGCAGTTCTGCATGTGGGGCTCTGTTTGGGTGTCGCTGCATCTCCATCTCAGGACCTTTTCGCGGGCCGTCGTGACATGACTTGCACAGAGGTGGCGGCACTCATGATCCGCCTGGGAAGGCGTGCAGGTGTCCGAATATCTCCAGCCGTCTCAGAGTGAGTGGCTTTACTAGAATATGGAATTGCGCAGCATTGAAATTCGTGGCGTGCGTATTTTTGCAGCGATGCGACGGCTTGGAAGGCATGGTCGTGCCAGACCACCTCGATTTGGATGGTACAAGCATGGAAATATGACGAAAAACTTTTTGTGGCCACCTCATTGTGGCGAGCTGTTCGCTAGAGCGCCCACAAGCGGCATGCGAGCGGGCGAAGAGGGTGTCTTTGCAACTGCGATTCTATCAACCGTCGCAAGTCCTCACAAGGGGTGCTCAATACCCTTGACAAACACCGAAAAGGCGGCCTTGCTGCGTCGCACCACGGACAAGAGCCCTGGAAAATGCTGCGCTGTCCCCCAGGGTCGTGGCTTTGATCAAAACCAGTCGCAGACATGACTCCCGCCTCACCACTACTTCAAAGCCGCACGGTCGGTCCGAAGGCAACTTTGCACCATCCAAACCACGCTCATGCGATTTACGGCATCGAATTTTAGGGAGATTTCCTCAAGATCTCCGCATTTGCTTTACATTCAAGGCCAGAGTCCTTCGCGCCGCCTCGCTCTCTGAACCTCCGCCTCCACTCCTCGCGATCCGCGCGACACTGCCACTGGACGCATCTGCCCTACACTAGGATAAAGTAGATGAAGGGACGGGGACCACATTTGCTAGCCATGAGCGACACCGGCGTAGCGTTTGTCAGCAGGGCCTTCGCTGATGCCAGCATCCTGTCGCTGCACCTCCAAGTTAACGCGACTACGTCCGCTAACCATAAGTCCAGAGGTCTAGCGACCCTTTATTCCTATCTCTCCCCTTCTTGCGACGCGATTCAGCAAGTGCGGGGTCGCGCAATGGCCGGGCCTGCGCCTATGCTCGCAACGGCTGGAACGCCAGCAAACATCACTGCATCACCTTCTCACCCCGACCGCGCCAAGCGCCTGGAGAGACTTGAAACCTCTTCGCGCCATGACGGCAGCTTTTTCGAGTGCGTACATCCTCGGATTATCCTGAAAGTGTACGTCTGGTAAGTAGCTTCGGCTTTGAAGGACGGACTCGATCATGACTCCAACACTGAGATGATCCTCAAGCTTACGTCAAAATTGCAAGCTAGAAAAACCCCATGATTAGTCGACTACACTTTCCTCGAGCGAATTATGAGAAGTGTATGCCTTAGCCAACGAACGACCTGCGTGTTCTTTGAATAGTTGTGTTCAAGAGCTATCTCCTATCGACTTCTCTGCCTCTCCGCGCTGCGACGAGCCCGCCCTTTTCTTAGGGAAAACGCGCTTCCGAAATCGATTGTGCGTACTAATATAAGGTGGCAAGCTCACCAGATTCTGGCTGCTCTTCACGATGTTGGGCCCTCAAGTCAACTAAGTCCAGGAGACGAAGAGTGACTCCTGTCTTCCGCTAATTTGAATCAGGAACGAGCTGTCCCTTGCTCTGAAATCAGTCCCATTCCCGCGTGGCGAGGTCGAGAAAACAAACGATCCGTCACTTCACCATACCGTCCTCTCTTCCGACCAGCCGTTGCCGATTCTTTCCGAAGGCCATACAAGGTGATAACACGTTGGGAGTGGAAATAGACATGGCAAAAAAGTCAAGGTCATGAGGGAGCAACATTAGGGTTGCCAGGAAGCATGGCAAACACTGCTGCAAGTTTGTCTCACAGCGGACTGGGTGTTGCTTGTTAGCACGTCCTGAAAGGTTTGGAGAGACAGGCAGATCCACAACACCATGTACAAGCCATTACGTCCTCACACCGAGGCCTCAATTGTGATAAATGGGCCCGAGCTGCTGCTGCTACGGTACAAAAGAATATTGGAATAGGAGCTAACAAACCTACATAGAATCTCAGATTCTGGTGGATGTGTCATAGAAGACTGCACTGTCGGATCGCTAAAAGCGCACATTTCGGAAGATTCCCCTTGCAAACCCTATACGATGAGTCGAACAAACTTTCTTTCTCGCCTCCACTACCCCGAAATACAACGATGATCCGGGTGATTTGCCAGCGGAGATGCAGCTATTGCTCCAAGATAGCGACCTCCGAGGGGCGCTTTCCCTTATACGAGAGCTTCTACAAGCAATCAGGAAGCGTCTTTCGGTTCATCGAATCTGTGGTATTATTTGTGAGGTGGGATACTCGTAAGTCAGATAGCATAAGTCCAAGGTGCTGATGATGTGACCGCTTCAGTGATCAGGCACGCTGGGCACTAAGTGAGCATTGTAGAAGCCATATACCATTGTGGGACTACAAGGCATAGCTGACAGTTGCTAGCAGACTTTGAATTAAAAACAAGAAAGATTCTGGATATTTACGATGTCAACCGCAGCGCTGCTTTGATCCTTCTCTTAAGCTCACCAGCCATGGCCTTCCTGGTCGTCGCTGTCCTCGTCGCTGCATCCTTGTTTTCTGCCGCCCTTCGCAATAGGAACTGCAGACACTCACCCGCCGTACCCCAGCAAAGACATTTATATGCCTTGGGGATATCGATCTTCCTCCAAAGTGGACCATAGGCGCCGTGAGCCCCTTGTTCAGCCATAGCTAATTTCCCTGCCTGCACCAGCTCACAGCCAACTTCGTCCGCCATGCCCATGAGCTGCGCGTAAGCCAACGTAATACGTGGCTCGGCAGCGGCCACTTGTTGGTTGCGAATTTCTTGGGCTCGCCGTACAGATTCCGCATTGTGTGTGGCCAGCACCAAAGCAACTTGTGGGAAGGATTCATTGTCAGAGCCCGGGGCGGGACGCAGCACTTCGCCGTACTGGCGTCGGAGTAGGGACTCGGCCAACGAGTTGTAGACTCTGTCCGTTTCGGCCTTGCTAGACCACACCTGGCTCTTTGGCTCGGATGCTAGATAAGCGCCACGAACCAGCTTGATGCCAATGGTGTAACTGTGCTCACGGGCATCGGCAAGATGGCGCGCAATTTTCTCAGGTGTCGACTTCAGGTAGGCTTGGTAAGTGTTGTACATAATGGTCTGACCGGTCTCGTGGCGATTGTACTGTCTTTCCAGTGCAAGCGTCCAAGTGTCGATACCCGCGTTGGTGATCTCCTCCTCGGCTCCGGGAAGCAGTGCGAGGTTCTTGGCCGCTGCAGCGTCGCAAACCTCGCGAATGGCAGCATCCATAAGAGGTGTAGGTGGCTTGTTCTGTTTGAGAAGATGGAGGGCATAACGGCCAAGACCAGACCACCTGCGATCCTGTCAGTAATGGCAGTGAAGAGAGTGGCTACCAAGAAGACTCACTTCAGTGCTGCAAACTCTCCTGGTCCAGCCATCTCGACAGTGTACAACATTCCTCGCCTCCACTCTTCTATCTCGCGCTTCGTCTCTGGACTGTCTGCGCCAGGAACTGGGCCATGTTCGATGCCATCGAGCAACACTTCGAGTGCATACTCGAGGATGATGCCATGATAGCCCACGCCCTTCACGGCCTTGGTCGTTTTCGCAACCTCAGCGCCATTCTCTCCGGCGCAGAATTGAGAGTAGAAGGTTTTCTTCAGCACCCAATTCAGAGCGCGATTCTTATCGGGATCAAGCAGCGCTGTCTTCGGAGTGGCAAGCAACTGGAGTCCCCAGAAGAATATCCCCCACAAGGCAGGGGACGACGATATACGGGTGATCAAGTAGGTTCGAATGACGTTCTTAAGCGGAAGGTAGGCCAATGGGGGCTGATGTGTCACTGCAGCGTGCGCTGGCGTGTGTCGTGGAGTCTCGGGCAATGGCGGTACTGCTATGGTGGCAGCTTTCGGCTTGGTTGATTGGACATATCGTCGATTGATGGATAAGACGTGGATCTGAGGTTTCAAAAGGGGGCGCACGGGGTAAATGCGGGGTTTCATTGACATAATGTTGCCGTGTAGGTCTCAAAGATGCGCAAAGTCAACTCAACCCTCTGTTTCTGAGGGATGAGCATACCGGCTTGGGGTACATGATATATTCAGCCTGTGTATCTATCGTGTGGTACAGATGCGTCGCCAACCACATGAGGAATGCAGTTCCCGTCGTCTGGTCGTATCAGTTGTTGTTCCAACCCCTCCCTGCAGCGGCTATTCGCGGAGCCCCCATCTTTATCAACAGCGTGTCCACGCTCCGATAAGCGGGGTACGGACATGCCTTTCCGCGCCCTCGATTTATCGCAACTCCATAAGCGCAACACGTCATTGGTCGCGCTGGATCTAGACGACGTTGAAACAGACGTACGCTTCCCCACAGTGATCTACTTGTGTCGGGAGAGAGCCGGCCTTGTCACAGGGCATAGGGCGTGGTTGGCGTCCGAAATCGCTGCGTATCCCACTTTTGGGGGCGTGTTGGATGGTTCGCCGTGCGGAGGATTTGCGGCGGGGTTCCGGTTACTTACCTTATTTAAGCCTGCCCGCTGCCCACACGAATATTTCTATCAGCACTTCAACCATCCATCCTCTAGCAATAGCGAGTCGGACCAAGCCAAAAGCACAACGGCTCTCTTTTGAGTTTGACAGCTTCCCGCCCCACCCTCAATCGGACATGTCGTGGTGCACGGCAGGAGTATAAGCAGCAGTAGTTGGCGCAAGAACGTTATTGGGTTTCACACGCAGACAACTCATGCGGCCAATGGTGGTTCCATGAGCGCACTGCAAGAACCCCTAACGGCGGAGCTCTTTTACTGCTTGACATCCATCAGTATCCCTCCACAATGCCTCGGTGTGTCGGCACGGCCGAAAGGTCCCCACAAAACTAACAACGCCGAATGTGACCCTTGAGTACCCACGTCACTGGCGATCTTCTATCTTTATAACTCCGAGATTTGGGACAGCAATGCGATCCGAGGGTGATTGACGGCTGCTAATTTCATGGGGGTCGCACGTGGTTAGCTTGAGCTCGATCACGGCCGTACCTCGACAGGACCCCACCGTACCGTGGTGATGTTGCACTTGCCACAGGTTGTTGGTGGCGACCTGAGCTCGTTATCTCTTACATCTGGACATACTCCACTTCACATGCCTGTCTAGTGGTGGGAACGGAAAATGGCATATTCCGGCAGGATGTGGGCTGTCTGCAATGGTGGTCAGGACCAAGGGCCCAATCGTGCTTAGCGCTGTCTCTGCGTGACACACGAGAAATGCCGATCGCTCGCCAGAAACGAAGCTTCAAATGTCCGCGGGCTCATGCGCCTTCGTCGACATCTCGATCCGATTCTATATGCAGCCGTGACGACGTCAGGGACATTGGAGTACACCGTCGTGTCGGCGGACAGGGACACGCTTGGAGCATGGTGCGCGGAGCGGCTGAGACGAAAGGCCCGGCAAAGGAGCGAGAGCCGAAGATTTCGAGGATGGAAGGCGTGTGGATGCGCATATCAGAGTGCTCTTGACCCTCGATCCTGGGCTTGCGTGTCGAAATTCAGGGAAACAGCTCCGCGGCCGTTCCGCTTGCGCCTGCCGCTGAGCCCGGCGGCGCCGCAAGCAGTAAAGCGTGCTCGCGTGCGAGGGCGCGGTGGGCAGAATTCGGCGCGCCGTCCCGGAAAGACCTCATAGCGCGCTGCCTTTGCATTATCAATTTTTTATCTGATCTTTCGCCCGATCGGTATATAGCATCTCTCCTGTCAGACAGTGGTCAGTTGCAGCCAGATTAGCACAGCTCCTTCCCGCCCGCGCCCTCTCGCAGCAGCCTGCCGCTAGCCAGGCACTCGCCCGATTGCGACAGCGCCTAGTGCTCCCACGCCGCCTCCCAGCGCCCGCGCCAGCGCCCTGCGACCAGCCGCTCACCGCGCGCCAAATTTTCCGTGGACCAGGCTCGGGCTTGCTCGAGCGAGCTATGGCCGGTTGTATATCGATAAGCGCAGAGTCATAGCACCTTGAGGGCTGAATTTCTTCTGCCGCCCCCGCCGCCTCCGACTCCGACAACCTTCTCCCCGCCACAGATTCCGACCTGCGACATCGGACCAGTGCGAGACACAGGTCGCGAGAGGCCCGCACGCATGGCTGCGCAAACCTCGCCCTCCACCAACGGCGGGCCCTATTCCGCCTACGCCGCCAGTCCGCCCACGCCGCGCCACCAGCTCAAGCGCTCCCAGAGCAGCGCCGGCTTCGAGAGCTCGCCCGCGAGCCAGCATGACGACGATGACCAGGCCCCCTCCAAGAAAGCCGCCCAGAAGCGCGCTTGCAACGAGTGTCGCCAGCAAAAGGTACGTCGGTGAGGGCTGCCCTCTCGCCTGCCGCACTGGCGCTGCGCCGAACAGCGCACCCGGTCTGCAGCGCAACCCAGTCCGCAACCCGTCGACCACCCGCTAACGCTGTCTCAACCCCGCAGTTGAAGTGCGACGTCGTCCAAGACCCCTTCACGCCATGCTCGCGCTGTCGCAAGCAGAACCTCACCTGTCAGGTCTCTGCAAACTTCAAGCGCATCGGCAAGCGCAGCCGCCATGCCGAGATGGAGCGCGAGGCGATTGACCTGAAGACCCGCGTCAAGGAGCTTGAGCAGCGCGAATTTGAGCTCAAGCAGCAGTTGTCTTCGCTCGGTGTCGCGCCCTCGGCTAACGTCGCCGTCCCCGGCCCTCACGGCCTCGCTCACGACAACGGCCAGTCGACAATGTTCCAGAATTTCCTCTCCAATGGCCAACAACAGTCACAATACTCGGGAGGAACCCACGATGACGCTGTGTCGTCGCTGGTGAGCTTGAAGCAGGGTTTCGGCGGTGCGGGCGCCTTTGACCGCAACCACGCCTACAACCTGGGCGCCGTCTACCTCACCACCGAGCAGGCCGAGGAGCTGTTCCGCGATTATTTCGCCCACTACCACCGCTTCCTGCCCCTGCTGGACCCTAACCAGAGCGTTGAGTCATATATGAACCAGTCCAAGCTCCTCTTCTGGACAGTCATAGTGATAGCCGCTCGGCATTGGCCCAAGGACCCGACTCTCCTGCAGAAGCTAACCCCCTCGTACCGTGCCCTGCTGTGGACTACCATTTCCGATGTTCCGCAGACGTACCATGTCGTCAAAGGCATGTGCTTACTGTGCACCTGGCCCCTGCCAGCCAGTAGCACCACCATGGATGAGACCTTTATGCTTGCTGGAGTCATGATGCAGATCGCTATGCACCATGGCCTGCACCAGCCATCCCATGCCCAAGACTTCTCGCGCACTCACGTCCAGCTTAGGGATGATGAGATCAAGGACCGCCTGTCGACATGGGCGGTGTGCAACACGGTTGCGCACTGGCAAGTCACCTGACTAGTCCATGGCAACTTATCCTGCTAACTGCGTCACAGCGTTTCGGTCGCCTGTGGACAGCCCTCGACCACGCTGTTCGATTCGGCCTTGTCTTTCGAACACGACCACATGGATCGGCTTCCCGAACCCCTGGTCAATCACGTCATGCTCGAGCGCTCGGCGGCCAGGATCACCAAAGCCCTGTACAGCGACTCCGGTAGTAGGACCTTCTACGACGACAAGTCTATCCTGATCAACTATGAGACAACAAATCTGAATGATCTGGAGGCTCGTTTGCGGCAGTTGAACTTCACCGGTGAGCACCATCGCCCGACATCCCCTCGTCTCGGTTCAAGTCATGCATCTTCAAGTCAGATGAGGCCTCTAACTGTGCTAGACCTTGACCTACTGTACCTCCGTGCGGTGCGTCTTAACCTTCAGCTCTATGCCTTTTTCAACAAGCAAGAGCATGGCTGGCATCAAGACCTGCTGCATCTTCTCCTTGCTGCTAACCAATTCCTCGAGTCCATTTTCTACGTCGAGGAGCAAGCTCAACTGGTCTATGCCACCAATTATATTTCGCAGATGATGGTCGCCGCTGGTTTCACTCTCCACCGCCTGCTCAACTCTAATTTTGCCAATACCATACCTCCGCAGCAGCTCACCACCTCGCGCGCCAACTTCACTCGTCTCATCACCTGCATCCGGAAGACGTCTGTCCGCAACAACGATCTGCCCCAGCGCCTAGCAGAAGTACTGGCCCAGCTTTGGAAAGCAGGTGGTTCGGGAAGTCCGAAGCTATCCGATGTCGAAAACTATCGCCTGCAGCAAGGTCCCACCGTCGATGTCTCCATCCACCTGAAGGTCAGGTGTAGGATGAGTATGAGTGTTGTTTTCGACTCGATATGGCACTGGAGAGAGCACTTCCGCGGCAAGGGCCAGATGGGCAACCTCGATACCGCTGTGAACAACCCTACAGATCCCGAGACGAGCAACTCGACAACGCCGGCCCCATCCCAACGGCTTGGACAATCGGGACAAGCACACGACACAGCAAGCACCAGCACTTCCGTTTCATTGGACCCGAACCTACCCACGCTGAGCTTGCCGACGATGAACAACAGTCTGAGCATGGGCAATGCTCCCGAATTTGGCCCTGTCGGCAGCAGCACTTTCGCCGATTACACGACCGACTTCTTCGACCCAATGAGCAGCATACTCAATGACCCTGTCTTCTTCAGCAATACGGCTTTTACGTTCTAGATAACCTGTGGATGACCAGATTCCGGGGAAGATTGTGATACCACTGACGTTTCCTTCAGGAGATGTCTTCTTCCTAATGTTTTTCTTCTCCCGCTCATGAAGTCCATGAGATTGGTCACTTGTTCATTCTCCAGATATTCCGTAGCCTTGAATTTCTGTCTTGTCGTTTACTTTTTGTTTTTTTTTTTTGGTTTCTTGTCGAGGCAGGTAATATCCACAGAGACGATATCACGAGGCATGGATAAGATGTTGAGCAGGCAAGTTGTGCCCGCAGTTTCTAGCAATGGGCATATCCGGGTAGGGTGCTGGTTCATTGCATTTACATTATTCTCCAAAGAGATTTGGCAGCGGCACATACTGGGAGCGCAAGGCGTTAGTTGCTTACTTGCTTCCAGCCGTCTGGCATTGGACGGGGGGAATTCTCCACTCACACGTTGATTCTTAAGAGGAAAGCATTCATGCAGATTCTCAACGGTAGGGTTTCACGGCGGACTGTGGAAGTAAAGGGATTTTCCGGATCTTGTGGATATGGTATATGGGGGGCTGGGAGGTTCTCTTAGCTATTGCTTTTGCTAGCTATTCCCGCAGGCTGCTATCACGACTTCGTGGAGTGGAACTAGCTGACTTAAATTGATTACCAGAACGGTAAGGCCAGGTCTCCACAGGTAGGTAGGGTAAGCTATCTAGACGGGAATGAAAAAATAAAGTATATCATGAAAACTGTGCTCAAGGATGCTTGTGATGGTGATATGCTTAAGGGTGTGTTGTTAGAGCTTAATACCCTAGCGTTTCTCCGCTGCGGGGGATTGCCCTTGAGCTCGCAAATTGGCCGAGTTTTCAGGCATAAAGGAGTGAAGTCGAATGCGGATCGTATACACATTGCTATTTACACATTTAGGGAACGATAGGTATGTCCAATTACTTCTTTGACATTCCTGAACACCAGCCGGTAATACAATAATTGTTGGCCCCGTGCTCAAGACTTTTTACCTTCCCTCCTTCCAGCCAATAGGTATAAGTGCTGCCGCGACCTGCTGGACGCCCCGTTCGGTCGCCAAAAGGTTGAACTGAGCAGCCGCATTCCTGGTGTCCGAAACCTCCAACCGGATACCCAGATCATTGATATGTTTCCTTGTAGTCGGCGAAATGGGCACGACCGTCGCACCCGTGCCAATGATGAGCAAATCTACACACCACAAGGTCAGCAAATTACTTTTCAACCTCCAGTTATCACACTTCATCCGAGGACTCACCGGGCTTCGGCCACACCACCTCCAGTACGCCCCACGCGCTCTGATCACACTCCCACATGCCCCTCTGATCTCTCAACTTGCCCTTACTACCTCCAGCCACCTTCTTCCCACCCTCAACGCCATCCCCCGCAGCAGCGGCGGCCCCCTCCTCGTCGCGTATCCACGGCCGCCACTTGAAGGCGTCGCCCGCGACCAGCAGCACGCCGGCGTTGGACACGTGCAGGCCGCTGTTGAGCGAGAAGCCGTCGTCGAAGGTGGCGTCGATGGCCGTCGTCGGCGCCGGCATGTTGGCCAGCACGTCGAGCTTGTGGAAGTCGGTCTGCGTCTCTTCGGCCGACGGCGGGCCGCGGTCGTGCGAGCGGGGTGGGTGCGAGCGCTGGGAGTGGGCGGTCGTGTTGAGGTTACGGAGGAGCAAGGGCGAAGTGTAGCGCGGGGAGAAGCGGTGGTGGAGAGGGCGGCATGAAGATGCGCCGGCAGTGCGCGCGGAGAGGTGGGAGGATGCGGCGCGCAGGGCGCGGGCGGGTGTTGATGGTGGCATTTTGTGTGGTTGTGGTTGTTTGTGGTGGGTGGAAGGAAGAGGAATTTGGTGGAGGTGGAGGGGCAATTGGATGGCGCGCTCCGTGGGGACGTGGCGGCGTTTGTCGGCGTCGAAGCTTTGGTGTTTTACATCATGAGTAGCTGATGACTCGCGTCATGCAGACGGCCCAAAGAGCTGGTCCCTTGCCAGCGTCAACCGATAACTTCGGACGTCTAGCAAATTTGGCAACGTTCCTGCCATTGCGGTTGTTGTCAGTTGCCGTAGCGTATACGGTCGGCTGCCTAAACCTCCGCTACATCCTCCGCCGACGCCGCCCACTGCCTGCTCGCCATCCCCACCTCACGTTTTGCTCGCGCATTCCGAGCCACCCTCCACCGAAGTACACTTGAGTGGAGTTTTGGCTTGCTTTAGCCTTTGGTAAGCTCCATCTTCACTTTGTGCCAACGTTACAAACATTTGCGTTCCAATGCGTGCCGCCACTTCTTTGTGATTGTTTCTAACAATTGCATCAAAGCTTCCGAAACACCCTCCCCAGTAAAACTTTCACGACCAACGGCCGCACATCACCAACACCACCTCGTGGAACACTGTTTAACGTACCACGACATCACGCGCCTGCACGCACTAGCGCATCCACCAATATCCACATACATACATACACATCATGCCGGCCATCACGCCCTCGAGCACGACATGGACGCTCCGCCTCAAGCACAATAAGACCACGGTGCTGCTGCACGTCGACGCGTTGCAGACGCTGGCGTCGGTCCGCGCGGAGCTGCTGCACTGCCTGCGCGAAACCTGCCCGGAAGGCATCGCCGGCAAGCCGCTGCCCGCCGACCCAGCCGAGCTGCAGCTGGCGAAGATGCAAGACTCGTCAGACCCGGACAAGGGATGGGTGCTGCTCACCGGGACGAGTTCCAGCGGCGATGATGGTGATTCGAAGGGGAAGGGTAGGGCCAAGGCAGCGGCCGCTGGTGAGGGGAGCTTGAAGGCGGAGGGCGTGAAGGATAACGCCGTCTTGGCGTTCAGATGGGGCGGAGAGAAGGGGACAGGGCAGGGTGATGAGGGCGGGATGGAGATTGAGGAGGACGGGGATGATGCGTGGGATGTGGTGCTGCCGAAGTACGAGGATACGTACATGGACGGGCTGGAGGACGAGGGAATAGCAGAGTGATGGTGCTGCAGGTGTGAAGGCATTCACGAGCTTGGAGGGAAATCATGGCTTTAGGCTGATGCAGACGGGGTATGGCAGGATGGCAGATCAGGCATGGCTTCTGGTGTTGGCGAGTCGGGCTACTGGGGATATATTGCATTTCTCGGCGTTCCTGGCTACTACAAATGATATCTGGACCGGCAACGTGGTTCATTCGCATTTCCAAATGCCAGCCATATTGTGCTCGTATTATAATAAGCAAGTGGAGTACTTCAGCGCAGCCCTAGAAACGTGGCTGCTGTCAGCGGCCCATCAACAGTGGTAGCGAGAAGCCACCGCGTTGTCGGACGTTTCCAACGTCCTGGTGGAGCACATCTCCGAGAAGATCTGCATTGTTGCCAAGGTTAGCGGCCTCTCACGCGCACAGTATGCGCCGCAATTACGCGCCGAATGACTCACTGATCTCGACACAATTGGGCGACACGCGAGAGAATCCACACCTTTTTTTTTGAGGCCAGAGCTGCTGACCAGAAGCTCCCAAGCTCCCCTGCATGTGCGGCTGAATGGTAACAGGAATGTCCCATGTAAGCAGCGCCCCGAGGCTGTGAAGGTGGGCTGGTGTCGTGCTACGAGCTGACGGTGCCTGCGCCGTCTGAACAGGGGCCGACCAGGATGAGACGAGCGGATAGGCTCGCGGGAGCCAGGAACCCGTCTTGCGCGAGCTCGTCGGGACTTTTTTTTTTGTTCGTCTCTAAGCTAAGCTTCGCGCGAAACAATTCGCGCCTCATGTGCGATAAAGGAGGCGGCGACTGCAGGCGCGGTAGACCGGCGCGCTTCGAAGTCGCACGGCGGCGCTGGCAGCACTCAGGCGACGCAGCGCAGACACAGGCGCGATGCTTCGGGCGGTGGTGAGGGCGGAAGCGCCGCGCTTTGGTCGAGGATCCCCCGGAGTGGGTGCGTGCCGATCGCGGTAGGACCTTTGGGTGGTCTGCGGTGACGTTTAGCCACGCGCGCCCACAGGGACCTCCGTCACCATTCCATTGACGTCGCGGGCCCGGCCCAGCCATCAGCTGCGGGCGACACTGCGAAAACGGGAAGCTGCTGGGGCGAGGGTACGCGGCCTAGCCGTTCCAGAAAGGCCAGCCAAGCCGCCTCATTGGCCTCGAGCAAGCTGCAGCTGCACAAGAGAAAAAGAGGGGACTACTGGCTGCAGCGGGCACGCCCCCAACTATCCTCCCAGCCGGTGCTCGAGTGCCGTTTCGCTGCTCTCGCCCGTCTCGTCCTCCGCTGCCACCCACCCATTGCACCTCGCTGCGGCCTGACTATCGAGTCGCTCGCCTCCCGTCGCGGTCCGGCGCTCGCTTTGCAGCCGTCGCCCTACATCAGCGAGCGAATCACCGCACACCACCCACCAGACCTACCGCGCTGTGTACCTCGAATATCCCACACTTCGCCAGTCCATCATCGCGCTCCCTCACCACTTTCTTCTGCGTCCCACTCTCGCTGAATTGGCCGGCCCTGCGCCCTCGACCACGTCGGCGGTCTCGACTTTCGCTCGCCCAGCCAAGACTCGCCAAAGGCGTCCAGCCACCGGGGTTGCCTGCACCGCGCCGCTGCTCGTACCCACTGAAGCCGCTCGAGGCACGCCCAACGGACCTCTGCACGGATGGGCAGGGAGCCCGGACCAACAATACAACTCAGCAGCGCGGGTCGCCATAGCTTGTCGACGCGGGTCGTAAGAGGCCCACCGAGGCTGTAGGGCGGCGTTTCATCTCAGAGCGTAGCGTGCCGCGTTTCGAATCTGGCCCGCGCAACAGCCTTTTCCCTCGCCTGGCCATCGCCATGCCGTCAGCTCGGCCCCAGGACGCCTATTCACTGCTGGAGCAATCCTTCAACGACGCGCCCCAGCTGCGTGCTCACAAGCAGTTCCCGCGCCGGCAAGACGACCACCAAAACGTCTTTCCCGCCGCCGCGCCTGTCCGTACGTCTTCGTACCATGACGATGAAACTTCGACTCAGTTCAGTTCCGCCAACTCCACTCCACTAGCTTCTCCACTTGCTCCCCCGCCACTGGTAACTGGACACGACAACGGCCTGCCACCCACTCCGCCTTCCGCTTCGAATGACGGTGCCCGCCGGGACACGTCCGGTACTCCACAGTTCGCCGACGGCGTCATGGACAATCTACTTTCCAAGCAGCCTTCCATTCGGACCCCCATAAACCAGCGAAGTCCTCCGACGCCTGATCCAAGCCCACCCCGATCTACGCGATCCGGCCAGAAGACCCTTCCGCCTCCAACCATCCGCTACCCGTCATCCCGCGCCGATTCGTTCACCACGGCACGAAGCCACCTCGAGTCGGAGGATAGCGAATCGCAGGCCTCGTTCCACGACGCTCTGACCCCGAGACAACAAGGCGGGGAGCATGCGAGGGAGTCAAGACAGAGGTATGACGGGCTCGGATTGGCCTTTGAGAGCGAAGCAGGCGATGTCACACCCACGGAACGCAACCCGTCCGGCCTACCAGGCTACGAGGATTCTCCCTCGTTAGACGGCACGTGGGCGAGCAATGGACGTCGTGATCAAATACCAGATCGGGAGTGGGACACTAATTTCATGAGGAATGTGGCAGTTCGGCGCAAACGTCAGGAAAAGCCCCCCAGGACCCCGCCTGAGCAGACTTCCCCCCGGGACTCTGGTCTTGATCTTTCACCTATCTCCATCATGAAGAGAGGTCAAATTCCCGACGACCGAGCTGGCGATATCAAAAGACATGCACGGAATCCAACATTGGACAGGTTTGCCCAAGACATCGGCTGGCCCAGTGACGCAGGTGAATCACCCAAGACCGACTCCAAGCGTTTCTCGACCGCCTCTAGTACGTCGACGGTTGTAGAAGCCGTTGTTGTGGCCACACCACCGGAGCGCCACCGCATGCTTCGTCATGCAGGGAAGAACCTGGCTCTCCGTCAAAGCAGCGACACGACGTTCGAACGCTCCGCGACTAGACGCGCGCACCGTGCCTCCCTCCTGTCAAACGATACGCCCCCTCATCGCTTGCTTCACCACAAGGCCAGAATTCCAGAGCGGAGGAATCGTGACAGCATCGATTCTGCTTTTTCATATGTCAGTTCCGAGGCACCTGCTCCTGAGCCGCAACAGAAACATGATAGCATTCCGGTACTTGTGGTCCCCACGTCCCTCGAGGATTCCCCCAAAGCTGCAGAGACCCCTCGCAGGCTGCAAGTCCAATTCCATTCGCTTACAGATACTCAGCAGTCACCTTCTCGCGTCTCAGAAGTGCCTAATGGGGACTCCGTCCATGTGGAATCACCACGTCGTGTGCATAGGAAGTCATCTTTTGGCAGCTCGTCGATTGTCTCGAAAGCTTCCAGCAAAGTGCCCGAAGACTGGCCTCTTCCCCGTGAAGGTATCCGGAATTTCACAGCACCGGCAGTCATGACATCCAAGGGTACTACGATCACCCTATCACGGGCTCCGAGCTCGCCTCAGAGGGAAGCCAGCTTTAGAAGAAAGGTCGACATCACGCCCCCTCCGGTTCCTCCCAAAGAGCCGCTGTCGTTGTCGACTCCTCCGCTATCGCCAACGGATCGTATATCCTCTCCGCCTGCTACTTCTGAGGTTCAGAGGCTCCTTCAGCAAAGGCGTCCTGTTGATTCAATGATAACGCGTCGAAGCTCCGACCGTACTTCGAGCCGAACTGAAGAGGTTCCCCGTGGTTCAAGTCTTGATAGAAGCATGTCGGGCGATCGTACACATCTGAGCCCGGAGTCGCCAATGATGATCTACAGTGGTCGGACAAGCTTGGACCGTGCCCGTCACCACAACACCACGACTCCCTTTTCTCAGATGTCTGACACCAGCGGCCTTGAGATCAGTGAGGCCACGGCTATCAGTATTTACCCTCACAACAACCACTCGCTGCTGGTAGTCCAACAGGTCGCGCAAACGGACTCGAACTCCAACTCGAACTCTTCGACCACCTATCATACCACGACATCACGCCGGCGTTCTGTATCTTCCCCGCCGCTCAGCCGCGAGCTCTCTCCTCCTCTTGATCGTGAACTCACGCCTCCAACGCTCACGTTCAATCCCGCTACTCCGCCTCAACAGCTGATCGACGACTCTGAAGTTGCCGCGAACGGATCTGTGGACTCGCCTCTCAAGAACCCACGGAAGCCACCAGAGCCGCCGGCCTTCAAGATCATCCCGCCCACCCCCGCTTCGGAGCTCGAGCGCGATCCCATGGGTGAGAGCGCTATAGCGAGCAGCTCTTCGCGTCCAAAGCGTCGTCAGACTCTCGCCAAGCGTGCGCGACGGTATTCGGATACGATTTTGAACCCCATCCTTGGGAGGACAACGTCCGCGGCCAAACGCAGCCCCAAAGGACAGGCGAATGCAGCGGCGACTCCAAAGCAGCCGAAAGACGCCAACTTGCATCCTTTCTGGAGACCTCGGGGATTCTGGGATGACTTTGATTCCGAGAGTGAAGATGAGTGGGATGAGGAGTTCGGCGACGACCATGACCGCCTCCCGCGCGGTGGAGACACAAGCGATGTTGGCGAAGAGGATGAAGAGCGAGAGCGGCAAAAACGCAAGATCGGAGCCTTGGGTCGCAGGTTGACCAATGGGTTCAAGGGCTCCGGCGGCTTTCTCATTGGCAACAGCCTTGGGATGGAACGACATGGCAGCAACGCCCGTAGGCATTACGTCAACGTCAGTGGACTCACGAGCAAGACTAGCGGGTTCATGTCGAAGCCACTCGCACTAGGCAAGAGGTTTGGAGGCAGCAGCGGCCGTGTGGAGAAGCAAGTTGCGAACCAAATCTCGAGTCAAGTCTCAAGCTACTCACTGCGTAGGGTTGCCGCCAACAATGCCAGCCTCCGCCATGCCGCTGTCAGCCCCGCTGGCAGTGGGGCTAGTCAGGTGTCGCGCTTCTCAACCAGCACCGCCGGTGGCGATAGCGATGAGGATCGCGGCTGGGGTAGAGGTAGCAGCCGGGGTCGTTCAACCAGCTCGCAACGGCCGACAAGGAAGCGCGAATTCAGTGTCCCTGGAACGCGATGGAATGTAGAGTACGTCGGCATCAGCGGGGTTCGGGAAAGGCTCGCGGAAAAAAGGAGGGAGAAGAAGAGGAATGAATTGAGGAGAATGATCGGGCCTAAGTTCTACATCAAGAGCACGAGCATTGTTTGATTGAGGATGATTTTGATGAGGTATACGAAGGGATGATACTGGATGATGAATGATGGCACTCTCCATTCTATTCTGATTCTACTATGTCGCCTAGCTGTCTTTCCTTTTTTTTTTCTGTCTCTTTTGTCCATTGTCCATCGGATTTCTCATCTCCTGGATATGGATTTTCTCTAATGTGTCACGATGAGATGAAGATGAGGGATGATTGATGATGGGAGGGGTTGGATACCATGGGATATTCCCGCCAAACTGGGAAAAGAGCCGGGCAACATGAACTGTATATGTGTATGGAATTGCTTGAAAAGCAGGATAAGGATGAAGAGACGATATCACGACCTTTCTTTCTTGTTAGTTATTTTTGTTTTTGTTCAGAAGCGTGTCCCTACGGCTCCTTCGGTTCCGTCGAGGCAGTGTCAACTGCTCAACTGTTTCGAGAACCAAGAAAACAAAAAAGAGACGAGACCACTTTCTATTATGCGAGTTTATCTCACTATCTCTGTCACCTGTTTCTGCCATTCTGCAATTGCTCCGCGACTGGATTCTTTACATCAGCCGGGCCATGCTTTCCATCTTCATGGATAGTCTTGATACTCTTCTATTCTGTCGTTAACCGTTTCTAATTTTTCTTTGCTCTAGCTTCTTCTTTTTTCTGTACAACACGCAAGATTCACGATGAATGCTACGAAGTGCGGAAAACATAACGACTTGATGACCCAGGGTGGCTGTTTGTGCGTTTCAACTTGTAGAGCTCCTTTTTGTTGACTTCCTATTTCTCTCAGCTCACATGTATGGAGTCGTTAATGGACCAAGGGGAAGCGGGACGAGCGTGCCGTGGGACGAAGGATGCCAAGGGCTGACACGGGCTATGATAACGAATTGCATGATTTATGCTACAAAAAAAAATGCAGCATGTGAAGAGTGTTGGTGGAAAATTTTTGCTGCTGCGATTTGTGAGTTGATTGGACCAGCCACCGGCATAACCAGTTCTCCACAGTGGTACGCATTCATTGGTGCAGCAAGGCTTGCAGCCGTCAGCCAAGGTCTTCAAGGCGGGCCTTCTTACTTGCATACACGGATGGCGGAGAGAAATGGCTTGGCAGGCGTTCTGCAGAGGCCGATGGCGAGGGTCGAAACGAGAGCTGAGGTAAGACTTGGTGTCGCTCGCCCTGTCACGGATGCATGATGTCGCTTCGGATCTTCAGATGGCCAATGGCAGGTGTTGGGCCAAGATAGCGGGTCCGCAGAGGCTTCCGGTTGGCTGCAGTGGGCGTCGATTGCTTTTTCTGTAAGCGAGCTATATTTCAGGCCAGTAGCCAGTCGTTGGTAAGCTTTTCTTATAGATCGCGGTTGAATTCCGAGCTTTTTTCAACAAACTGAAGCATGGTGACGTGCTGACCTCGTAAAGGTCTGCAAGGCTGATTCAGCTGCAGCAAAGGTGCGATTGGCCTGCACATTCGTCTTCCCTGCATTATTCATGTAGGACGAGATGATAGGTGCTTCTGCTCCTTGCCGGTTGTGGCCATCACGTGCCGACGCATCGTCGAGTCTCACGCGTCTCGCGTCTCCCGCCCGCCCGCAACAACAGCACCACCACATCCACACTGCAGACAGCCATAACATGACATGACCACCAGCGCCGGCGCCGAGGTCCTACAATTCTATCCTGAGCGCTACTATTCGGCGTCGCCGACCTACAACACATGGGTCAAGCTCACGGCGGCCGCCGTCCACCGGCTGCGACCCGCGCCAAGCCAAGCTGGCATGTACTACCAACATCCATATGCGGCCGACCGGGGACCTTGTTTTTACTGATTGCCTTTTCCTCTTTTTGCAGACCGGGCCATCTCGCGCATCGACAACTTCGACCCCGTCGTCCACCCCACCTTCTTCCACCTCAACCACCCGATCCGCTTCGTGCGCCTGGTCGGCACCGTCGTCGCCGTCGAGGACCTCGGCCCGCGCTTCGTGCTGCTCACGCTCGACGACGGCAGCGGCGCGACGCTCGAGCTGAAGGTCACGCGCCTGTCGCCGGCCGAGAGCGCGGCGCTGCATGCTGCCGCCGCTTCCACTACTACTACCACCATTCCTACCGCAACCACCTCTTCCTCCTCCTCCTCATCATCATCCATTTTTCACACCAGCGTCGACAACCTCGTCGTCCGCAGCGCCATCGGCGTCTTCGAAGTCCTGGTCGGCGGCGTCCCCATCGACATCGGCACCACGATCAAAGCGAAAGCCACGCTCGGCACCTTCCGCGGCGCGATGCAGGGCGTGCTGCAGCGGTGTTGGGTGCTGCGGGGGCATGGTGGAGCGGGCAACGGCGGTAGCAGCTCGACGCGCGACGAGGCGGCGGAGTGGCTCGGCACGGCGACATTCATGCTGTCGGTGCTGGCGAAGCCGTGGGTGCTGAGCGCCGACGACATCAGGCGGCTGGAGCGGAGGCTGGCGCGGGAGGAGAAGCAGAGGCGGGACGAGGAGAGGCGGGCGGAAAGGAAGAGGGCGGAGAGGGCGAGGAGGAAGGAGGAGGTTTATCGGGAGAGGAGGGAGAAGGTGAGGGTGTATGAGGAGAAGGTGGAGCGGAGGAGGAGGCAGGAGGAGGTGTTGATGAATAAGGGGGCGTTGGTGTAGTAGCGTTTGGAGGAGTCATCGCCTGCTTCTCTCTCTATTTCGATTTTTTCGCTGTGGGGATATGGAACGGATGTTGGGCGCTTTTGGAGTTTTTTCTCGTTGATAAGACTTCGTGCCTGATCATCATCGGAAAAGGCTTATCTAGTCTGCGGTTTTAGGAAACTAATCAACCACGATGTTGACGGTCAAGTATATCAGGTGGTCGCCGTTGTGTACAGGCCTGTGGTGAGCACTTATCGTGGATCTACAGTCCCCTCTCGCAGCCGATGGCTAGCGTGGATTTGTTTTTTTTTTCTCATGTCATGGGTAGGTGGGATGAAAAAGAACATATCAAGGGGAGGTAAAGCTATTGTCAGGACGAGAATGCCGAATTAAAAATTCTACATACACGTCCGGACGATAGCTTCAGCTACCCACATATGTTATTTTTCTAAGGTAGAGCTGGGGAGCCCTGCTATTCTTCGCGCTAGCCATCGGCTGCAGCAACCCTCTGTATAAAAAGAAGATAATCTGGGCACCTGATGTTGTACCGTTTTGTACAAGCTTTTGATTAGATTAAGCACTAATTACAATGGTCTAGAAATGCCAAAACGCGAAGAACACCCTGTAGAGACCGTCTCAACTCGTAAGTCAGATGCACAAAAAACAAATCTCAACCCACATTATGTACAGCCCTTCTCTACCATCCATCTCCTATCTTCACTCCATTACCCGTTTCATTAACATACTACCATTTCATCGAATCCGTTTCGTTTACTGATCATACTCCGCCCTAGGCTTTACCAGAGGAGGTTGCCGTTATCATAGGTCTTGCAGGCGTAGTTGTTGGAGAAGGAAACCTCGAAGGAGTCGGAGCCAGACTTGCCACCGGTGTAGCTGCAGGTGCTGGCCGAGACGTCGACGTTGAAGAGCGAGCAGTAGGTGCCGACGGTCAACTTGTTCTTAACAACAGCAACAGCGTTGAAGCTGTTGCAGGGCTGGTAGCGGAAGAGGGTCCACCAGCCGGCGGCGGCCTTGTTCTTGGCGACCTGAGCCTCGGCGTAGGCGGCGCACTGAGCCGGGTTGTAGGGCCCCGCGAAGAAGCGCTGGCCGACGAGGGCGCCGGCCTTGATCATGACGCCGCCGCCGTTGCACTTGGTGCCGGATTTCCAGCCGTTGTTCTTGGAGCCCGAGTTGCAGGAGGGAGGGGTGACGACGGCGGCCTTTTTGTTGTAGCCGTTGGAGCCGGTGATGACGACCTGGAAGAGGTTGCGGTACTGGCCCGTGTTGGTGGCCGAGTCGGCGCTGACGGAGCTGCCGAACAGGGCACACTTGATGTTGGTCGTCGAGGCGAGGTCGGCCAGCAGGCAGATGTCGGCGTTGCCGTCCATGCTGGGGTCGCGCTCGAAGTAGATGTTGAAGCCGGTGCACAGGGCGGTGGCGTCGCAGAAGGCGGCGCACGAGCTGGCGCTGTACGTGTCGAGCGTCTTGTACGTCAGGTACGTGCTGAGCTGCGAGGCGCCGTTCTGGTCGGTGAAGCTCAGGTCGTAGTTGGTCGGCACGGCGGCTGCCTGGGCGGTGGCCGAGGCGTGGAAGGGAGCGTACGCCAGGAAGGCAGAGGCCGTGTCAGGGGTCGGGACAGGACCGGCACCGGTGGCCAGCGCAGTGCAGAACGGAGAGGTCGATGTCGGCAGGCTGACGTCAACGATGGCCGAGGTTGAAGTGCTGGTGGAGCTGCTCGAGGTGGAAGTCGAGGTGCTGGAGCTGGTCGACGTCGTCGTGCAGCTGGTCGAGGTCGAGGTCGAAGTCGTACGGAAGTGGCGCTTCACCTTGTAGGCAGCGCTGATGGCAGCCGTGGCCGCGGAGCTGGCGGCATTCACAGCCGACGCATCAGCGTAGCTGCTGGTGGCAGTGGCGCCGATGGGAGCTCCAGTGACGATGGCAGTGGCGACGACGTCGTTGATCTGGGCGAAATCCAATCCAGTGACCAGAGGGCTGGAAAGAGCAGTGCCGACAAGGGCAGAAAGAGCAAAGACAGTGTTCTTCATGGTGAAGAGAATGACCGCTGGGACCTTCAGGGAGCGTAGTGGGTGTTCTTCGAAGGGCGAAGAAAGGACTGCCGGAAACAACGACTGTACAAGACAGAAGAGAGTGTGTTGTTGCTGATGAGATGGAATGAACAACGCGGCCAGGCAGGCTTCATATAGGTAGAGCCCCAGATCCAGCCACAATTGGAACACTTGGTGGGCGGACGCCACGCCGCAGCACAGGGTTGCTGCTCCGGAGCTAGATGTTTAGCTGGGCCCGATATGCCTACGGATACCTCCGCATGGGGACTTATCTAGCCTGGCCTTACGAGCCGCAACTCGGAGCGGTCACACTCGCCGGGCTTGAGCTTGAGCTTGAGCTCTGCTTTTTTTTCTTCCTTTCCTTTCTTTTTTTTTTCTCTCGGGTGATGGTGCCAAGGAAAAGTCATGGTGGCCGGCTTGAGTTCCGGAATGAACAGCGCTCAGTGATCAATTCAACGGTGGAAGTCGACAACGGGATCTAATAAGCCATCATGCAACGTTGACGCCGTATTGGGGCCAATACCTGCAGAAACTGGAAGATGGGCGTTGAGGGCTCAGTTCCGAGGCAAGTGAGTGGGCAGAAATTTCGGACATAAGGTTTGATGCGCGCAAGTGCGGGCCGGGGGCGCTATGACCCATGATACGATAGTTCCTGAAAAGGGGCCGTTATACTGAGAACGATTCCAGATCCGGTCCGGCATCGCCTTTCTTGGACAGCTCCACTACCGCGCAGAGAGCATGCTCTAGACCCATGAAGTGCCGTGTGTTTGCCGGCCTCGAGAAGCGGCAAGTAGCTCTGAATGCCGTAGCTCCGAAGGCAAGCTCAACGCGCCATAGATCAGCGGGATCATCAGTGAGATGATGAGTGCTGATGCGACGGCCCGTCCGGCTCCGTTGTCGATCTGCCGACGTGACAAGCAGGGATGCACATCCCCAAGCGGTGATGGATTTTTTGAGTCGTATCGCACGCGAGCGACGTGTGGTTCCGGACGGCAGTGGTTCGCCGCCAACGACGACTTAGGCTAAGCGAGCCTACCTAGCTCAAGGGGTACACACTTTCGCTCTACCATCGCTCCTGCCTCGGTGTTGTTCTTTCGGCCGCTTTCTTGCAACCGACTGTCCACCACCGCCGTTCAATCGACCGACGCTACATCTCCGTCCTGCTAGGTCCATCACCGAAGCTGACGATTTGACATCGTGAAGCCGTTTCCAGCTAGCCTGATCGGTTGTTGCCGGATCTCTGCCAGGGCCTCATCTTGTCCTAAAGGAGCAAGGGCCGCGATCTGGACGTTGAGTTGCTGTGGCGTTGGCCCGACTGGCACATGATTTGACATCGTCGACTTCTCAGCTGAAATTTTCAGGAACGCGCCACAAGTGCACGGCTGTGGCTGTCGCTCTGTCTGCATGGCAGCTCGTGTCTCCAGATCGTCGTAGTTCGACTTGCCCGAGGCTGTTGTCCGGCTGTTGTCCATTCCACTGACCTCAGCGGCAACTTCCACCCCCAGCTCACAACACCCTCTCCTTATCCACAAGGCTGAGCCTCGATCACGATAAGCTCGGAACCTTGCTAAGCCTCCACATTAACGCCCCTTTTTTTTTCCTCCGCCGCCGAGATCAACCACCGACGACGAAGGCTGGATGCTACTACGAATCTTCGGTCTACGCTACTGCATGCAATTGCCGCACGAGTCCGTCACTAAGAATTAACCTCCGTCCTACGGACCGGTCAAAAAATGACAGCTTCCATCCCTTTCCACGCACCAATGCCCCTCTTGGGAATAAACTGGGTGTTATAGCCACAGGTCTCGACCCACGTTGGCCACCTCCATGTGGGGGGACCCTCCCGCACGTGCAGAAAGAGGCGCCGAGCGACGCCTTACCTCATCTGACACTTCCCCCACACATCTCTCTTGCATCTGTGCGAGAAGTCCTTGTGACCCTTTCGTCCTGCGCGGTGAAGTCAGCCGTGACGGATGCCAATACCTCCTTGCATGCACCCCCGGCAACCCGAGGTGCTGGGATACGACTCAGCCTCTTTATGCAACCCCCGCTCCGTGGAGGGGTGATAATCCTTACACACATCTGGCCGAGGCTGCTTGTCAGCTTGGCTTGCAAGATCGGGGAAATGGAACTTGGCTGATCTCTTGGGTCAGGTCCACGTGATTATGGTAGATCTGTCTGAGGATTCAGTGACGTAGGCTCAGCTAGCAAAGTCGGTGAGGATTTCTTTTGGTGATTTGACTGTTTTTCCAACTTGAAATATATTTTCATCTATGAAAGGCATCAATCATCAAGCTGGCGACCTGACTACGTATGTACGTAGATCGCCTTGCTATATTATAGCAGAATAGAAAAAATGAAACAGAAAACCATCAAAAAAATCCTCCGAGGTGCCAGAACATGGCGCCGCTGGTATTCAACAATGGGAAACAGCTTTTCAACACTGTCCTCTCTACGCAGTAAATGTGCATTTTAAACGCAACGACCACCCTTTCTTCGTTCTCAAAAGAGTCATGAACATCATACGTATTGTGCACGCTTTGGTACTCACACATCCTCCTTCTTTCCGATGGGACCAAGGCCGCGGGGGCTGTGGCCGGAGGTGACAGCGGTGAGCTCGGAGCCTTGACCAGCCGACGGCTCCTTGGCGAGGGAGTTTGTGCGCGAGAAGGAGAAGAAGCCCTGGCGCAGCGACAGGGGGCCGTGCTTCCTGCGGCCGTCGACCTTGTCCTCGTCGGGAGCGGCGAACCAGCCAAAGGTGCGCTTGGCCAGCTTCCACAGCTCCATGCCCAGGACGAAAATGAAGACTGCCACGATGGGGAGAGCCCATTCCCAAGTGATTTCTGCAGGAAAACATATCAGTAAGTGATTCTAAGATGAGAAGCTGGCGAAAACAGTCGAACTTACCCTTGTGCTTGAAGACGGTCGTGTTGAAGCCGGGGATGTAGATGCACGGGAAGACAACGACACTGCCCACGGTGACAGACCAGAAGAGGAACTTGTTCTCCCAGATGTCGGCGAAGAAGGGGAAACGGCTCTCGGAGCGGGGGTCGAGCCGGAACATACTACGGCGGATGCCCTTGATTTCCCAAGCAGAGATGAGAATCAACCAGGTCAACTCGGCGAACACGGCAGCACGAGCGCGGAAGACGACATCGCAGTCTGGGCTGTATGATTTGTTGCAGTCCTGACCGATCTTGCCGTCGCCTGGGCCGTAGACGATGATGACGAAGGTGAAAAGGGTCAGCATGCCCATCAGCAGACCGTAGACGATCATGTCAAAGATGATTTGCCAAGTGAAAACACCCTTCTTGTTGTCGTGAGGCGGGCGGCTCATGATGTTGTACGAAGCCTTTTCGCGGCCGAGTCCGAAAGCGGGGAAACCAGACGTGAGCATGTTAATCCAGAGGATGGAGAGCGGAGACAGAGGGAAGACGGAATACTTTCTGTCATCCTGGAAGCCAAGGCCACAGACCAGAAGCACGACTTCACCCACGTTGGACGTAAGCAGATGCAGAACAAAGCGCTGGATGTTGTCAAACATGCGGCGGCCTTCCTCAATGGCGTTGACGATGCTTGCGAAATTGTCGTCCGTCAAAACGATATCCGACGCCCCCTTAGCGACGTCGCTACCGGCGAGACCCATGGCGATACCGACGTCGGCGGCTTGCAGAGAGGGACCGTCGTTCACACCGTCACCAGTCATGGCGGCGTACTTTCCACGGCGGTGAAGAGCAGCAATCATGCGGGTCTTGGTGTTGGGAGCACAGCGAGCAATGACAAGGGGCAATTCGGGCATTTGGTCGATCTCCTCGTCCGTCAGACCGTCAAATTCGGCAGCAGTCTTGACCAGGCTGTCGGCAACATCCTTGGGCAGAGTGCTCATGTCCTTGGGGATGATGCCGACTTCCTTGGCGATGGCCGCGGCTGTCCCGGGGTGGTCGCCCGTAAGCATATGCACGCGGATACCGGCGTTGGTGCATTCGCGAACAGCATCCTTCGTCTCAAGGCGAGGCGGATCGTAGATTCCAGCAAGACCGAGGAGCGTCAAGCCCTGTTCAATGTCCTCACGAGGAATTTCAGACTTCTCATTGATGGGTTCACCCGTCCAAGAACGACGTGCAACAGCAAGAACACGAAGACCTTGGTCAGCAAGAAGGGACATTTGCTCAAGGATCTGCTCCTTGACCTCGTCAGTGATGGCAGTCTCGTGTGCACCAATACCGACGTTGACGCAGAGGTCCAGGATGCGCTCGACGGCTCCCTTGGTGAAGATGATGGTGCTGCCGTCGTCGGGAACCTTGTAGACCACAGACATGCGCTTCACGGTGCTGTCAAAGGGGTACTCAGTGAGCTGCTTCCAGCCGCGTTCGCCTTCCAGTTGCTTCTTGCCAAGCTCGAAGCGACGGGCGAAAACCTGCAGAGCAACTTCAGTTGGGTCACCAGTAGTCTGCCACTTCTGCTCAGAGTCGTTGTAGCGGACAGTAGCAAGATTGCAGAGAGCAGTCGAATGGAGGAAGGCATCGAGCTCAGGAACCACTTCGACGTCCTTGGGGTCCATGTCGTCCGAGTCAGACTTCTCGTCGAAGTCGTTCACGGCGCGGCGTACGTCGCGTTCAGTCTTCTCTTTGGGTTCCTTGAACTTGATGCCGCCACCGCTACGTTCGGCCTCGAGCTTCTCCTGGCGAGCCTTCTTCTCCGCCTCCATCTCGGCTCTCGACTTTTCAGTGCCAAGTGTGATTGTACCGTGCGTAGGGTTCGCGGCATCCTCGGCGTTGTTGACGGTATAAATGCCAACTCCAGGGATCCACGCCTTGCGCGTGACCATCTGGCCCTGCGTAAGGGTGCCTGTCTTGTCGGAGCAAATGTTTGTGATACCACCGAGGGCTTCCAAAGCGCTGAGCTTACGGGTAAGCACACGGCGCTTGCGCATCGAGGTCATGCCGCTGACGAAGGTAATGGTAAGGACGGCGATGAGCGACTCGGGGATCATGGCAATACCTAGTATAGTAGCCGTTAGCGTGGCTGTGCAACATGAAAGGAGGGCTACGTACCGGTCGAGATGGCGTAGATGGCGACCTCGTTGGTGACATCGAATCTGTTGACGCCGAACACAATGATGGCCAAGAGGATAGCCAGGCCAAACAGGACGTATGCAAGCTTAGATAGCTTCCTCTGAAGAGGCGTGCCAACGGTGAGACCAAGGAAAGCGCCAATGGCGTCGTAAATCCTAAGGATGAGGCCCTTGGCGGGTTGCAAGTTGCCACCCTTCTTCCTTGACATGGATCGGTTTGCCTTGCGCTTTGTGCCCTGCATGGACTGAGCGATCTTACCAATTTCTGTGTGCATTCCAGTGAAGACGACGATACCTTGACCACGGCCTTTGGTGACTGTAGAAGATGAGTAAGCCATGTTCACGCGGTCTCCAACACCAGTCTCGAGTTCAGTGGCATTGGTGAAGTCATGCTCGGGGTCTTTCGCGACCGGAAGGGCTTCTCCAGTGAGAATCTTTTCATCGCACTCGAGGTTCATGGCCTCGAAGATGCGGATGTCGGCGGGGATGGTGTCGCCCGTCTTGATCTGAACGATATCACCCGGAACGACTTCAGCTGACGGAATTGCATCAACAACGCCATTGCGGAGAACCGTGGCAGTAGGCGAGGACAGAGCTCGGAGAGAGTCCATCTTTTTCTCTGCCTGGTACTCCTGATAGAAACCAATCAGGACGTTCAGAACGATGACGGCGGTGATGACGCCGCCCTCGACGTAGTCGGACACACCGTACGAGAGCGCCATGGCCAACAAGAGGACCTGTCGCGGGTCAACAACTGTACGAGAGAGGAGTGGGGCTGCAAAGGGGGTTGACATACCAGAATCATGGCATTGCTAACTTGCTTCAGGAGAACCGAGTACCACTTGACGCCGCCCTCACCCATGAGCTTGTTCTCGCCATATTGGCTGCGCTTCTGGGTGGCTTCAGAGGCACTCAAGCCCTGCTCGGGGTGGACGCCCAGGTGCTCCTTGAGCTGGTCGATGGAGAGTTGAAAGGGATGCTTCGGGTACTCCTGCCGTACCTCGGAGCCCTTTCCGGAGCCCATTTTTACCAATTGCGCGTACAGTTGAGATGCGGGGTTGTTTGAGGAAGAATATCACTTGGGTCGGCGAGGTGGGATGATGGAATGGCTGAAGAAGTCCAAGAGGACCATATGTATGGAAGTGGGAAGCGAAAAGTCTTGGATTGAGTAATTACGGAATGTCGTCACGGGTCCTCTTTATATAGTCCCATTGTTGTGTGACCCAGCCCACCGTATCATCCTATCAAAGACACATTCCCTGTTGTATGAAGAAAGCCAAGGCGGCCTCCGCGTGTTGAGCTTGGCGCAGAAGGGCGGAGACGTTCACAGACCGGGGATAAGGATGCAAGCAGAGTCAAGGCCAAGGAGTTGTTGCAGTGCAGAAGGCTTGGAATCGGGCAGTTTGGTTCGTAGGAGGCTTGGCTGGGAGGCGATTAGTCTCGTGGTGGGGGAAAGTCCGGGTCGGCTTGATAGGTCCCAGACCAGTCGACGCGTCTTGGCGCACGGCGGAACCAATCAGCGCGCGAGGGCGCCTGGTGGAAGGCGAGTACTCCGGGAAACTCGGCACCTCGCCACTTCCACCCCTTGTCTCCACCCCACTCCGCTGGGCTTGGCTTTTGCCGGCATCCACCGTGATCCTCTTCGTACGGCGGGGCAAGGGGACCAAGAGGGGCACGAGAAGACGCGGAGGGAGCAGATGCGAATACGACTGAGTTTGCAGAGAAATCGGGGCACTACGACTGCATACAGGGTGTTGAGGAGGCTATCAGCGGCGACGACGTTGGTGCGGACGCGGCACCCGCATCATCAGCGCGCCAAGAAGCCGTAACTGGAAGCGTGCAGGCTGCGTTCCCAAGCCAAGAAGTCCAAGCACGTTTTCAGAACGCCGTGTACCCGTCACGCCATGGCCATGAATACTGCTGTCGTTGGCGGCAAAGTCAAGGATCCCGGATCCGGCCCTTGGTCTCAGCCTGCAGCTTCTTTGACCTTGCCGGCTGGCTCGGGAGGTTCGTCGATGAACTGCGGCGGCCTTGCCTCATCCACCATGAAGCTCGGGACGCCTTCAGCCTCGTTCATGGCGTCCAGCTCCACCTCCTCTCCGAGAGCCTCAAGCTCGGCATCCAGCTCCGCCTCGTCGACGTCCTCAGGCACGTCATAGCTGCGGCTGATGCTTTCCTGGATGTCGTTGCCTATGTCCATGAGATCGGCCATCTCGTCCTGCATGCGCTCGATCTTGTCGATGTCGACCTTGCCGTACTGCTTGCGCAGCTCCTTGGTCGTCGTCTTCATGGCGTCGACGGTCGTCATGGTGTTCTTGAGGTTGTCCTGCATCATGCTGGCCTGCTCCATGTTCCAGGACTGCTGCTGCAGCTGGTCGCGCTGGGCCTCGTACATCTTGCGCTGCTGCAGCACCTTGAGGGCCTTTTGCTTGATGGCCGTCTTGCCGGGGCCGTCGCGCATCTTGGACAGGCGCTGCTGGTAGGTCGTCAGCTCGGCGTTGAGCTTCGCGAGCTTGACGTCAATAGTCTCGATGCGGCCATCGACCTGGACTCGCCGTCAGCATGCGGGGATCAGGAAGAGAGACATGACGTGCATTCGAGATGGCGCCGCTGAGGGTCGGCTTGGGGCCAGTGCTCTTTGCGCCGAACAGGCGATTCATCGCGGGCAGCGGTGGCACCGAGAGGCCGGGGGACGTGGGGATGGGTATGCGGAGGCTGCAGCGCGGGTGAGCGGCGGCAGGCGGCTAGAGTGGCGGCGATGCTGGCGTGCTGCTGCCACGTGGTGGACGGGCTGCTGGAAGGCGCGGGACCAGATGAGAGGCGCTGCAGGCGTCGTCGCTCGCGGGTCGTGGGCCACCACTTTGGGCGCTTGCTGGCACTGGAGGTTAGGATCCGCGTGGACTGCCGGGGGTGTTTGGGCTGGGGCCGGCGCCGACCTCGACCAGCGAGGAACACCACTCTCACCCACGACAACACGGCCACCTGCCAACCTCACATTGACCCTTCCTGGCCGCGCTGCCCGTCACGCTGCTGCGCCAGCTGCATGCCGCGCTCTTCCCACCCAAACTCGCTTCTGGACTTTGGGGAGCGCTCTCTGCCTTGTGACCGGCTGCCAACCTGAGTCTGTCACACTCCAGACCGCGCTGCTTCGCCAGCCTCGGCCGCTGCCCACACGACCCCAGCCCGCCGCACCAGCCCCAGCTCACCCGGTAAACCCCACCGTCCCCATCTCAGCCCAAGCTTCTCAGATTGCGCCTGCGAGCCGCGCGCCCGTGCCGCGCATCCAGCCCCGCCAGTCGCCAGTCACCATTGCACCGCCGACGTTGACACGCCCATCTCTGCTCCAGATACTCGCCCGCTGGCTTCCCGCTGCTCGCCGTCGGCGCGCCTCCCGCTGCTCACTGCGCTGTCGCATGCAACCACCGCTGAACTGCTCCCTAACGCCCCGATAACCGTGTCACGTCGCCAACATGTTCTGGCGCTTTGGCGGTTACGCCAATATCTCCACCCTCGACTCCATCTTGGATAAGCCCGATGTCACCATCGAAGAGCTGCTCGACGAATCCGACTTGATCCAAGAGCTCAAGCAACAAAACTCAAAGTTGATACAATATCTGAGGGATGATAAGATCTTGGAGCGCCTGCTGCAGTTCGTCATTGCTCCCTCCTCTCCGGCCCCGCAGCAATCACCTGGAACCGACAATGCCGCCGAGGGAGAAGGCGACGAGAAGGGCGGAGCGGAGATTGGCAGTTTCTTCAAGAGAAGATCGCGGTCAATATCGATCAAGTCCGATTCGGGCGAGAACGAAGAAGGAAAAGAGGAGAAGCAGCGCATGAAGTACGCATACGTCGCCTGCGAAATCCTGTCTTCCGAAGTCTGGTCCATCTCCGAGGCTCTACTGGAGAACCAGGCTGCACTGCGCAAGTTCTGGGACTATCTCAAGCAGCCTGCACCGCTAGACCCCGTGCAAGCCGGCTACTTCACAAAGGTCAACGAGTCCCTGCTGGACCGCAAGACCGAGGAGATGCTTGAATTTTTCAAGTCCATTGATGGCATCGTGTCCGACATGCTCCAGCACGTTGACTGCCCCATGGTTATGGATCTGTTACTGAAGATCATAAGCCTGGAGAAGGCTGAAGGAGGCCAGGGCATAGTCGACGTGGGTACCAGCAGCTCCACAAACTCTGAACATGCTAACTTTTGGGCTACAGTGGCTTCAGCAGCACAATTTGATCCCCACCCTCCTGTCGTTCCTGTCTCCAGACTACAATGCATCAGCCCAAACATCCGCAGGCGATTTCTTAAAGGCCATCATCACCATCTCTGCCAACGCTACCACCCAGGACCAGACTGTCATTGGCCCCAACGAATTGACGAGACAGCTGGTTTCTGAGCCCTGCATCAAGAGTCTTATCACCGAGATGCTCCGAGGTGGCAATCCTCTCACTGTTGGTGTGGGCATTGTCATCGAGGTCATCCGGAAAAACAACTCTGATTACGACATGGAAAATCAGACCGGCCCGGTACCACGAAGCTCCGACCCCATTTATTTGGGCACCCTCCTGCGCCAATTCGCCACCCACGTCCCTGATTTCATGGCTTTGGTTCACAATGCCACCGAAAAGGTCGTCAATGAAGATGGGACCACGACTACGAAGCAACGTGAACTGAAGGCTGCATTTGGTGGCAAGATTGAGCCCCTTGGTTTCGACCGGTTCAAGACCTGCGAGCTGATGGCAGAGCTCTTGCATTGTAGCAACATGGCCCTTTTGAACGAACGCGGAAGCGAGGCTGCTGTAAAGGCCAGAGATGCCGAGAGAGAGCGCTTAAAAGCGGCCGGCAAACTCACCTCCGCCAAAGAGAGCGAAGAGCATTCGATCCTTGACAATGAATTCGGCACCAGTGTCGACAGCCATGGTTTCCACCACGCACGCGCTCCGTCAAGCGAGTCTCCCGAGGAGGTCAAGAAGCTCGAGGTCCAGAACAACGTCAAGGATGAGGACTTTGAGGAAGTTGCCGCCTGTGAAGCCGAGCCTGAGGAGGCTAAGGACGGTGAAAAGGCCGAAATTGGCGAGCCTCTGGAGAGATCGCCCAAGCTTCCTCCCCGCACTGTGGAGACCGAAAAAGAGCCGGAACTCGTTGATGAGCCGTTGTCCGATAAGCCGGCGAATGAAAAGGCAGACTCTCCAACAGCTGCTGGTCTGACGGATAAGGTTGGCGACCTTGATTTGGAGAAACAAGACGCCACCATGACGGATTCTTCATCTACCGAAAAGGCAGATGGAGAAGCAGACGCCACCAAGCCAACCGTGTCTCTCTTGACCCAACAGCTCAACCAAACTTCCGACGCAGATGAGGCTGCTGAAGACATTTCGCCTCGTCCTGAGGACAAGCCCGCTCCTCTCTTCTCCAAGAAGCCTGAGAACGGCGACGCAACCAAGAATGCCGAGGAAAACAGGAGCACCACTCCCGCCGACGATGAATTGCTCTCAGAACAGCAAGTCGATTTCTCGACTTCCCAACGCGCGCAATATGAAGTTGACATCGATGGAAACCCTGTCGTCGGCGATCTGCTCAAGATCATGTTTGTTGAGCACCGGGTTGTTCCAACAATCCTGGTAGGTACCGACCCGTTAGCGACTTCTTTACCCCACTGACTTTGCGTCTAGGACTTCTTCTTCCGCTTCCCGTGGAATAACTTCTTGCACAACGTCGTGTACGATGTTGTTCAGCAGGTTTTCAACGGTCAGATGGAGCGTGGCTACAACCGTGCTCTGGCTATTGATTTGTTTGAAACTGGCAGGATCACGGAGCGGATTATTGAGGGCCAGCAAGCCAGTGACAAGGCCCAGGCCGAGACCAGCATGCGGCTGGGCTACATGGGTCATCTAACTTTGATCGCAGAAGAAGTCGTCAAATTCACCGAGAGGCACCCTCCGGAGCTGCTTTCGCTGTCGGTTCTCGAGAAGGTCATCAACCAGCAGTGGACCGACTATGTCGAGCACACCCTGGCCGAGACGCGGGAGCGGGACAATGCCATTCTCGGAGGCGTTCGTCCAGACATGGCCGTGGGGCCGCGTCAGGCCGTGCTCAACGCCGTCAACGCTGCTTCGGGCTTCGGCAACTCTTCTCTGGCCAGCGCCGGCCTGGGTGGAAACGGATCTGTCGGTCTAGACAGCATGGAGCTTACAGGCTCAGGAGGCGGATACGGCCTCAGCGGCGGCAGCCTATTGAGCGGCTTCAACAACTCAAGCGACGAAGAAGACGAGGACATGGAGGAAGGCGAGGGCGAGCGGCAGACAACGCCGCATGTGAGCGACTCGGACCAAGTGGGTGAACTCTCATTTGAAGACGTTGAGATGGAGTATCGATGATACAGTGCGCTTACCGCGTTGGTGCGTTGTTCATGTCTTCTTCACTACCGCTGTGCACACGGGTGGGATGCGGCTGCTGCTGGGCGGCTCTATTGGTTGCTCGGCAGCCGTGTCCCCCGCACGTCGCATGTATGCCACCGAACATCGATAGCCAGTGTATCCTTTCTCTCTGGGCGCAACGACTGAGGTCACTGTTGAGATACCACCATCTCTTTCCTTCCCCCTTCCTCTCTGTATTATTGCCTTAGATTAATGTAGACGACCCACGGATGACAACGGTGGCACGAGCATGTTTCGGAGAATACCCTACGATATATTCCTCACCTTTGCGCCTTTTGCTATCCTTGTCACCCGTGGTCATACCTGACCATTATCCATCATCATCATCATTCACTCTCCTTCTCCTTCTTGATACGTATAACCATTTTGCACTCACACACACACACCCATACACATACACACACACACACACACACACACACACACACTGTTTCTGCCAGACAAGAGAAAAGAGATAGAACTTTATACGTTCGAGAGCCAAGGCTGACTCTCTTCCTTTCTTTTGCCACAGCCACTACAATCCGATGACGCCAACGACAATACTGCTGCCGGCAGCCCTGACGCCGGCTCCAACCCTGTCCCCGCCCCCGCGCCTCTCCAAATCCCCCCGTCCCGCGCCCGCCGCCAGTTCGCAGCTCGACTCGCCGAGCGCAAACGCCAGCAGGAGCAGGAACAGCAGCAGCAGCAGCAAGGAACAGTCGCTGCCGCCGCCGCCGCTTCTTCTTCTTCTGCTGCTGCCACTGCTGCTACTGCTGCTACCGGTACAGGCGCCGGTGGTGGCCGTGCTGGCGATTGGACCGAACGCTACAACGACCCGGGCCGCTTCAGCAACTTGTTCGTCGGTGGTGGGGTCAGCGATGAAGAGAGCACGGACGACGATGACGATGGCGAGGAGTTGATCATGAAGGACAGCTTTTCGAGGAGGAGCGTGGGCAGTGGTGGGGGCGGGAGCGCGAGCGGGAGCAGTGCGAATGGGAGCGTGAGTGGGGATGAGGGTGATGATGCTGCCACTGGTGTGGTGAGGACGGAGAAGATTTAGTGGGTGGGTTTGGTTGGTTGGTTGGTTGTTGATCTGCATTAGAGTCAGCGATTGGGCGGAGACCTTCTTTTGATTTGGAGCGTACACGCAAAGTCTGAGTTGGTGGTATATCAGTTGTGTATGTGGGGGTGGGGGAGAGGGAGCGGGAGGGAGGGTTGGATGAAGAAGAAGAAGGGGTAGTAGGTATCGGCTTTCGTTTTTTGTTGGAAATGGGTTCTTTTTTCTTTCTCTCTCTTCTCTCTTTGGTCCTGTCGATGAGAGCAATACCCCACGTTGGTATACGTTTTCCTCTCTATTTGGTCCTTTGGTGATGAGACTGACGGCCGCTGCAATGATGCCCCCGTCATGGAATCGCGTTTTGCTTTTGTTTCGGCTGGCGTGCGGGGTTTGGCAGATCCTGTATTATACATGCATAGATACCTATTGTGTTATTGGTAATTGATTTTGACTTGGTCGGCTAACAATAGAGGCACCAGCCTGTTCTTTTCATTATTTTCCTAGAAATACAACATATGTGGGTAATTGAAGCTCTCGTCCGGACTTATATGTAGATTTGTTAATTTGACATTCTCGTCCGGACGATAGCTTCAACTACCCATGACATGAGCAAAAAAAAAAAGAGTTCACGCTAGTCTTCGGCTGTGATACCCCTCTGTACTGTTCAAGAGTTCTGAGCTAGAGCTTGTAGGCGAGGGCATGTCACAATCACATCACAAAAACATGCTGTCATGTAAAGCATTCTTTTGATTTTTTTTGTTCTTTTGTAATTTACTGTAGACCCAACGCCTTTTTTGTTCTCCCGTCCGTTTTTGATTGATGGATAGTGTTTACTCGATGGCGGCGGCTCAGAGCAGTCCACTCGTGGGTGGCGAAGCTTCACGTCAACTTCTACGGAATGGAAGTTGCCTAACTAAAAGCTATGTAACATGCTTCTGAACTTGGAGCTTAAGTCTGAAGTTCGTCGTTTGCTGGTGTTCCCAAGCTAACAAAGACTTCACCTCTGAAAACGAAGCCACGCCTAGGGGTGCCGTGAAAGTCGACCACACACTCCTGGGGACGGTCGTCCTGCGGGTATTGCAGCTCCACTAGATGATCGTCACTGTATGAGAACCTCCGGGTGGGAGCGGGACTTGGCATTGGTGGAAGCGGCTCCGTCGTCAAACCTCCTAGACTGGAAGGCTGTCGCACAGCTTGGTCCCGATGCATCGTCTGCGGATCGAAGTGCGGGAGCGGCAGTTGCTCTCGCGCATGTGCCGCTCTCAAAGCATTCAGCCGCATGCGGACATAGGATCCAGTTGGAGTGGCTGCTTGATGAGAGCTTGGAGAGTGCCTTTCAGACGGCGGGGGCCGTACTGGCGGCGATTGGTAACCTGGAGGCGGAGAGGTATGGCCGAAGATGGGCTTTCGCGTAGGAATGGGTCCTTTGGCTCCGACTGTACTGGAAGGCCGTTGATGGAATATTGACTTTTGCGCCACTTCGGCGCGCGGAGGAGGACGGCAATGACGACGCGAGGGTGGCATGAATTTAGGTCTAGGTGTAAGACGCGGAGATGGTAGAGGTTCCTGTGGCGGAGCTTCACGCAGGAGACCTTCAGACGGGTTGCGCAAAAACTTGGGACGTCGAAGTGGGAGTCGTCCAGACGGGAGGCGTTCAACAGGGAGGCGCGGAGACTTGGGATAGTCGACCGGGGGCTGCGGGGATGGAAAACGTACCGACCGAACCAAGGCCGGCCAGACGTGGTGACGAAAAGGGTCATCATCATTGTCGCTCATGTCGTGCTCGTCGAAGTCGGATCGTGGGTCAACTCATGGGGAGCTTGACTATAAGGTCTACTGTTAGTATATTCTGAGTAAAAGTGGGGTGGAGAAGTTACTCTGCCATCTTGGAGACTTGACTGTTTCTTCTGAACCCGCTCGCCGGTTGTCTGGGCAGTTCGTCGCCAAAGCCCTTACTTGATGGTCTGGAGGATCAGGAAGAGGAATCAGCGAAGAATTTATAGGTGAGTCGGCTTTACGCTGGTGTCCGTAGCAACGAAAACTCGGGTAACAGGTGACCGGGGTTGATGGGGTGCAGATGCCTTGATCTAACCCCAAGCACGTGCTGCTTCCACTCTTCAACATCACAGCTTCCTCAACTCGTGAACACACCCAATCCCTCCATTCTACGCCAAGGATCAGGCTGATACGTCTGATAGCCCCGCGATGGGAGGTAAAAAGCGAGGCCGCAATCGCCGTCGGCCGGCTCATGGCCATGGCTCGCCGCCGCCGTCACTCCCACCCCAGCCCAACGGTTACATGCCGCCGCCAGGAGGTCAGCCTCAGGACCAATACCCCCCACAGCCGATGCGTCTCGACCGCCTTCCGTACGACATGCCGCAACGCATGGACCCGCGCGGCATACCGCCACCCCCAGACTTCGGCAGCAAGTTCCTTCCTCAAGGTTTCTCGGGTGGCGATTCCGGTCTTCTGCCACCGCGACAGCCATGTAGGTATCCTCAGCGTCCATTTTTTAGCCTGACTGACGTAAAGACGTCTGGAACGCCTTAGTCCCCCAAGGTCCTCCAAGCTATGAATTGCAGGCACCGTATCCTGTCGTGACCGGCTACGCCCCCAGAGGATATGGCCATGCACCCTCCGCTGAGCCTCCTGGCCTTTGGGAACCATATCCCCCTGCGCCTGATTACGTCGCCAGAGGATACGCTCACATGCCCGACCCTGAACGTTTCGGATTTCAGGAAGAATATCCAGAAGCTCCTAGCTACAACACCAACGCATATCCTGCTGTGTCCGTTGCCGCGCCATTTCAACTCTTACCTACGCCTATTTCGGCCCCCGGCAGGTACATTGCGCCGGGCTTCATGCCTGCCGTTGAGAACGGTGGATTCCCTGGACAGATCGGAACAAGAGCTGGTACGCTGATGCTTTCTCTCCGTTGTGGACTTGCTGAATAACAACCAAGACGCAGGCTTTCAAGAGGCAAAGGGAGAGGAAGACATCACCCTCGGCGACTCTGAGCTGCGTGAATTCATGGCCAAATCCAACGCACGTCTTGCGGCAATCGAGGCTCGACAAGGTGCAGATCCTGCTGTAAAGGTGGGAAACCGTAAGTAACACATCTGACTTGCAGTTTTGGACATCTTCGCTGATAATTCTACAGCGGCTAGCACTGAACATGTGCTGAAATCAGGCTCGTCTACCAACAAGACCGCGCCCAAGATAGGGGCGTCTTCCTCTCGGATTACGAAGAATGCCAGATACAACGCCGCTAAGGCGCGTAAAAAGCGCAAACGGCTCACCAAGCGTCAGAAAAACGGCTTGCAAACGGACATTTTGGACCTGCTTGATTAAGGCGTTTGATAAATTGGTAGAAGGCTCTGGGGCATTGCATCCACGAAGAGGGAAATGAAGGGGGCGCAGGTGAAAGAACCATCCATAGGGCTCCAGCTTGAGATTGATACTCCACTTTTGCCGCTGGAAAGCTGGCTGCGCGCTCAAATATCGAGAAGCTCGTACGGATGTGAATAGACACTGCTGATTTTTCCTTTGGCGACACTTCAATAAATTACCATGCCTGCGTGGGTAGTTGAAGCTCACGTCCGGACGTAGACGTCGAATTAATAATTGTACAAAAGCATCCGGACGTGAGCTTCAACTACCCACGCAAGTACACTAAATTATTCTGGCAGTAAGCCCTTTTTTCGTGTTTGCCCGAATTTCCAACCCGGATTTGTATTTGTATCCCGCATTGAAGTCACCCAGCTTCACGTACCAGTAGGACTTTGAGGCGAGTTGCTCATGTTTCTAACACACCAACTATGATCCTGCCCCCGGAGCTTGCTTTCTTTGCTAATGAAGTGCCTGGTTTCAGCTTGGGATGTCTAGAATATGCCATGGAACAAAGACACAGTATCCCATTATCCCAACACATCCGCCATTTCGATGGAGCGTGCCCGAACAGAAATCAGCTAAACCGCCTTTGTCTCTCTTTTTCAGTATCCTGTGTTCCAGAGCTATCTACAAGCTCCGTGTTCTGGTCATCTGACGCTTGCCATTCTGTCCCCTCGTCCCGTTTCCCCTTTATACTCGTTGAATTTCTGGTCCAAGAACAGTGTATGAATTTCTCACAGCAACCAGTGATCATGAAGTTGTTTTCTGGAAGCGTTGTCACGCAAGTCGTCGCGGTTTGACAAACCCGGGGTCAAACTGTGTCCGTGTAAGCTCCGTTTACGCTTCCATGATTTCGATGCTGTTCCTTGCGCTACGTGATGGCTTCTAGATCCTACACGGGCTCTTAATATTGAAGGAAATACCTGTTCTGATATGGGTTCACTTACTGAGGACTACGTTCTGGGTATGGAGACGTGTACTGGTTCAACTGCTGCGGCGAAGCCATGTTTTGAGTGCCTGAACACGGCTCATAATCCTGTGGAGACTGCTCATGCATCTGCGGACTTTGAGCTTGGTGCTGGGCGACTGTAGCTATTCCTCCATCCTGCATGGGCTGTTGGAAAGCCTGGTGAGCATCGCCGTGATGTAACTGGGCTGGAGAACGACTGAGCGTCGGGAATCGAGGAGCTTGTTGATGTGCTTGTAGGAGCGGAGCCCACTGCTGGATACTTGGATGCGGCGCATAACCTTGGATAGGCTGCTGTTGTCCGATGTAGGCAATGGGTCCACGCTGATTGTATGCATCCGTGGGCCCGAACTGTGCGCGTGCGATTGCCTCGTTCATATTTGGGTATGGATAGAGGGGCATCGGAGGTTGACCGGGTTGTTGCTGAAGTGAGCCCGAGCCGGAAGCGAAGCCGAATGGAGGGTATCCATAGCCAGGAGCGAACCACTGTTGTGGAGGGTTCTGCATCTGGCCCGATCCCATTCCCCTGGCCAAGTACATGTTGCGCAGCGTGTCGAGATCCCTTTGGAGCTCGCCATTCACCGTCATTACTTCAACGAGGGCGTTCCGGGTATCCTGGAGAGCAAGTTCAAGATTCTCGTTGTCATCACCGGCATCGCTGAGCTCATTCATGAGCTTCTGGGTCTCAGCCTGAGCATCATTCAGTTGCTGTTCAAGGTCGATGGCTTTGTCTTCCTCGGGAGGATCATTGTAGGCGTACTTCCTCCACATCTTCTTCGTCTGGAATTCGGGGCACCAAGTGCCGAAGTGTTCCATCTTTCCGCAAGATGCACAAGCGCGGTCGCAATCCTTTGCCTGGCGAGTACCATGGTGCGGCTCGTTGCAACGGAGGCAGATTCCCGCATACCTGGAACGACTGCAGTCTACGTCAGTCACCGTCTTGGAGTGTACGCAAGTCTTGCAGCTCGTACTCAGCTGGCTTGTGCTTTGAAACTCGAAAGCGTTCATCGTAGTGGCTTTTGGTGACGTTGTCCTTGGCATTGTTCGGCCGTCTCGGTGGCTCGTTGCCGCCGGGCGAGCCTGTATGGGCTTGAGAGCGCGACATGGCGGTCGAAGTGGTCTTGGTCGGGGTTGCGGGTGTAGGAGGAAGAGAGTGACGCGCACTTGTGGCGCGACTTTAAGTCGGCCTCCGGGCATAGTCTCATGTGGCCAGCGCGCGCACCCAAAGCACAGGTACGCGCGGGCTTCCGTTCAGCACACTCATCCCAGCCATGCTCCCAGCAGGGCTGTTCACGGCGAGCTCTTAGACCAAGGACACCCACGCACCTCAGGGTCGACGGGTTTGTGGCGGCCAATGCTTGAGTAATAAATTACCATGCCTGCGTGGGTAGTTGAAGCTCACGTCCGGATGCTTTTGTACAATTTTTAATTCAACATCCACGTCCGGATATTAGCTTCAAGTCCCCCCACAAGTGCGATTTTACAGCCCGTTCTATCCTCCACTTTATCATCACTCCAAAAGTCTCTTTATCCGTGGTAATGGAAGCAGGGTGAGTCTACTACCGGGATAATCCAGCGCACTAGCCAGAAGAAATTTCAGTGGGAATTGCGGCTACACCAGTGAAGTGAACAGAGAGGATACGGCAGCAAGTCGGATGTTGGGCAACGACGACAAGGAACAACTACCGATCGATGAAGAAACTAATGAGTGCGGACGGAGTTTCTCTACGTGGTGATGCAGTCAAGAAGCAACTTTGAACCGTGGTAGGCGCGGTTCATCGGCTGGCGTAGTCTCACAAACGCCGTGGGCCGCAAATCCTCCTTGAATGAGCCTGAGGGTCGTCGATGTACGCGGCGGTGACCCATCCAAGTCCCGACTTGAGAGGATTCGCCAAACAGAAGCCCGGGTAAAGTCAGTGGCGGGCGCCTGCCTACGCTGGCGCGCTCGCTGCCCTCGAGCCCACCCTGTCACGTGTCGCGCCAAGCCCGCCCGGCCGCCGCGAGAGGCATACCAAAAGTCGCTGCCTCGATCTTCCCTCTCTTTCTCTCCTCACCACCCACAACAAACTTTGCCATTGTTCTGCTCGTAAGTCTGCCCTCGAGCTCAGCCTCTTGCACGCATGCGCCCGCGAATGCGACACAGCCGCTTCAAGGGCTCCTCGCTGACAGTTGAACATAGGTCATGCAGAACAATCAGCCGCCTTGCGGCCCTGGAGGCCCGGGCCCGCCAATTTACTATACGCCAGCTCCTCCAAACCACCAAGCCCAATATATCGCGTACCCTCAAGGTCCCCCACAAGACCAGGGTTATTTTGCGCCCTACAATTCGGTGCCGCCTCGTAAGTCGGGTTTATCTTGATTTACCTCCTCCTCTCACTTGACATCCCTACCGCTTCGTCTCAATGTCACCTTTTTCTATTCTTACGTGACCCGCGTCTCACCTTTTCAGCCTTTGAATGGTTTGACTGACAATATAGTAGAGAGCCAAGCACCGCCGCCTCCAAGCAACCTCGCCGCGGCTCCGCAATATGGCTTCACTCCACAAGCACCGCAATTCTACAATCCGCAACCAGGCTACGGCCAGGATCAAAACTATCATGCTTTGCTGGGCCACAATGCTCCGCAAAACTTTAACGCTCCGCCAAGTCACGGCGCTTCGCAAAACTATACCGCTCCGCAAAATTATCACACTTTGCAAAACCATAACGCAGCGCAAAATTTTAATGCTCCGCAATATTACAACGCTACACAAAATTACAACGCTCCTCAGAATTGCATCAGCGCGCCAAGCGATGGCTCACAGCCTAGCTATAACAACGCACCGAACTATGGTCAACAGCAGGGCTATGGTCTACAACGTGAGTTCACAAGCCTTCAAAGATACCAGATATAAGCTAACACTCTACAAAGGCTTGACTCCCCCGGGGCCACAGTCATCTTATACTGTTTCTGGGTCAGATCAACACGCCGAGCTCGTCGTGGCATCCCACTCGGATGATTCAAGGCTCAATAGTCCTTCTCTCGACACAGCTGCAGCTTCGACCATGTCAGCCACAGAGCCCGTCGGGTCTGTAGGCTCTGAGGACGGTCCCACATTGGCTGGAGCTCCTTCTCCGCCAGCTTCAGAGTTCGTCGAACCTGGAGGACACGAGGATGGTATCTCCGTCTCTGATGGCTCTATGTCTGAAACTCAACAAAGCCAGCAGGATTCGTACTACCTCAGACGCTTCAGGGACTTTGGCAGATTTCTCGACCCAAGGAACCCATACTGCTTCCTGGAGGGCGATTTCGGCTACGAGGAGCACATCGAGAGAATTCCTTGTTTCATTTGCGCTAATCACTTCAGCGGCATCGGCAGAGCAGGTGGCCATTGTGAAGTCAAGAACTGTCCTTACAACCACAACGTCTCCGTGGAAATGCTTGATGAGTATGCAGAGTCTTGTCCGGACTTCTGGTACCATATGATCGCATCCATCAACCGCCGAGCCTGGCATTCGCGACAAGTAAACCGCGCCCAGCAGCGAAACGCTGAAGAGACTGCGCAGACAGGGCGAAATCATAGGGCAATGGCCGTTACGCGAAGATACGGATTTCCCAGATGAAAATCACGTAATTACGCTATACCAATGCCTTTGGGCAAGATCAGCTCTCTATGAAACAACAGAAGCTGGTCCAAACGAAACAACAACTTGTCTAAACGCAACGGCAACTTGTTCAAACGCAATGGCAGCTAGCCTGAAAATCGCGCGTTTCTTCTGCGGCTTAGCTTGCCTATTCCACGCAACAGCGACCACGAAATCAGATAAAAGACGACGAGCCAATGTCCTTTTGACAGCGGCCACCAGCTCTGCAAAACAACGTTTCAGAGCAGCTCCAATTCCATAAGTTGGGTTGAAGGATTGCTCCGCGCCTCTAGGTTTTCCCCAGGGCCGAAGGTTCCATAATTGACCCCATGGTCAGCTTCAGACTGAGCTTGTCTCACTGGAGGCGGAATCCCCTTCGCTTGTAGGTAGAATAATCAATTATTCACCCAGTTATGTCATTAAACTGCCGCACATCATAGTTCAAGACTCGAGACATTTGAATTTTCCTGAATGTTTCCTCTCCATTCGCAATGAGGGTATACCCCGGGTCAAAAGCCATGGGCGATTCGACGGGACATGCTGGCCTGTTGGAAGTCTTCCATGTGCCTCAACGAGTAGTGAATTGCTATGCTATGCTACACATGCTTGTACATTTTCCAGAGTCACATGCACGGTGTTCTAGAAGTGACCATGTGCTTCTTCCATGCGATTGCCGAAAGTGACATGCCTGCCCAAAGCGTCGCTTCGGGAGCCTGGGCACATAGTCTTTTCGCGCTCGCGCTCCGCACCTCTTCCTCTTCCTCAACGCTCACACTCCCTCAGGATGTCGCCAGCAAGGATATTCACGGCATCTAATATTGAAGCTCACAAACACAGCTCCGCTGCCGCTGGCGGAGGAGGCGATCCGCCAAAGCGCCCACGCGGCGAGCCTGTGAAGGGCAATTGCTCCAGAAGCTCCATGTGAGCTCACCACCTCACTCTCCTTCTTGAATTACAGTTTGAGCTAACACAAATCCCAGTAAGAAACGATGGAAGAGCGAGTGGAGAGGACTGTGCTGCCGCTGTGGCCGGAAAAGGCACTGCGGCAGTTGGAGACGGTACCTCTATCGCTGTTACCACTGCAATACCGACGGACATATCGGAGAGCTTTGTCCCAATGTTGACAAAGATTGGTGGAAGATTGTCGGTGGAGGTAACGCTGATAAGCGTTTAGAGGATGTTTTCATCAATCCGCCCGTTCCTCCGCAGCCCGCCGACTCCTCATCTTCGCGAGTCTCATCTCCGCAAGTTTCACCTCGGCGCGCCAGCGACAATGCGCTCCCGCAAGTCTCCCATCGGCAAGTTGCTCTTCCACGAACCACCAACAATCCGCGTCACCGTCGTCCTCAGCAGCTCGAGGATGAAGAGTCAACTCCACGCATGCGCACATACGCGAGTGTCGCTGGTGCTCGGGACCAGCAATCCCGGCCCAGTCAGCCCCAGCACGCACAGAATTCTTCGGCTGAACGAGATGCTAGGCGTGTCGCCATTCGTCAAGCAGGCCCCCAAGCTGAGCGCGACAGGCGCCGAGATGAAGCACCTTCCTCTCGTTTCTCGGACCGGGTACCAGCCCCGCAATTCACTTCGCCGCTTCTTAGGCCGAACACGAATGGCCACCCATACCCACAGCCTACACCTACGGGAGGCTGGCCCACTGCATCGCATTTCCCCATGATGGGTCCAACTGCACCAATGACTCCCTTTCCAGGCTTTCCGTACCTTTCCACCCCAAGCGAACCACAGTATGGCGCCATGCTAGGTTACGCTCTGAATTACGCCTCGACCATACTACAGCATATGGGCCGTATGTCGTCTGACAACCACCAGCCCTCTGGACATAGTACACGTGTTGAAGAGGAAGTTACGTCGCCTGAGGAGACTCCAACGTCTAGGCGGGCCGTACGGGCGACAAAGAGAAGGGGAAATGGAAATGACAGTCGAAACCCTCAAGACCAATAGTTGGTAACCTTGCTGTCTCCCGTGGCTCACCTGAACACTTGGACGGCCTTCTCAAAGACCTCAGTTGCCTGCGTGATGGTTATCTTTTGGCATTTCATTCAGCATCCCTTACGGGATGAAACTTCTCAGCCATGTTTCTCTTGAAACTGTTGGGCCTCACTCACTGTAGAGGCATCATTGCTGTGCACTCTTCTCATGTGCCAGTCCGCACCATAATACGGTGAGAGAAAAAGGAACGGTACCTTTGTTTCTTTGTGGCATGGCTTTTCACTTGCTGAGAAGATACAGCTTCACTCCTGGAGGAGTAAGTATCTCGATGGATCGGTGTCGATGGAGCTTAAATGGCTTCGCAGGCATACGCCGATAGTGCCTTCTCATCGCGACCGATGCCAGCTAACAGTCGGGAGGTATACTAGTGAAATGGAACACTTTGCTGTCAAAATGCGTGCGTTGTTTTGATTGTAAAGTAGTGAAATGCCATGTCGGGAAATATTTGTGCAGTCGTAATAAACTCGGATCTACATCCGGAGAATTAATTCGACCATGCGAGCAAGAGTTGGACATATGCAACGGCAGGTTTGCTCCAAATGCTGCTTGGAATATGATATCTTGCTCAGGAGACGAAAAGACAAGGCGTCCAGTTTAGGCGGTGACGATCATACGCAACTAAATACCATAGGGCTGTAAGACAGCTACTTAAAAAGGAATATGGTGCTCAGGCATTACACCAACACCAAGACAAATCTCTTGGCATCAGCGTGGCTGAGGTAGTGTGGGGGCGGAGACGATCTTTAGCGGCACAAGCTGAACTGCGGGACAAACCTAATCCGCGACACCTCAAACCTTCCCTAAGTGTCGTTCGACAGGACAGTAATCGGACCAAATTCTCTGGAGCTGGCTCGTTAGAATATCGACACAATGCAGAAACGAAGATCACACACCAAGTCGCGCAGAGGATGCAAGGGCTGCAAGGAAAAACATATCAAAGTACTTAGCCATGACTCCACGAGCTTCCATCGACTGACGGCGCGCAGTGCGATGAACAAGGACCGCCGTGCGCGAATTGCAAATCCCGGGGGCTACCATGCGCCTATCCACAACAACGCTCCTCGCGCGGCAGCGGTGGTGGTGGTCCCTCCATTAAATCCTCGTCGTCCCCCTCATCCTCCTCAAACTCCACCCAACTCAGCCCCCGCCCGTCCATCTCGGCGCACCTGCTGCCCATCGACTCGTCGCCGACGCGGCGGCTGCTCGAGCTGGAGCTGATGCACCGGTGGTCGACGCGCACGTACAAGGGCATGTGCGGCATCCCGAGCGACGCGACGCTGATGCAACTGGAGCTGCCGCGGCAAGGGTTGTCGGAGCACCCATCCCTGCTGCACGGCATCCTCTCGCTATCAGCGCTCGACCTGGCCACGACAACGGCCGACCCGCGGCAGGTGCAGGGCTACCACCGCGCCGCGCTCGAGTACTACGGCCACGCCACGCGCGCCTTCCAGGACGAGATGCTCAACATCACCCGCCAGAACCACTTCGCCCTGTACATGCTCTCCGCCTTCTTCGGCGTCTTCCACTCCGCCGTGCTGCATCTGCCGTCGATAACCGATGGTGGTGGTAGTGGTAGTCGTAGTAGTAGCAGCAGTAGTAGTAGCGGAGGGCCAGGGGGAGGAAATGAGGAGCAGGATCAGGTGAAAATGCCACCCAACAGCGTCCTGGACCGCATACCCGAGATGTTCGCGCTGCAGCGCGGCACCGCCGTCATCGCGTCCAAAACGTTCATGTGGCTCCACGAGGACTACGAGTCGTTCCGCCTGGTGCGCGAGATGGGCGGCGCCCCCGCCAGCCTGTTGGACGCCGACACGCGCCGCGCCCTGGCCCGGCTGGACGTCGTGAACGACGCGCTATACGGAATCGTGCGGACGCCGCCATTGTCGGAAGACGATGATGGTTTCGACGACGGCGGCGGAGAGGGCGTCGCGTACGGCGACATCGCCATCAAGGCGCTGCTGCACCCGTCGCACGAGACGTACGCGGCCGCCATCAGCGACCTGCGGCGCTGCTTCGCCGAGCACGCGCGCGGCTGGATCGACGGCTTCGTCATGGCGTTTCCCATGTGGATGGGCAAGGACGTCGTCGCCGCCATGGAGCGCCGCGACGACCCCATGGCGCTGCTCGTCCTCATGTACTTTGGCGTGCTGCTCGAGTTCAACGGCCGCAACCAGTGGTGGTGCGCGTCGCTCGGCGCCAAGCTGGTCGTCGAGATTTCCGACGTCTTCGTCCGCTCCGGTAGAGAGTTTGGGCTCGAGTTCTGGGACGCTGTGGCGTGGGCCCGGCGGCAGTGCGGGTTGTCTGTCGGTGGCGTCTGCATGTCGTCGTCGTCGTCGTCGCAGGACGACGGGAGGTCGGGGGAGGTCGAGGTCCTGGAATGAAGAGGCGGTTGGTGTATATAGAAGCAGATTTGCATGTGGTACAAGACAGGCTAATCTCAAGTACAGATATAGACTGAGAAAGGAGTGATGAATGCATCGCTAATATCCACAAGGAAAAGACTATTGGAAAAATAACATATGTGGGTAGATGAAGCTGTCGTCCGGACGAGAACGTCGAATTAAAAGTTCTACATATAGGACTGTACGGAAGAGGTGGATGAGAGTCTACGACAAATCTTCGGGGATGACGTCGGACCATTTTACGTCTAGGTCGAAAAAGGGCAAGTCCGGTTCGCACACAGTGCCGGGCTCGGGTAACTTGCCGCTTACAAAGTAATCGTGGATGGCCTTTGTGGTACAAACCGAGGTCTGCGCAGAAGAGCCGTGCTGCATTGAAAAAGAATCGTCAGCTTTCCATTATAAAAAAGAAAGCGGTTGCGAGGAACACACTCCAAAGCCTCCATGTTCCAGTAGAGCGCTTCCCGGGAAGGATTCACTGGCATTCTTTGCCGAGACGAAAGGTGTGACGGCGTCGTACGTGTTACCGATGATAAGGAGCGGATGCTTGGTCTGCACGTTATAGTCACCTAGGTATCGCTCCTTGGATTCGACCGGCCATTGGGAGCATATCATGACATCTTCCGCAACATCGCCCTTAATTCTGCTGAGCTGCACCATCTTCTCCAGAAATGGCATGACATCTTCGATGCGGTCTGTCCTCATCATTTTGTCGGCGCAGTAAATAGCGTAATAGGCCTCAGCTCCTCCATAGGGGTCATCGAAGACTGTCAGGTCAGCGTCAGCAGCAAACTCCCCTTTCATCGCGGCACTGATAAGCTTAGCCAGAGTAGGAAGCCGGTTGTGAGTGTAGAGGGCCAGCCTGGTCAAGATTTTGATCACGCTATAGTTCATCACGAATCTTGGGCCGGCAATTGGGTGGTATTTGAGGTCGTCCTCCAACCAGCTGTAAAACTCTTCTCGAAAGCAGCCGCGGTCGTGTTTAAACGGGCCAGGGCACATTTCTCCTCGCCTGCATCGAAGCATTCTTCCAAGAATTTGGAGAAGGCTTTGTCCGCGTCTGTCAGCGTCTCGACGTCTCTGATAGTTGAACAGTTAGCTTCATGCGCTAGAGAGGGTGCATGATACATACTGAGAGTGCCAGTACTCATGGATATTCATGACAGCGTCCAGAATCATCCTATCGATGCGATCTGGGAACATGGCTGCAATGGTTGCGCCCAACACAGCGCCATATGACGTGCCTAGTAGTCTACCGTCAGCCACCAGTACAATATCCGAATTTCTCGTCTTACCCCAGTATCTCAGCAGCCCATCCTCGCCCAGGACGGTAGCGACAGACATGTAATCCCTTGCTGTGTACGCGGTTCCGATGTAGCCCCCGGAGGTCGTGATGTTGGTATTGTTGGCGCAGATGCCGGTGTAAACCTTCGTGATGGCCCAATTTTCACCAAGCGTTGTATCGGAAGAGTTCCAAGGCCAAGCTGTGTTCGCAGAGTTCCAGTCCTTGTAGTCTTTTGGGGTGGCGAAGCACGAGAACGGGAGTGTGTATGGTGTAGTTCCCCTGATAATCATCAGTTCGTCCTTAGCCGGGTACAATCCCCTGCTAGCATAAATCTTTCATGTCATGGGTAGTTGAAGCTATCGTCTGGACGATAGCTTCATCTACCCACATATGTTAATTTTCGAAGGCACCTCTCTGTATGGGAGACTTTTACCTTGGATCAAGGGTAACAAGATCAAAGGAGCCGCCGGTATACCTCAGAAGTTGATCCGCCCTTTTTGCTAGAAAGGGTCCACCTGGAAGTCCGGGACCGCCAAAGTTGAACAAGATGGTTCCTTGTGAAGGCTGCTTTGTCGCAGCCACTTTATAAAGTCTGAGCTCGATCGTCTCACTTGAGTTGGGTGCCAGGTAATCCAGCGGAACTCGATACCCGCCGCAGACCACTGGCATGGTTTGGCCTGGGATTTCGCACGGGGCCCATTGGTTCTGAGTTCGAGGGGCTGCAAAGGCAACAGCCGCTTGGGCGAGCATGAGTTTGGAGTTGAGAAGCATGGTTGAGGTTGTGGGCATGATGAAGGGCCATTGTTGCTTGTTTAAATAAAAAAAAAATAGAATGGCTTGTTGGGATATGGAAAGTGGATCCAAGGTTCTATGCAAAGTATTTGGGTCGGATTTGTTGGGCAAAGGTCGACCAAGGCTGGCGGTGTTCAGTGTGGAATATGTAGGGTTCAAGAACGCCGGTTGTACAGCGACTCTCTCGATACGCGTATTTCATCCACTGTGGGAATGGCCAATCAGACGGGCAACCGATGACGAGGATCAAGGATCACAACCTCCCGATCCGAACCGCAGCAATCCATAGCTGCACGACCGCATTCAGACTTCGGGTCTTTCTTTCCATTAGCCTGAGCATTCGCGGATCGAAGTCACGTGCGTAATTGCTGCCTGAGCGGAGGGTCCCCGCGCCAGGCCACAACCGGCCCCCACCCCCGAATGACTCCTCCGGCTGGACCTGTCGAAACGAGCCTAGTCAAGCCATTTAAAGAGACAGCTCACTGGAAACCAATTGATCACCGACAACAACTTGCAAAAATGCCTATCCAAGACATAGATGCTCTGCACGGTACTCTCCTGCCGTTTGGATACTTGGCATCAGCCCAGGGTCCAGTTCTGCCTTCGGCACAGGTGCTCGACAAAGCTCGGAGCGCCCTGGTCCACACTCTTCCCGAGACAGGGCTTGGCTACCAGAGAGCAACCAGCCACCTCGTTGATGACATTGTCCCCGCATTGAACGCTAACAGCAGGTCTGCCAACTACTACGGCTTCGTCACCGGCGGCGCCACTCCTGCCGCAGCTCTCGCCGACAATCTCGTGACAGCCTACGATCAGAACGTCCAGGTCCACCTCCCCAATGAAACCGTCGCCACCGACGTCGAGGATCAAGCCCTCCGCCTCCTGTGTCAATTGCTCAAGCTGGATCCCGACGATTGGCCCCACAGGACCTTCACCACCGGCGCCACTGCGAGCAATGTCCTCGGTCTTGCATGTGCGCGGGAGCACGTCCTCCGCGCCGCTTCTTCCAAGAATTCGGGCCAGCCCGTCAGCGTTGGCGAGTTGGGTATCGTGGAAGCTATGCGTGCTGCTGGTGTAGATAGCGTTCAGATCCTCACCACCGTTCCTCATTCTTCTCTAGCCAAGGCGGCCAGCATTGTTGGACTCGGCCGCGCGTCAGTCAAGTCCGTGTGTCTTCCTGGTGCATCGCATCGCTTTGACATAGCGAAGCTGGAGGCTGCACTGGCGTTGGAGAGGACAGCGTCTATCGTGGCAATATCCTGCTCCGAAGTCAACACTGGCCGCTTCGCAACGTCTGGGTACGCAGAAATGGCCCAAATCAGGAATCTATGTGACAAGTACGGTGCTTGGATCCATGTGGATGCTGGTGAGTCTGCAGCCAGCCATGGAGACAGCGAGCAACACTTCTGACTCTCCCAGCATTTGGCCTTCTTGCCAGGGCACTGGCCACAGACGAATTTTCCCAGATTATCTCGGCAACCGAAGGAATGGAACTCGTGGATTCCATCACCGGAGATGGCCACAAGTTGCTCAATGTGGTTAGTCACCCTCTTCCCGTCTCCCTGCCGTTCCACCCCCAGTCTAACCCCCAGCATCAAAGCCCTACGATTGCGGCTTCTTTTTCAGCCGCCACCTGCAAACCGGACAAGACACCTTCCAGAATGCGAACGCGGCGTACCTGAACGCCGGCGCAGCCGGCAGCGGCTCCTGCATCCCTTCTCCCCTCAACATCGGCATCGAAAACTCGCGCCGATTCCGCGCTCTGCCCGTCTACGCCAGCCTCGTCGCCTATGGACGAGAGGGCTACCGTGAGATGCTAGAGAGGCAGATACGCCTCTCTCGCGCCATCGCCGGCCTCATTCTCGACCACGCTGCATACGAACTCTTACCCCAGTCTGACGCGTCAAGGAACGATATTTTGGGCGGAATCTACATCATCGTGCTCTTCCGCGCTCGAAACGAAACGCTCAACCGGGAGCTCGTCAAGCGCATCAACGCGACCTCCAAGATCTATGTCTCTGGCACGTCTTGGGAGGGTGCTCCGGCCTGCCGCTTCGCTGTGTCGAACTGGCAGGTTGACCAGGAACGAGACCTGGCAATCATTCGTGAGGTCCTAGACACTGTAAGCCGGGAATTGTGAAACTTCCTGGCTGCGACAGCAACGCCAGCGTTGGGGAAAAAAGCAGAACTCGGCTACGATGAAGAGATAATAGACAAGACCCGTGTGGTATCACGCCCTGCAGTAAAAATAAGGACGCACATCATTGGCCCACTTAATCGCGGCAGCTCGAGCAAACACTAGCACGCAGCGGAGGCATTCATAATGACGAAATGGGCACTGATTCGAACCAACCCCGGAAGGCTTAAAATCATCAGCTATTGAAACATTGGCCAAATCCTACGTAAACTAGTCTCCAGGACCGAGCGCGACGGGCCCACTTGGCTTCTCTCTTACGCGGCGTCTGATCCCTGTCGAATGAGTGAATCTGGAAACAATCGAACCGTAGGGAAACGTTCCAGAACACGCGCCCGCTTTTACAGGGGGTATTGCATCCGAAGGCGAGCATTGACTGTTTTTCGTTCATATCATGGGTACTTGAAGCTATCGTCCGGACGAAGGTGTCGAATTAAAAATTGTACATACACGTCCGGACGATAGCTTCAACTACCCACGTATTGTTTTACTTTTGGTTCAAAAAAAAAAAAGGAGGGGGTGAAAGGCCGCGCCATAGCTACCCCAGATTCGAGGATCCTGCTGTACGGGACGGAAAGGCTACCAGGATCGTCGCAGTGTCTCGGAGATATTGACCTCTCCCAAACAACCCGAGTCTGGTAATACTAGCAAAAGCACGTCGACTTCACATGAATGCATCGATAGACTCAGTGGTTGCGTTCGAAATCTCAATGGCGCTATCTACATTTTACAGAAAGATGCTTTACAGAAAAAATGCTGTACAAAAAAGACGAATGCTCTTCTCCCGTCAATATCATCACTTTCATCCCATCCGCTCATCATCATCCAAGCGACCACGCGCTTAAGAGGAAGGAGGAGTGCCGGAAGGAGCGGTGCCAGAAGGAACAGCGCCGGAAGGAGCAGAGCCACCGCCCATGCCGGAGCCGGACTCGGAGTTCTCGTAGCCACCGTTGGCAGAGTAGTAAGCGGCAGGGTTGACGGTGTAGTTGGCGGTCGAGTCGATGCCGACCGAGATCCAGGAGAAGATGCCGTCAGAAACCGAGTCACCGAGCAGGACGTACTCGACAACGGGGTCGATGTCGTCAGCCTCGCCGGAAAGGATGCTGTCATCCTCGTTGAGGGTCCACTCCTGGGTGTTGGTGCTGTAGGGCTCGAAGGTCTCGACCTCGTTGATCAGGTCCTGGTCGAAGAAGATCTGGCCAACGTGAGCACTGGTGGTGCCGCCAGTGATGGTGCCGTTGGGCAGGAGCGACCACGAGCCGGGGCTGTGGGCGAGGACGTGGATGTGGTTCGTGCGCGACGTGTAGTGGCCGGGGACGATGGAGACGAACTGGAGCACGCCGTCCTCGTTGGTGGCCTGGATGCCGCGGAGGAACGTCTTGTCGAGGTTGCTAGTGTCGGAGGAATCGCCGTTGCCGCTGGCAGCGATGCCCGAGTAGACACCGGTGGCGTTGCAGTGCCAGAAGTCCATGGCGACATCCTTCACGGGCTCGCAAGTGTTGGTGTCGATGACTTGGATATCCACGTAGAGAGGGACACCCTCCTGGGACTCGGTAATGTTCTGACGGAACAGCTCGCCAACCACATACTAATCGCACAACCTGTTAGCATTCAAGTCCTTCAGTGTGCATCATGGAATAGGGGGTCTCACGTAAGGACCCTGGGTGGTCTCGGGAGCAAGAATGCAGGAGTTGTTGCCGGTGAAGAGGAAGCTAGGGTCGGCATTGGGGGTGACACCGGTAAGGTCCGAGTGGTGAGAGGTGTTGAGGACGGTGTCGAGGTCACGCTTGGCGAGAGTAGCACGCTTGCTGAGCTGGTCGTGCATGGCTTGGCGGCGGGCGGCGTTCTTAGCCGCAATGCCGCGAGCCTCGAGCTTCTCGGCGCAGTGGGAAAGAGAACGCTTGCTCATCTTGGCCATGTTGGTGCGGCGCTCGAGAGCCTCGGCCTTGTGGTCATGGTGCGGGTGGGCAACAACCTCGGTGGCAGCAAGGACGGAGAGCGCAACAGCGCCGAAAGACTTCATGTTGACCATCTTGAGAGTGAAATGAAGGATGGATCTATCAAAGATCAAGAGAATGAGTGGGAGAGGAGTGTTGAGAGCGAGAGATGAGCTTGGTGATGGAGGGAGAATCGTGGCAGGTCCCAAGGCCTTTTATTCGTACAGGTCAAAGCAGACTGCCGCCGAGCACGGCATCGATGCTGCCCTGATTGCGCAGGGCTAGACATTGCCAATGGGAAGGAAAGTGATGCACGACACGTAAGCCTGGCCACTGGAGCATGAAGCGGGAAGAAAGCACAGGCGCATGTGGAGAAGTTAGTGTAGTCTGGTCAAAGATTCGAGGAGAAAAGCAAGGACGAGCGCTTGAAACAAAGGCGAGTGACGCAAGGGGAGGCTGAAGTGGCCTCTCCACGCGTAGCGGGCGAGGCGTCCGCGTGGCAGGGCGCTAGGCCCGGGGCGTATGGTGTTTAGCAGGTCTATATTAGCGGCACGGTTTAGGAGAGTAGTGAGTAACGCAAAACGCGCGAGGCGTGATTGGACCGAGGCGCAGTAGAAGGGCGTCTGGCTGACGCGGATGGCTTCGGCGGTAGAGGAGGCTGAGAAAACGGCGTGGCGCTAGCCGGATGGGGAAGTGGGAGGAGAAAGAAGTCGTCGTCAGCGCTCTTGGCGAAGGCTTGGCGTTGGCGCACAGGGAAAGGGCGATGCCTAAACAGCCGGTGTTCGAGTCTGAACGAAACGCTCGGGCTGTCGTAAGCAGCCTCGCGCGCCCCGCCATTGGGCAGCCGCTGCAAAAGTAGACGCGCAATTGCAAACCCTTTGCTCGGAGCTCGCTACTGGCTGCAATCTAGCGGCGCAGCACAGAGCGAGGCCGCGTCACTCGCCGGCGAACATTTGCCGGCCCTGACGGCGGCAGTCAGTCAAGCGGCTGCTATGGACATGAATCAAGCACCATGCAAACCTTCACTTCACTTCTCTTCCTTTTCCGCGGGCCATCACCACACACTCGCCGCCCTCACCTCGAGCTGGAGTCGACTCCGCGACCTGGCCACGTCAAAATGTCGTCTCTGCTGAAGCAATCCGGCACACAGCCCTTCCAGCCTGACCAACGCCTTGCGACGTAGCATCAGTTGAGACCAACCACCGTTCGCCGCCGAGTTCGATTCGTGCACATTCCCTGAACGGACCGGCCCCTATCCCGCAACCTCGAACGTCTGCGGAGATCGACTCCGACACGAGGACAAATACTGCTCCCCCCTCGTGTCGCCACCTCAGCCTTGTGCTGTCGAGTGTGGCGTCGCGGAGCCATCAGAGGCACCAACGGCGAGCACTCCGAATCCGAACTCCCCCACCCCAAACCAGGAAGCGACCGGCCCCAACCACCGGCGAAAACCCCGCCGTGAAGCTGAGTCCCCAACTTCAGACGTCTGCAGGAGAAGTGTCCGACAAAACAAGTGGACCCTCCAGCCATTCATGTCCGCACAAAATGCGGGTCTGCTGTGCTCCGTACGAATTAGGAAGTTGCACTCCTGATACTATCATCACCTTCTTCACGAAGCTTACACTGCCTTTGCTACTGCCGCACGTCGGAAGGTAAGCCGCTCTGGCTCATATGACTTCTTAGCTTCCATCGGTTATGCTTAAGTGCGAGCGACTCCAGACCCTACGCAGTGGCGTGCTATTGGATGCGACCATCTCATGGTTCCTAAGTCAATATTCCCAGGAATATGACGTGAGCTTGTATCATATTGAAAAGTAGCTGGAACTGGCTTCTGCCAATCATGACTTCGCGGTCTGTCACAAAAACACTGCATTGGTCTGCCTCTGCCTTGTTGCTCGTGCACATATGAAGTTGATCTGTTCGCCATAGAGTCTTTATCTAGTGTCGGGCTTTTGACAGGAGGTATACAGGCTGACTTGTGAACGGCGCGCGCATATGTGTACCCTCACTGCCTACCCACCATCGTCTGAGAAACCATTCTCGAATGGCAGACCCAGCTATCAGGTATGGGGTCCAGCTTTAAATGCAAAATAAACAGTCCCCTCTTACAGCCAATGGCTAGCGTAGATTTATTTTTTACTTATGCCATGGGTAGCTGAAGCTATCGTCCGGACGTATATGTAGAATTAAAAATTCGACATCCTCGTCCGGACGATAGCTTCAGCTCCCCAAATATATTATTTTTTAAGGCAGTGCTGGGAGCCCTACTATTCTTCGCGCTAGCTATCGGCTGCGAGAGGGGGCTGTATAACATACGTGCACACATCTATCCTTGCGTGCGGATCAGTATCCCGTATGATGACACTCGAGACAAGCAGACAATGCCCTTAGCCAATTCACACTTAATTTTTATTGGATATCTAACCCGCTACTTCCAGCCCGATCACTCACACCTCAGTCATCATCGTCAGCCTCATCATCGACCATTGGCTCCTGTGTCCTTGCCGAAGGTGCCTTGGTCTCCTGCTTCCGGTACAGTTCGGCCAGGAAATCACTTGTGCTCGCCTCCTCGATGCTTTTGTCCTCTCTGACTCGTAGGAACCGCGGAAAGCGGAGGCTGAGGCCGCGCTCCTCACTGATGAGGCCAATGGCTGCAGTGTAGGTCGGACTGAGTGTAATATCGGCGAACGCACACTCCCAGACCTCTTGAGGCTCGAACCAGACGGCAGGTTCGCCGTTGTACTCCACGAAGGCCGGCTTGCTTGAACGCACGTTGGAAATTCCTTTCTTTCCATCTCCTTCTTGCCCCTCGCTACCCTCGCAGTCATCGTCCGAAGCAGCGGCCCCTGCGTCGGGATCGTATTTGGCTCGGTTGGCGGTGTAGAATTTGTCAGTGAATCCGGACATGCACTTGGTGACAGCTTCGAGACAGCCGGTTTCAGGATTGCGCACGGCCAGCAGGATAGGCGACCACCACTTGCACTTGCGGCCGTTGCCGTGCCAAGCACCGATAGGGATGAGGTCAATCGTGTCGGCTGACGTGTTGTAATCCTTCTTGACTTTGAGCCAGGAGTCCAGACGTTTGTCGGGCTCATATGTAGCGAGGAGAGCTTTACGACGACCACCCTTACTCTTCTCATCCTTCTCTTCTGCCTTTCCAGCATCGGTATCATTCCGCTCTGGCATGTTCGTGTTCTTTGTAGCTTTCTTTGCTTTTTGTGTTTTGACTGGGGTGGGAGGTGCTTTTTCGTCCGTCGTAAGATCCGGATTGGGTAGATTATCCAAGACCTTGACCATGATGCCTTCGCACTTGTTCTCCGTCGCCCTCTTGAAGAAGTCGCTCACAGCTTCCTGATCGATTGATGAAGCGTCAAGGCTTTCAACCCACGTAAAATGGTTCGGGATCTCTGAAAAGAGGCTTCTGAGCAGAGACCGCCGTTCTCGAAATGGCCGGTCCAGCAACTCTTCGCCGTTCAGGTACATTAAGTCAAAGGCAAAAAGGCATACGTCGATCTTAACGTTGTGGATCACCACGTCCTTGCGTGCTCGATTGGAAAGCACCTGGAAGGGCTTAAGATCACCAGTCTCGCGATCGATGGCCACAACTTCACCCTCGAGGATGAAGCTACTGACACCTTCTCCACGTATCTTTGGCACCAAGGCAACAAGGTCAGGATACTTGTCAGTCATGACTTCTAGATGGCGAGAGAAAATCGTGACTTTGCCTTGTGCATCGCAATGTACTTGTGCGCGCTGGCCGTCATACTTGAATTCGCAGCTGAAATCCCGCCCTTGAAGCTTCGTTAGCATTTCGCCCAGATCGCGGGTAATGCTTCCGAGCATAGGCCGTAGAGGAATGTGCATCGAAAGCCCACAACGAAGGAGCAACTCGTCACACACTCCAATTTCGAGGAGGGTGGGCACAAGGTCGTTGTAATTTGGCCGACGGGCAAAACAAGCTTTCACGATTTCTTCGTTGTGCGAATAAATCTCCGAGAGCTGCTCTTTCTTCAACTTAGCCAGTGATGAGAGTGGTTGGATGAGGAAACTCGCTCCGGGGGGGCGCGACATCAGGAAGGCTCGAGATAAGGCAATAAGCATGGTCGTCTTGACGGCGCCAATGCGGAGATGCTGGACCAAGGTCCTGACGATGTAGCGGGATTCTTCGGCGCCCCTTGAGTCCTGCAATAGCCGCTCCACAATGCGCTGCTTGATTTCTTGGCTTCCCTGGCCTTTGCTGTTCGCAATCTTGACCAGTGAATCGTATACCGACTTGATGGTTAAGGGCTTCGGTTTTCGCAATGTAAAGCTCTGGCGTTTCTTCGCTTCAAAGGCTACGTCTCCAGCGTCTCCATATTTGTTGTATAGGCTCCTCAAACCAGCGTTATTCAACCCGCATACTTTGATCAGGGCTTTCGAAATAGCCGATCCGCCCAGACCCAGCTCGAGATCGGCATAGGGCGGCGCAATAGAGTTTGTAGCAAGCCAGACCTGCTAAAATGTAAGCGGATATAGAGTGTAAAATGGAGGCACACCAACAGCAGGCAACACGCTTTCCGGATCACCTTCAATGATTGTCCGTAACAGATTGACCAACGTGTCTACGATCTTGATCCTGCTCTGCGTACTGTTGACCAAAACAAAACACCTGGTCAACAGCGCATACGTCGCGTGTCCTCCATCCGCCGCCCAATGTGATTTCAAGTCCGGAACATACTTGGAGGGTTCGAAAGTGAGAGGGCTTTGGTCGAAAGGTATAGTCGAGGCAATTGCGTCCTCGTCAGTTGCAGTAGATTGTAATTTGAGAGTATTCTTGACAGTTGGGGGCTGAAGCACATGTTCGACTACACCATTCATATCTGCTGTGGAACTTCCCTCGCCGCCTGGAGTGTACTGCTCGTTGTCGCCACCACTCCTGCCTTCCAGGGGGGTTTCTTGCCGCTCCGGCTCCTCGGTATTATGGACACCATCTTCTCTATTCCACTCTTCTTGAAGTTTCCTGGCAAGTTCTTCATCGGACAGCTGGGTGTCTGCTCGGCCGTTATGTGGGCTCTTCGCCGCATCTTGGTTTGGCGTCGAGGCAGACGCAGTTTGAGTCTTGTCTTTCTGCTTTGCAAAAAAGTATTCAAGGTTGTGCACGGGTTTTTCGGAAGCCTTGAAGTCATTTTTCTTGCGTCGTTTTGCCGGACTGCTCATGATGATAGCGTGTTGGATTGTTGCGGGCGGAAAGTGAAAGTCAGCTGGTCGCAGCTTAAGCTCACATCAATCGCGTCATAGGGACCTGCCAGATACCCGCGGATCTTCCGGAGCTAAGCCCAAACTGTGGGTGATTTCCCGTTGTTTCTGCAGCCGATGGCCAGCCTCGAGATATGCCTCATTTTTTCAAAAAAAAAAAAACAACAAATGGGTAGTTGTTGAAGCTATCGTCCGGACGTATATGTATAATTATCAATTCGACATTTACGTCCGGACAATCGCTTCAACTACTCATGACATGAGCAAAAAAAAAAAAAACAAATCCACGCTAGCCATCGGCTGCGGGAGGGGACTGTAGGAACATCACGTGTGGAATGTTCGATTGTTTTGCAACCTAGTTTAATTCATGTACCTGAGTTCCTGTGCTGTGCAACGCTATTGGAGCGTGCCCACAACGTCTTTTTTTTGTAATGGCCTAGTCCTCCGTAACAAAAAGGCTGTAATCCTTGATCTCAAAAGTCTGCAGAATATGCTGCTTAATTGCTGTGGCGGCGTCCATAAGCGGGCCCTGCCTTGCTGCTGCAAAGTCGACATCTTCCTTGGGATATTCGCCGGGCACGTGAGGGACATTGACTGTGATGACAATGTCCGTCTTCTGCTCGATTAGGCGCACGAGAACCAGTAAAATTCCCGTAAAATCCGGCTGCGGCCTGCGGTTCTCTGGCGCTGCAGCTGGGTGTTGAGTTGCAACAAGGGAATACGCGGGGACGTTACTGGTGGGCGTATCAGCAATGTGAAAAATACCTTCTCTCACAACAAGAGCCTCATAACTCTTACTGTGAAAGTTTTTCAGACTGACTTACGGCATGCGTGCAAGAGATGCAACGTTGAATTGCCAGGTTTGAAGCGTGTCGTTGGGCTCGACTATGTCCGAGAGGTGGTACTTCAGCGCTTCCTCGTCATTCCGTGCCTCAGGCTCGTCGACCCGCTCAGTCAGGTCGAAGATGACGCTGGTCAATCCATTTCGGTCGAGCCAGACTTCTTGAGTATCTGGTACCTCGCGGATAGAGCTGGCACTGTCAACCTGTGCTTTGTTGCCAATACCGAAAGCAAGCAACGTACCTCACATCGCCGAAGACAGATGGGAGCTCAACCGTGATGGCACCGCCATAAAGTTGTACAGAAACAAAAGCAGACATGGCTCGTGTAGTTTGTGAGGAATGGTTGAGAAAGCTGTGTCAGTGTCGCAGATTTCGCGGTCGCCTTTATGTTGCGCGTGGTTGGCAGGCAGAAGGTCAGGCAGCAAGCAAGGTTGCGCCGCAGCTTGCGCTTACCTAGACGTACCTAGGTCACAGCGCATGAGTACTGAAAGAAAGTACTACACACTCGGCCAACCCATTCATCTTTCAAACGGTCGTGACAGTGTTGTCAAAAAAAAAAAAAAAAGCACTTTGGCCGTAGCTGACGTCTGGCTATGTCATGTTCTGTGTATCGCTACAGCTTCATGACTCGAGCACCAAATCCTTGGAACACATGGACGTAAATCAACATGACGAATGCGCAGATGTGCGACGATTCAGATCATAGTACGCCAAAGCTATAGAGAGCAGCATTTGCCTTTTGCGGGGCCGCAACGGTTCTAGCCCAGCCTTGCTGCAAGACGATGCAGCGCACCGAGAAGCGTGCTGACTGTGGATGGCCATCCGGAACGCCAGGCGCATCCGTCCATCCGTGAGATATTCCCTCATGGACATTGCATCTCGATCCTGCCCCGTTTAAGGGATGTAGGAGACCCTTGCGGGCACATCACTGCCCACATCCCCGCTGGTTTACGCAGCCACGGCGTCATACGGCTTCTGTGCCCAATCGGACAGCGCAGATATCAGAAACGTATCCGGCCAGCAAACACGAACGCGTGCCGAAAGATCCCATTTCCCGCAACTCCACACTCTCCTGGACCCAGCAACCATAGACTCTCCCGTTTCCCCGAGCAGAACCGAATGAACGCCGACTGAATGCCTGCCCCTTCAATGACTCGCTTTTTGTATCCCAGCTCTGTGAACTGCCTCATGCAACCATCTCCTCCACCACCATTCCCTCAACAGCACCCGACAAGCCAGTCTTGTCTGCCCTGTTGGTCCTGGTACCGTTGTCTGAACGCAGTCCAACGGCTGCTTCGGACTCCTTCTGAGTGTGTGGTTCCTCGCGCAGCTGCCGCAGCCTAGAACGAAGGATATGTTAGTCGGATGCCGACACTTGACTGAACGAGATTTCTCTGACCACACATGGTCTGCAATCAATATAAGAGTGGTAGCGCGAGCGTAGCGGGAAAGTTTATACTTTGGTCCAAGGCAACGAAAAGAGAAGCTCCTGGGCCCAGTTGAACATCGATTGAGTCGCAATCTTCGGAACCAAATCATGTCTTGCGAACCAATCTCCGGCGTACGATGCAATTTTTACGGTACACTGCAGGAGCTTACCTTCGCTTGTGAGGCTTGCCACGCTGGTGCGAGGTGAGGTTGTCGTTGCTCTCAAACCATTTGGCGCACTCGGTGCAGTAGAACTTGCCCAGGGCGGGCAGGTCCTCCTCCGCCTTGGTTTCCTTGTAGAGCTGGAGGTGACGCTCGGAACGCAAGTCTGCGTAGACCTGGTCGACGTCGCGCGTGTAGCGACGCGTCTTCTTTTTGGACTTCTCTCCTCGGATGGCGGGCATGGCGATGGATGGGGGCTGAAGTCGATCGGTTGGCGGCGGCGACTACCAGGGCGGCGGATGTTTTGCGTTGCAGTGCTTGCGTTATTGCAGGGCGGTCAGGCTCCGCGGGCACGACAACCCCGGCACAAAATTTGGGCGCCGCGTCGGGCGTTGCCGCCGCTTCTCCGAGCTGGGCAGTGCCCCTTCATGTGCAATTGCCGGGCAGCGCGGAACGCTGCGCCGCCCACGCAGCGCGACATTATTTCGTGGCGGTGGCAGAGCCAGCGCAAATACGCAGCGATGTGCTCCATACCCCGGGCTGGCGATGTGAGCCCAGGTTGCATTCGCCGGGCCAGCAAGGTCGCGGCCCGGTGGACCTGCCGCTTCTGGCACGCTTGTCGAAAAGCAGACCTGCAGACCTCGCAGATTTTTCCTCAGCGTCCAAGCTCCTTCGGCGCGGTGGTCGGGTCAACTGCAGGCTGCACGTGCGGACCAATGGAACGAAAGGATGACCTCAATCCCTCGGCAGAGCGGGCGGGCACTGACGTTGGCGGTGGTTAAAAATGCGCGCTGCTGATTGGCCGGGCCTCTCCTCGCTCGCGGGACGGAGCGATCTCAAAGCTGTCCGCGTCCACGCCCACTTCTACACTCTTCCCTCTTCCACAACCACCACTCTCCCCTCATTCCCTTCTTCATCGCCGCCCAGCATGCAGCGCTTCTCGCGGCTGGCCCGCCGCGGCCTGGCCACCGTCAGCGAAGCTCCCCTCAGCCGCAAGGTCCGCCAGAACATCCACGAGGATGGCAACTTCATCAACTACGCTAAGATGGCGGAGAACCTGTCCATCGTGCGCAGTCGTCTGAACAAGCCCCTTACCTACGCCGAGAAGATCATCTACTCTCATCTCGACGATCCCCACAACCAGGAGATCGAGCGTGGAAAGTCATACCTGAAGCTGAGGCCGGATCGTGTTGCTTGCCAGGATGCCACCGCCCAGATGGCCATCCTGCAGTTCATGTCCGCCGGCATGCCTTCGGTGGCCACCCCCACCACCGTCCACTGCGACCACTTGATTGAGGCGCAGGTTGGCGGCGAGAAGGATCTTGAGCGCGCCTCGAACATCAACAAGGAGGTCTACGACTTCCTGTCGACTTCGTGTGCCAAGTACAACATTGGTTTCTGGAGGCCCGGCTCTGGTATCATCCACCAGATCGTCCTTGAGAACTACGCTTTCCCCGGTGGTTTGATGATCGGTACCGACTCGCACACCCCCAACGCTGGTGGTCTGGGAATGGCTGCCATTGGTGTTGGTGGTGCCGATGCTGTCGACGTCATGGCCAACCTCCCCTGGGAGCTCAAGGCCCCCAAGGTTATTGGTGTTAAGCTCACTGGCCAGATGTCTGGCTGGACTGCTCCCAAGGGTAAGTCAATTGATCCCCATTTTCATGTGTTTTCGTGGCGGTTCTTCCCGGGCACGTCCCAATTGACCCCGCGTTGGGGGCTAGAATCTGCAGACGACGCCCATTGTCCCAATTGGCGACCGCGGATGAGCTAACGGTTGCGCAGACATCATTCTGAAGGTTGCTGGCATTCTCACCGTCAAGGGTGGTACTGGTGCCATCATTGAGTACCACGGTCCCGGCACCGACTCGCTCTCTTGCACTGGTATGGGTACCATCTGTAACATGGGTGCTGAGATTGGTGCTACCACCTCGATTTTCCCCTTCAACGACCGCATGTACGACTACCTTGCCGCTACCAAGCGTAAGGACATTGGTGACTTCGCTCGCACCTACGCCAAGGACCTCCGTGAGGACGAGGGCGCCGAGTACGACCAGCTCATCGAGATCAACCTCTCGGAGCTCGAGCCCCACATCAACGGCCCCTTCACTCCCGATCTCGCGACCCCCATTAGCAAGTTCAAGGAGGCCGTCAAGGAGAACGGCTGGCCGGAGGAGCTCAAGGTCGGTCTGATTGGTTCCTGTACCAATTCCAGCTACGAGGATATGAGCCGGTAGACGTTCCCAGCCTTTATTTGTGATCTTTATACTAAATTTTGGGGGTAGATCCGCCAACATCGCCCAGGATGCGATGGACCATGGCCTCAAGGCGAAGGCTTTGTTCACCGTCACCCCTGGTTCCGAGCAAATTCGCGCCACGATTGAGCGCCACGGCCAGCTCAAGACTTTTGAAGAGTTCGGTGGCATGGTTCTTGCCAACGCTTGCGGTAAGTCCCGGCCCCTCCACCTACTCCGACTCCGGACGACAATGTCGAATTAAATATTCGACATACACGTCCGGACGATAGCTTCAACTACCCATGACACGAGCGAAATGTTGATTGCTGACTTCAAACTAGGTCCCTGCATTGGCCAATGGGACCGTCGGGACGTAGCCAAGGGCACACCCAACTCCATCATCTCGTCGTACAACCGCAACTTCACCGGCCGCAACGACGCGAACCCTGCGACCCACGCCTTCGTCGCCTCGCCCGACCTCGTCGTCGCCCTCACCATCGCCGGCACGCTTAACTTCAACCCTCTCACTGATACTCTGAAGGGCGCGGACGGCAAGGAGTTCAAGCTCAAGGAGCCCACCGGCGACGGCCTCCCCGCCAAGGGCTTCGACCCCGGCCGCAACACTTACCAGGCTCCCCCGGCTGATCGCTCCTCTGTCAACGTTGCAGTGTCACCGACGTCAGACCGCCTGCAGATTCTGCAGCCTTTCCAGCCGTGGGATGGCAAGGATGCGACGAACCTCCCGATTCTCATCAAGGCTAAGGGCAAGACTACCACCGACCACATCTCCATGGCCGGTCCCTGGCTGAAGTACCGTGGTCACCTTGACAACATCTCGAACAACATGCTTATCGGTGCCATCAACTCTGACAACGGCGAGGCCAACAAGATCAAGAACCAGACCACCGGTGAATACGGTGCCGTTCCCGACGTTGCCCGCGACTACAAGAAGAAGGGCATCAAGTGGGTTGTCATTGGTGACTGGAACTACGGTGAGGGCTCTTCCCGTGAGCACGCCGCTCTCGAGCCCAGGCACCTTGGTGGCCTTGCTATCATTACCAGGTCTTTCGCCCGTATTGTAAGTACTTGTGTGAAATGTTGGACGAATCATTGCTAATTGGTAACAGCACGAGACCAACCTGAAGAAGCAGGGTATGCTTCCTCTCACTTTCTCCAACCCCGAGGACTACGACAAGATCCAGCCCCACGACAAGGTCGACCTCCTCTGCACCCAGCTTGCTGTCGGCAAGCCCATGACTCTCCGTGTGCACCCGGCCGACGGCAGCCCCACCTTCGACATTGAGCTGTCGCACACCTTCAACGAGGGCCAGATCGAGTGGTTCAAGAACGGCAGCGCGCTGAACACCATGGCTAAGGCCGCCAAGGCATAGATTAGTAGCTGAGGGTTGCGTGCGGTGGATTTTTTATTTCAACTTTGTTGTAACATTGTATGTCTTGAACATCAGGCGATACGGGGATCGGTATTTTCACTTACTGGTATATCATGGCGGTCGAATGAAAGTTTTCAATGAAGCTCTCTCTGTGTGTTGTGTGGAACATGTGCGTGATAACAACTTGTTGAAACCAGAATGGATTAACCTTCGAGGGGGTATGCGACTATCGGAAACCAGAGGTGGGACTAAGTCTGAACAGGGCTCCTACTCTTGGTGATAATGTGCGGCTCTTCGTATTTGAATTCAACATCAACGTCCGGACGGTAGCTTCAGCTCCCCCTCTTTGATCGAATATTATTAATTGGTGAAAAAAAAAAAAAAGACGATGCGAAGAGAAAGTCTACTATGCATATTTGTATAAGTCAAATATACAGGAGGGCATTGTAGCCGACGGCCAGCATTAATTTATTTTTTCTCTCATCCCATGGGTAGTTGAAGCTATCGTCCGGACGTGAATGTATAATTATTAATTCCACACTCACGTCTGGATGATAGCTTCAACTACCCATACATGTTCTTTTTCATCGTGGGGAAAAATAAAAGAAGGGCTTCTGCTGCCTATTTATGTTGACTATTCCACCGTAATTCGTGGGGGTGAACGTGCGCCAAGGTGTACATACGTAAGGAGTATCGCGGGGACAACGTCGGCCGCTCACCACCGAACACCAACCTGGCCTAAACCTCAGCCGAAGAGACGACCGTGAGCAAAGCTGCGAAAGCCCCTGCGCAAGAACAATGGCGGACGACGAGCCATCTTACATTGACTACGAGGCATTCCTCGACCCGTCTTTCTCGACGACAGGGTTCGCGAACAGTCTCGTGCTTGCGACGAACAATCCCTCCGACACGCCGCTCGACCTGTCCACCCCGCTCTCGCGTGTTCTCTTCGACGTGCAGGAGATCGACACACACATCGACACTCTCACCACCAAGTCGGCGCTGCCACTGCTCGAATACACGAAAGACCATGCGGAATCGGGAGAGCGGATACTCGACGAGGTGGAAGCGCAGGTTGCGAGCTTGACGGAGGGATACAAGACGTTGGAGAAAGAGGTCATTGAACGCTATGAAGCTGCGGAGCAGGTGCGCCTTGCAGCGGAGCGGCTCTGCCAGACGGTCAAGATCGGACGTGCAGTCGCACGCTGTTTGATGCTTGGCCGTCAGCTCGAGGCACAACTAGCCGAAATTGGCGGGCCCGGCGCTATACTGGGGAAGAAAGAAGATCACAGAGCCATGGTCAGATCCTCTAATACACTCGTTGCGCTGCGACAGGTGTTGCTAGCGTCCAGGCCTGGTGAAGAGGGCGAGGGGCTCGACCGTGTCAACGTTATCACGACATTAAAGAGTGACCTACTGGGACCGGCGGAGCGTACGCTGATCTCTCGCTCACAACAAATAATCAGGGAGTTCTCCATGTCCTCGTTGCTGGCATCCAATGGCAGTTCGCAGCAGCCCAGTGCGGCGTCGACCTATGCACAGACCGAAGACACCAAATCCCGCACAACCTCGGCTCTCATGACCCTCTACCTTTTGTCGCCAGCATTGAGAAATGCAACGACGGCTACTTTCGAACCGGCCCTCCTGGTCAGCGCTCTGCAGGAGTACCTGCAAACAGCACTCAAGTCGTCTCTCGCGGCCCTTGCACGAGCACTCGCAACTCTACCAACGCTCGAACGGACGCTACTAGAAATATCAGCGAGATGCCAGAACATTGTTGCGTTGGAGACGCTCCTGGAGTCGGTCAAGCCTCCGCCGCATCCGCTGGTTAGCAGTCCGGCCGCGGAGAAGACGGGAAGGCCGAGAAGCGTGTCACGGCTTCCTCCACAGAACTTTTTGCAGCCATTGTTGTACTCGCTGGACACGTCCTCGCTGGCGTCATACTTCTGGCGATCTCTTGCGTCGGCGCTGTCACCGCGGGTTCAGGAGATCCTCAACCGCGGCGGTGTGTCGGCGAGGACGCTGCGCAGCAATAGGGATAGGGTCAGGGATGCAATTCGGGAATGCGTAAATCGCGGCTCTCAGCTGCCGGCGAGCGCGTTGAGCCGGGGCAAGGGGCCGACGACAGGCAACTGGGAGCGCGAGGCCGCGGTTATGGTCGGTTCTATAATTGGGGTTCTGGGAAGGTGAACGGACGCGACTCGCCAGACGCGTCCCCTGCGTGGACATGGCCGGATTGGGGACAGATACGGAAGCGAGGACGGAATAGGGAACATAGCAGTGATGTGCAGAATTACATACGGCCAGAGCCCCACGTCCAATACGAGATTGGGGCTGCGTGCTACAGTGGCTGCCATTGTTCAGACAATGATATTATCCGTGCGCACGTGCGGCCTTGTCTTGCTTTGTGGCTTTGTGCCTCGAGTCTAATCGCGGTCGGCGTTCCCGCGATGTGCCAGGGGCAACCGTGGCCTCAGGGGATCTCCGGTGCTGTGCTGCAGATGGGCTGGTGGTATGCACGGGCGAGCGGGCGTGAGGAGGTGAGTGAAGGCTTGTGGGCGCAGGGCAGGCGTTACTGGCACGTTTGGTCTGCAGCGATCCTTGTGGAACAAAGCCAGCGCTCGCACAGGCCGCACGGATCCGGCTCGAGGACCCAGTCAGTGATAATCAGGCATGTCAGCGCTGCACATCACTCGGGGAGTGCGCGGCGGGCAGCTGCAGGTGCTCGCGCTGAGCTCCATCCGCCCCTCTTGCGCGTGCTGCTGCTGCTGAGCGAGTCACTGCGGCTGTAGATACATTCAAAGCAAAACGCCGGTTCGGATTTACTCTGTAGCGAGCCGCATCGGTCCTGCCCTGTCCAGCGGCCATTGTCTTGTCCCTTGGTGCCACCTCTATCCGGCCCAGCCAACGCTCTCTTGCACGCCGCGTCCTCCCCTTCTTTCACCCTGCCCCCAATCTTGCCTTTTCTTCTTGTACCTTGCTCTTCCCGCGCTTGGAGTTCTGCGCACCCGTCTGCGAGGCGTCATCCGCCGCCTCCCGCTCCCGCTGTCGGCTGAGAAAGTCGCACCCTTCCTCCAACTCTCCTGACGCCGCCTTCGAAACTCCCTTGAGGCCAGTTGATCTGCGGGCGTTTTCGACGGCGACTGTCGCGCATCCTCTCGTTGCCTGCATGTGCGTGCACACGCCTCCCCGCACCACCGCTGCTGCCCACAGGAGCCGCTGATACCTCAACCCCAGAATTCTCGCCAGTCCCTTCGCAACCTAGATCTTCACCCACCAACCCCTCCGACCGCTGCCCACCATGTCTGTCAGTCAGATTGCCGGCAACCGCAACAGCACGCCCGAGGCCGGGAGCTCGTCGCTGCGCCCACCCTCGTCGAGGGCCATTGGCGCCAACCACCACCTCCGCGCCTCAGCCGACATGGGCGTGTTTGCCTCGTCGCCCTTGTCCAACCGTGGAATCCGCCCCTCTTCCGAGGTCTACTTCAACAAGCAGGGCACGCAGGACGACGAAACCATGGACAAGGCTGCTCAGCAGTGGATTGCGGACATCGACCAGTATGAGGTCACGCTGGAGGAGATGGCCGCTGCGACGCTGGACCAGGATTTCAAGGACGAGCTCAGTGCCATCGAGCAGTGGTTCCGTGTCCTGAGCGAGCCCGAGAGAACTGCTGCGCTCTACCAGCTGCTCCAGCAGACGACGGGCGTGCAGCAGCGCTTCTTCATCCAGGTCCTCCAGCAGATGGCCAAGAGCCACCCCATGTCCAGCGTTCTGTCGCCCGCCAATTTCGGCGAGAAAGGTGCGCACGATGATGCTTGCGGATTGTCAAGGATGTTGCTAACTGATCGAAGACCCCATGTCCCAGAAGCTTAACGATGCCATGAACAAGCTCAGCGTCGAGAATTCCCGCAACTCTGTTGGACTCGGCCGCCCCCCGCCATCCCCTGGCGCGAAGCGTAACTCTGGTCTCGACAGCAACACCATTAACTCCATGTTCCCCGATGCGGCGGCCGCGATCGCAAAGCAAAAGGCTGAATTCACCCAGCACACTGGCGCCGCACCCACTTCGAACCGCAACAGCGCTGTTGGCGATCGCTCGTCAATGGTTGCTCCTACGATCTCGGCACCCGATGATGGCAAGAGGGACAATGCGCCGCAGCCGCCGGCGTCTCCGTGGGGCCCTCGCAGTGGCGAGAACCAGCAACCGCAGCGTCCCAAGTCATCGTCTAGCCACCACCAGCCGATGGGCCAGTTCGTTCAGCCGCCGCCTTCAGCCGGCCTCCGTTCCCCTCGTCCCATGGCGCTTTCCGGAGACTCAAACATCCAGAGCACCACGCTCAACGCTCCGGACAGCTCCGCTGCCGGTATGCCCATGTTGTCCCCGTACGGAGCTAGCGGAAGCTGGGCATCAATGGTGAACACCCCTCTGGTGCCCAACTTCCAGCAGCAGAACAGCCAGGCGGATATGGTGGCGAACGCAACGGCGATGAAGCTGGCAGCTCTTTCCACGGTCAACAATCGGATACAACTGGATGATGTGCGGAAGTACCGCCGGGCTCGTTCTTCTGAGGGACAGGGCGCTGGCCCTAACAATAACGGACCGCAGAACATGCCTGCTAGCGTGGTTATGACGAATGAATTCGGACAGGTGCTCACACCTCAGCAGGCTGCTGCTCTGCAGGCCCAGCAGCTCGCAGCGATGAACGGTCGTCGTTCGCGCCCCAGCTCTCCAGGCATGGCGATGCAGGGTGGCAACATAAACGCGATGAACTTTGCTTCTCCTCAGAACAACGGATTCCTCTCTGCTTACGACAACAGTATGGCTGGAATGAACCTTGGCCAGTTCGGAATCGGCATGGGTGGTGGCCACGAGGGCTACCTCTCGGATCATTCTGATATCAACCGTGGCCGGTCTCCTCGGGGAAGGAGAGGCAGCTCGAAGCCGCCGGAGGACCCGACCAACCCGGAGCTTCTTCAGGACATTCCCGCCTGGCTCAGGAGCCTGCGTCTTCACAAGTACACGGATAACTTGAAGGATCTGAAGTGGACGGACTTGGTTGAATTGGATGACGAGGGTCTTGAGAAGCGTGGCGTGAACGCTCTTGGAGCTCGGAGGAAGATGCTGAAGGTGAGCTTATGCGGTGCCGGGTTGAAGGTTAGAAGTCGTGTTTGCTAACGTTTGGACAGGTGTTCGAGCAGGTCAAGGAGGCCAAGGCCGAGGGAAAGCTCCCACCCAGCTGAAGGTATGATTCGGATGCAGGACTAGACGTCCGATGACGCACCAGACTTTTTAGGCGTGGACGTCAAAGCCTTGGACGAACCAGCGGTTTCTTGTAAGACGAATTTGCGAGCTCCGAATCGTGGAAAGGAGTTGACGTTGCCAAAGCGTCGCATTTTGGCATGGGGCCTGCTCAAGTGGGCACAGATTTCCTTAGTTTTGTGGATGGTCGTTGTTTCTTCTCATGCTGCTGCACACAACGCCGACGAAAACATAAATGACGCAGACGGACGGCGCTCAGCTTCTCCATGACACTTGTTTGCAATTGTCAGATGCAAAACGGACCATTTTCATACGGTGCGGTCATGGGTAATTTCAGGGAAGTAATTGTAGAATTTGGGATGCCAGATGGGATGGGGGTGGACGGAGGCCTGTCTGTGTCATATTTGCAAAGACGCCAAGTAATACATGAAGCAGTGCAAGCAGCCAGTTCCGGTTTCAGTGTTGGTTTGTGCAATATGCGGCGGACAATTCTGCCCTGCCTGCTCCGGATTGTCGGGCCGTACATACAGTCCCCTCTCGCAGCCGATGGCTAGCGTGGATTTGTTTTTTTGCTCATGTCATGGGTAGCTGGAGCTATCATCCGGACGAGAATGTCGAATTAAAAATTGTACATACACGTCTGGACGATGGCTTCAACTACCCACATATGTTAATTTCTCTAAGGCAGAGCTGGGGCATAGTTACACTATGTTCTAGAGCCCTGCTATTCTTCGTGCTAGCCATCGGCTGCAGCACCCCGCTGTAGTCACGTCGGGCCTGGCCAGAACGAAGAGCTGTGAAGAGACAATAATATAATAGGAGAGTTTCACGTGCAAAGCACGGCGATCTCCCGCCATGGTGTCGGCGTGTGGAGCAGGAGGACCCTAGGGACGTTCGGCGGCAAACGGAGTGGGGAACGTGCCCTAAAGAAGGCGGCCGGCTGGCGGAGATGTCCCCGTCGAAGCCGACCCTTCTTCTCAACAACACAACGTGATTAAATTGCAACCCCGCTCCGCCACCTCGTCCGCGCCGTCTCTCTTGCCGTTCAACAACCAGCTCCGTGTGTGCCAGACCGGTTCCCACCGCCTGACTTGAAAATGAAACTCGGCGCTCCTTCGCGCTGCGGAGCGGAGAGAAGCGCTTATGACAGCTGCTGCACTCTCTCGCCGGAGCTCTTTTTGTCGTCCGTAAAGGCCACCACGGGACTCAGTCACCAGCACACAGCGTCCAACGCACGAGGACAACACGCCGTGACCGGTGAGGCTGAAGCGAGAGGTTGCATCGCCTGCAGCTGCCGCACGACCACGAAGTAAGCGCCGCTATGGCGACCGGCTGACGGTAGTTTACCAGGCAATCCAGTTGCAGACGCTGGGGAGGAAGGTGGTCCGGCAAGGCTCGATGCGAAACGCGACAAGGCGGCTCGTCGAGCGCCAGGCGGTCAGAAGAAGCATCAAGAGCCTGGGCGTCCGTCCGCGGCTATTGACTGCAAAAGAAAGAGTCATCAAAAGCGGGTGATACGGCAAGATCGGCCAGGGTTCGCGGTGTGATGCCGAGCGAGCCAAGATCATCATTAGGGACGGTTCAGCACGACATCCGAACGGAAACAACAGCCGTCCACGTGTTTACCGGCCGGTCGCAACGTGGATGGACCAACGCCGACATAGAACCGCAGCAGAGCACGTCCCCCAACAACGCAGTCGAGGCCCGCTGATGCTACCGCGCGACTGCGCTGTGCGAAGCGCTGAGAGGAGCCTGATGGGTGCGCGGCGCGTCTGCTGCCCGGGCTTTGCGCGGAGATGACTGCAGTGTACACGCCAGGCCCGTGAGATGTCGTCTCATTATGTGGAGAAACTGCCGCGCCAGCAGTCTTCTTGACTCTTCACATGTGCATGACAACTTTGTCAGTTCGTGCAGCCACTTCTCCTGGGCAGCGCGGCAGGCTATGCATGTGCATAGCAAAGCAGGCAGCGCTATCGATAGTTGAGGCCGGCGCGTTGCATGCATGGGTCGGGAATCACCCCGTCATTTCTCTGAGGTAGGCCCCCCGGTCGAACTGCAATGCGCTGGCGCTCAAACAACCCACTTTGGCCGTTTTGTCCGCCTTGTGGATCCCTGGTGGGTCCCTGCTAAACAGCCTCTGGCTGCTCCACGATTGGCTTCCACTGCCCCGTCCCTTTGCCTAACCCACCCTACCCGCGCCTTGGCTGTTTGACATTTTCTCTTCGGGCTAGCGCACATGGGAGATCTCCCCTTGCACAATGGCCTCGACCTTCTACAAGTCGCCCGCCACCGCCGGGCTCTCTTTGTTCACTCCGCCTTTTCTTTCTTTCTGCCTGTCCCCACAATGCCATTGTGCGTCTGTTTATAATACCAACACCGCTGTCTCAACATGTGCAAGACGTGCAATACTCATACAGTCCTTCCCCATTTTCATCCACACACAGCAGTCCTTTCTGAGCTCCAGCAGCTACTCGTTTCATGGTAGTCCACTGCCATACTTTCTCTTTCTATTCCAACATGACACGCCTCGCTGGCCTTCTGGCGGCGTCACTCCTTATCCACAGCTCATCAGCAGCATACACGTTAGTCCGCGACTACGACCCGAAAGATTTCTTCAACAATTTTGGATTCTACGACGGTGAAGACCCTACTCATGGTACCGTCGCCTACCAGTCACGCCAGGGTGCCTTGGCCAAGAACCTTATCAGCACCACCGACTCCACCGTCAGGATTGGCGTTGACACCACCAACAAGGTAGATGACGGACGTCCATCAGTCCGCATCTTCAGCAACGACACGTACAACCAAGGAATCCTGCTCGTCGACGTCATCCACATGCCCTCCGGCTGCGGCACCTGGCCCGCATTGTGGATGCTGGGTGACGGCGACTGGCCGGCCAACGGCGAGATCGACCTCATGGAGGGTGCTAATGACCAGCCAGTCAATTACATGACCCTCCATACCGACAGCGCCAAAGATAAAGGGTGCTCTATTGACGCCGTTCCTGCTTCAGGGGATGATGGATCTGGCGCTCTGGCTTATTCTAAAACAGACTACACCGGTTCTGTTTTCTCCAGTAACTGCGCCTACAACGCAGATACGGGCGACAACACCGGCTGCCAGATCCGAGCTCCTTCCGGCAGCAGCGCCGTCTATGCGGGTGCCGGTGGCAAGACGACCAATGCCAACGTTCCCACTTTCGGCCAGTCTTTGAACAGCGCAGGTGGCGGCACCCTTGCCATGCATTGGACCAACGACGGCATCAAGGTTTGGTTCTTCGGTCGCGCCCAGGCCAAGCCCGACGAAATCGCGACTGCTATCAACTTGTCTCAAACCCCGCCCACTCTGGCCCCGAGCAACGACGCCTGGGGCCAGCCGCTGGCTCACTTCTCTGGCCCCAACTGCGACTGGTCGCAGCGCTTCAAAGACATGCGCATTGTCGTCAACACCGATCTGTGCGGCGACTGGGGCGCTGGCATGTGGGCGAGTGGCTCGTGTCCGACGTCCACTGGCTACGACAGTTGCGAAAGCTACGTCAGAGAGAACCCGCAAGCTTTCACCGAGGCTTACTGGGAATTCGGCGCCTTCCGTTGGTTCGAATGGCGGGATCCGGCGCCACCGGCGCCTACCACCACTAGCACCAGCTCCTCCTCCACCACCAGTGAGACGGTGGTTACGATCAAGACCACCAAGACGGAGACATTCCAGGCGACGACCAGCAGCAGCAGCAGCAGCAGCAGCAGCACTACCTCCAGCGTCGCGCCCGCTGCTCCCACCGTCATTTACTCCATCGTCCCCGCATCTTCAACCACTTCGCGCCCGTTCACGTATGCACCGGAGACCGAAGCTGCGACCTCGTCGACCGCAGATGCTACGACATCGACTACCAGCTCCACCGCGACGAGCGCATGGCCCGCTAATGAATCGGCCAAAGGAGATGCCCAGTACATGATCAACGGCAAGCTGCCTCTCGGCGGCGCAGGGGCCGTGACTGTGCCGTGGGCGATGTTGATGGCCGGTGGGGCGGCATTCTTGACCGCAATCCTGCTATGATGAAAAATAACGAATCCTCTTCATGATCTTTTCTTTTCTTGTCCATCATATTTACAACCTGGTCATTAGAACCATTAGATTAGATACCCGGGTCATACCCACTGGCTGGTAATGGGCCTTTATTGTATATATAGCTCTCTGTCAACATAAGCGTCAGAACGGGAGAACATTTTTTGGCGGCCAAAAAAATATCGTACAAAAAACTAAATAGATGTTTTGATAGCATCATGTAGTCAGTAACCACTGCTACCAAATGGCACAGAAAGAGCACCACCGAAATGCATGCAGATGAGAAACAGAACTGGAACCACACTATGCTGATCCAAATGATGGAGAGGTCCTTCTGGGAGGTTAATTTAAGAATGTGCGCCCTAATGTAAAGATCGCCCAGCTAGTCATGGCCAGGCGCGCGGATAAATTAAAAAGACGCCCCTCCCCACCGCCTTGCATGAGAGCCCCCGGATAAACAGTGCGATCCGCGAGTCGTTGTAAGACATTCGTACATGCTGACAAAAAGGATGCGGGGTTTCTGCAGTGTGGCCATTGTGAACAGGATTGAGGGGAATGCGGCGGTGCTCATCCATTCCCTCTCCTTTTTTTTTGCGGCCAAGAATGCAAGGGCACGCACGGTGCTTCTGCCGCAGGCCTAGATGAAAATTGTCCGCTATGCGGTTGGCGTGATGGGTTTCGGAAGATTTTACCCTTCAGTGTCGCGAAGCTTATTCTCTGTGCAAGCATTTTGGGCAGATATCTAGCCGTACAGGCTTCAGATACAATTTTCCAACTACATGCGCAGGAAAGGTGCAATTTCTTTAACAAGATGCCTCGTAAAGCGCGGTGAAGACAGCACTGGGAAACACTTCACGGACTTACAGGTTAAGCTCTAAGGGAAGCATCAAGAGGACCCTTGTGTGGGCATGCGAAGTCTTTCTTTCTCCATTCAGACCCATAAAACTGATGCTTATCTCGACATGGCCATCGGTCTTGACAATCCTGGTATCCTATTCCATTTCTCGTGCCAGCAATCTCCACTGACCACCGCAATAGCGAACCTCTTTCCCTCAATTCTCCGACGCAAAGCGCGAAAGAGACCCATTCTTTTTTCGAACTCTCATCGTACCTCTCTCATGCCACGCCCAGACTTGGTATCTCACCCTGCTCTTCCTTGCGCTCCGAGCCCAGCATGTAGCTGGCCCTCCAGCGCATCTTGACCGCCGTACCCTGTCCACGCTGAACGCCGTGCAGGTGGATGTTCTGTGTGACGCCATTCTGCTGGTTCGGCTGCAATAACCTTCCCGACTGGGGCTGCAGCTTCAGAGAATAGCCCTATACACGTGTCAGTCTTTTTGAGCCCCGTCTCTACCATCAGCGCGAAGCACTTACCTTTGTGACGGCGAATTGCATGGTGAGATCCGAGACAGGCGCCGGCGTATTATTTGATACGGCGGACTGGATGTGGATGGTGTCATCATTTTGGCGGGAAACGGTGAAGTCGGTTCTTATGCTAGTGTTAATAACGGTTTGTGTAGATGGTTGATCCGGCAACGCCGACGCGAAGTTCCACTCATCATCGTCGTTAGCTGCGGGTGCGGGTGCGGGTGCCGGAGCAGCTGGCGGAGGGGTCGAAGTGCCCCCAAGGTCGAAGAGAGCACTAGATGGGGATGCTGCAGGCTTAATGGATTGCTGGAACTGGAAGGGGGACGCAGTCCGCGGAGATGCCAGAGCAGCAAAAGGGTCGGCGGGTTTTTGAGCTGGCTGCTGCGGCGTTTGTTGCGGGGGTGGGGTGAACATCGAGGTCTGCTGGGGCGGAGTCGGCTGCGGAGCCAAGGAAGAGCCGCCAAGTCCAGCAAAGGCGTTGTAGTTGGGCTGTGGGGATGTCGACTGGGGAGGAGCAGGACCGCCTCCGAGGAGGTTCTGGACAGGAGTCTGTGAGGTCGGCTGCGGCTGGAAGGCTGGTCATCGATGTCAGTATATCCATAAAAATCCAAATTGAGGCTTGCATACCAGCCCCATTCGTGGCGCCGAGGGAGATGCCTCCACCTTGGAAGCTGTCGCTGCCGCCCAAGTTCAGCCCAAGCAGGTCATCCTCCAATGCGTTTCCTTTTGGTGCGGCAGCGCTTGAACTGGCACTCGGTTGCCCAGACGGTGCTGCTGGTTCCTCGGGGCCTCCGAAGTCGATCAATGACAGTTCGTTGTCCGGGCCCTTCTTGACGCCAGCTCCGCTCACGCCCAGGGTACCCTTGGGGATCTTTGCGGCGCCCTCGACGTCGCCCTTCTTGATGAGCTTGTACCTCTCCAGAGTCCGGTGTATGCTATCGTTGATTTCCAGCAGCTTGGCCACAGCCTCGTGATCGTCCGACTCTTCCTCGCACATTTTTTGGATTTTCGGGTGGGCGCTTGCCAAAGCATTGGCGAGCTCCTGCATGCGGTCAGCTTTTACCACCGCCTCCCAAGAGAGCGGCCCGCCCGGGCGTACCTCGAAAACGTCGCCCTCTTTGATCTGGTCCCCTGCCTGGTGCTTCTGGAGCATGTCCTCGAGCAGCTTGGCCTTCTGCTGTATCTTGCCAACCTCTTCCGCCGCCTTCGCTCGGTAATCGGTCTTGTTCCGGGTGTCGTAGCCAGCCATGATCTTCATCAGCCTGTTGGCTTCCTGCAAGTCGTGGGGGGTGCCGCGTCTGATCAGTTCCTGGAGCTTGGCCGACTGCGCCTCGCGCTCCTCCTGCTCCATCTCTTCGGCAGACCTTAGGTTCTGTGGGTTGGGTCAGTGGGGCGCTCTCACGGGCAGCGCAGCCAGATACGTACATCGCTGGGGTTTAACACCGCAGCATCCTCGCGCCTGATCTCGGGGAACGTGTAGCCCTTGTAGCTGAGCAAGCGGTGCATGTCACGGATGAAGCCCAGGTCCTCCTTGTAGCGCGAGGTCATGCAGATTGTAGAGCGCCATTCCTCGATCAACTCGAGAATGCGGTTCTGGACGCGCGACGAGTGGACCGGGGGTCGCTCGGGGAAGCGGCGGACGAGCTCGTTGAGAAACTCCTTGGTGCTGATCTGCAGGTGGAAGGGATAGCCACAGTTCTTGACGCAGATGTCCAGCAGGTTGAGGGCGAGCAGCGCGACGTTCGGGTTGCGCGAGTTGACGTATTTGACAATCTCCATGGCAGCCTCGCGCGGGGCGCTGCCCTTTTTCTGGTTGACCAGCTCGGCAATCTCGATGTTAAGGGCCAGATTGGGCTCGAAGTTCTGCGGGTCGCAGGCGTTCATGATGTAGCGCTGCAATGGGGTCATGGCTGGCTCAGCGAAGCCGCCGAAGCGGTCGCGGGCCGCCATACGGGCTGACGTAGCCTCCACGGTGGGCGATGTGAGTGAGGGGCGCGGGAGCGCGGGAGAAGCGGAATTGAGCGTCGGTCGTGAGAGCGGAAGCGTGGAAGGCGTGGAAGGCGAGTTAGGAGCGGTGATGGTATTAGGCACTGGCTGCGAGTACAGGCCACGCTCCGGCTGCCGGGATGACGGCTCCAACACAGTGGGGGTTCGTTCGCGGCCCAAGCTCAGCGGCAACACGCCTTTTTTGAGCCCCGCGTCATCTCTTTTTGCCGCAAAACTGCAACGCCCCACCCGCACAACCTTGGATCACTCACTGGCACACATACGCACGAGACTTCGGACTTTACCGGCATCACGGCAATGGTGCGCCATAAGAAGGACGGCTTCTCGGGTCGCGGAGGTCGCGGCGGCCGCGGTGGCGGCAAGAAATACAGCAATCCGCCGCGCCAACGAGTGCGCGACGATGACGAGGATGGAGAAGAGGGCGAGCGCATTGCCAAGAGACCAGCCTTCAAGGCTGCCGCGTGGGACCTGGGCCACTGCGACGCGAAGAGGTGCTCTGGGAAACGTCTCATGCGTCTCGGCTTGATGCGCGAACTGCACGTTGGACAGAAATTCGCTGGCGTCGTTGTGTCGCCAAAGGCCAAGAAGACCGTCTCCCCCCAGGATCGCGAGCTATGCGAGCAATATGGTGCCGCAGTGGTAGAGGCCTCCTGGAACAGGATTGACGAAGTGCCCTTCGCGCGCATCGGAGGCAAGTGTGAACGCCTACTACCATACCTCGTTGCTGCGAACCCTACCAACTATGGACGGCCGTGGAGATTGAACTGTGTCGAGGCCCTTGCCGCTTGCTACGCTATCTGCGGGCACCTCGAATGGGCAGAGGAAATTCTTTCATCCTTCTCCTACGGCGAGGCCTTTCTCGAAATGAATGCCGCGCTACTGAAGCGCTACGCTGCCTGCTCAACAGAAGAAGAGGTTTTGAAGGCTGAAGAGACGTGGTTGGCTAAGATTGAGAGAGAGTACAACACAAGCAGAGACGACAAGGCGGCGCTAGGGGAGGGTGATGCTTGGGAGGGTGGCAATATGAACAGGCGTGCGCTGGACGATTCGGACGACAATGATGAGGACGACGACGACGATGAAAACAAGAATTCTGGCGAAGAAGATGGAGAAGAGGAACGCGATCCGTACGGCTTGCCACCCGATGAGTCCGACGATGAGGAAGAGATGGCAGAGTTACGGCGGCGCGTTTTGGCTTCAAAGCCTTTCGCTAATCCTGAGCCGGAGGCAAAGAAGCAGCCTGAGACCATTGCGAGACCCGAAGCCCCGCCTACCTTGCAGGAAGATTCGGATGCGGAATCCGGATCGGATATTGACGGTATGGACGATGAGTTCGACGATATCATCAACGCAACGCCTGTTACGGATAGGACCGGAATAACGGCGAAGCAGAGACTCAAGACTCAAGACACTACCGTGATGAGCGCGAGCTTCTCAAGAGCCAGCTTGAGCGCCCCCAAAAAGTGGTAGGACGAAGTGGTATTATGATGTTTAATGAAAAGGGTATCTTGCCCGCCCGCTTTTAAACATGTTCAATGTGTGCCATCGTGAATTCATGGCGAATCTACATCCGCAAGCAACTCGTCTCGTCGTGAGCTCTCTTACATTCGAGCCCGCAAACCCTTGCAGTGCACTTCAAGCATTTGATTCGACCCCAGTAGCCGCATATCTCACAAAACTGTCGTCGTGGAGGGCCGTCGGGGGTTGGGGGTGCAGCTTTCGCGGCGCTGTAAGGTAATGGCGGGTGTGCGAGAAGAGCCTGAATCTCCTGTACTGAGGGAGTTGCGGGCACAACTGGGCTGAGCAATGGGTCTTCCTCCTCCGCTGGAGATGCGTCTGGGAGCTCAACGTCTGCCGGCGGTTGAGCGGCCGGAGACGGGGCTGCAGTATTGCTGGTCGAAAGCACCGCCTGTGCAGATGGCGTGGCGGGACTCGAAGAGATAGCAATGGATCCGCTACGCTTCGTTCGCGACGCCAGCGTCTTCTTTGAGCGACTGCTCTGGGCTGCTGATGGTCCTGCGGAAGAACTAGGCGCAGGGCTCGCAGTAGCCGTCTGCGCAGCTGACGATTGTCCACCCAGCCCAGCAGCATGGCGCTGAGCACTCAGCGCTTCTTCATCCGCCAGCCAATGTGCAAATGTACGACCACTCTGCAGAATCTTGCGCACGGCAGGTGTCATCTTTCTTCCAGCCTTTTCCCGTGGTGTAGAACCCCCTTCTTTGACCTTAGCTGGAAGCGCAACCTCCTTCTGATTATCCTGGTCAAGTTCGGCAATACGTTTGTGTAGCTGCGTCTGCTGACGGGCGGTAAGGTCAGGCGCTCCGCCAACGTTCTGGCGAGCAGTACGCTTGCGAGCGCTCGGGTTGATGGCGACTTTGCTCGGGTCATAGCCGGTATCGGGCACATACGCCCAGCCGGGCGCTGGAGCGGCACCGCTGGTGATGGGGATGACTTCGATGTGCGGCATGTCGGGCGAAAGAGAGTTGTTCGGAAAATGCGTAGGTTGTTGTTCGGCATGAATCGAAGACTTGCCGTCGGCTCACTTGCCGATTTGAGCAAGCTACTCTAGCTGCCGATCCGCTTTGTGGGGAGGCAGAGCAGGGGTACAGACCTCAACCTTAACCTTTCAAGTCTACAGGGGCGTTGGAAGAGCGACTGAGTAGAAACTGCTGGTCCCAAAGTGGCCTACGATCACGGATCACCAATTACCTCGGAGGTATTCTCCATACCTTGGGCGGTTATTCACTTAAAATGTGTATAACGGATGGGCCACACGATTAACGTGCAGTTCACGAGGTATTTATATGTGGCTTGAAACGGACATTTCTCCTTTGGAGTAACTCCTGCCTCATAACGGAAGTGTATTTCCTCGCGTGCAATTGCTCATTCAACAGGTGGCATCAAACGTTCGCTTTTCATCTTGCGACTTTGTATTATTTCGTAAACCCTGTACGCTTTGCTCACCACCCATGCGTCCTGCCATTCTTTGGAGTCCCATATACTACAAGGATTCTAATTCCAATGCGCCAAAAGACGCCAGACCATCCCGTGACTCGTGCCAGACCAAGACGAGATCATTTGTAGAAGTCAAACTTGTCGCTCTCGTTGCCCTGTCCCTTGACCTGGGAGGAATATGCGTCTTCCAAGTCGGACTGGATGATGTGGTACCTGTTCTTTCTCACGGCACGCAGACCAGCCTCCTGCATGATCGCAGCAATGATGGCACCCGAGAGCGGATCATTGCGGACGATAAGGGAGTCGAGGTCGACCTCGGGCGACAGACTCATCTTCGAGGCTATGGTGCTGAAAATGAGACGCCTCTCACGACGGTCACGAAGCGAGGGGAACTCAATCTTGCGGTCGAGACGTCCGGGACGGAGCAGAGCCGGATCCAGGGTATCCGCACGGTTGGTAGCCATGATGACCTTCACGTTGCTGGTTTGGTCGAAACCGTCCATCTGGTTGAGCAGCTCCAGAAGAATACGCTGCACCTCTCGGTCCGCACCAGTCTGGGCGTCGAAACGCTTTGTGGCAATGGCGTCGATTTCGTCAATGAAGATGATCGAGGGAGAGTTTTCGCGAGCCATGCGGAAGACGTCACGGACCATACGCGGACCTTCACCGAGATACTTCTGAACGAACTCCGAGCCAACGACACGGATGAAGGATGCGGTGGTGCTGTTGGCAACAGCCTTGACCAGCATAGTCTTGCCAGTTCCCGGAGGCCCGTAGAGGAGGACACCACGCGGGGGGTCGATACCTGCCCCAGTTTGTTAGCCAGAATTTCCAAAGACATAATACGCATCTTCCACTTACCAATTTGCTTGTAGAGATCGAAGTGTGTCAGGGGAAGCTCCACGGCCTCGCGGATCTCCTGCTTCTGCATGTCCAGACCACCAACATCGGCGTACGTCACGTCGGGCTTCTCGTCCGCACCCAGCATAGCAATCGACGAGTCGGCCTCCGGTGGCAGAATGTCTACCAAGGCATTCGAGTGTCTGTGAAGGGCAACGGAGGACGAGGGTTTGAGGAGTTCGCGGTCGAGCGTGGATAGAATCCGGACGACGTAGTTGGAGCCAGTTGAGGACTGGACAATACCGGTGCTGGGAAACCGTGAGTACATACACGTCATCCGTGTCCGAAGGATCGCTCTTACTTCTGGTCTATGGCCTCCATAAACTGACCGATGACAAGCGGTACGCTCTGGATACGCTTGATCTCCTCCTGCGCGCGGACAAGCTCCCTCTTCAGACTCCTGTCACGGAATTAGATGCCAATCAAATACGCAGCACGGGTTTCGCCAAACGAACCTCTGCTCATCCTTGATGTACTCCTCCTGCAAGTGAATGTACCTGACTTGCTGTCAGTAAGCCTGACAACCGCCTTCTACGCGTCGCGACATACTCAAGTTGTCTCTGCAGCTTCTTGAAGGTCGAGTATTGGTCATTGCTCTCAGATGCGACGCCCTCCAGCGAGTCGACAAAAGGTATGGATGAGGCAAGCTGCTTCTTGTGAGGTGCCACCTGGTTGGCCGGGCTCTCAACGGCGGCGTCGGCCATGTTGGGACAGCGTTTGGAAATGCGCGGTGCTCTGTGGTACGGAGGAGTGATCGGGCGGATGCAAAGCGCGGGTGACGAGGGTGGCGGGGACGCAGATGGTGGACGCGGAAGGCGATGGCGGTCGTTGGTGGTGGAGCTCCCAGCACAGCTACTCAGTCGCAACAGTCGTTACGTTGTTAGGTCAGCACGTCGACGTCACGTGCGCGTGCCTGGACCAAACGCCTGACGACGCAGCTCCGTTTACGGCCGACGATGGCGATCTTCCGGATCAGCCTTCAGCACAGGCTCGTCGTCAGTCTCAACAGCCGTCTGGCGCCCGTGGCAGAGTGCCCCGGACGAGATGGCACTCGAGCGCGCAAGCCGGCCTCAGCTCTCGGCAGCAGCGAATGTTGGTGCGGCGCGCGGAATGGAAGCACGTCTTCCTGATCGGACCCAGGTTCAGGTTGACGATCAGGTCAGCATGGCCTCAGGCGCGACACAGCGATTTCAGGGTCAACAAAGATACGGTGCAGATCCGGCACGCAGCGCGCCAGGCTTTGAGCAACCGTGGGAATTGGCTGTCCGGCGGTAGCATGTTTCACGCAAATCATTGGGCTCAGCAAGTCTGGATGGAGCCGAGAGGCTCCCAGGCCCGTGGGCTGCAGTGGGGAACAGCACAGCATCAGGGACACAACGGGCCAGGCGAGCTGGGGAGCGGCGGCGGCGGAAGACGAGGGCTGGCCAGCCGGCGGCGTCGCGGGGATGACGGAAGAAGGAGGTCTTTACGAAATGCTCAACATCAGCGCCGAGGGGTCGGCCCACCAGCTGGCGGGCGCCGGCGCAGGCACACAGGCACAGGCACACGCAGGGCAGAGCTTCGCGGCTGGGGGGATGAGGTCACGGCAAACTGCTGGCGCGCTTCTGCTGGCGGTCCTGGGCGGGTGGAGCGCACCGGCACACGTATGTAATGCGCAGCCCTCTGCTCGCCGGCGCCTGGTGATTCGCAGGCCGGCACTGACAGGCTTGTGTCACTTGTTCCAGCGGCGGCAGCCATCAGCTCGGCCTGCGATAGCAGCGCATCTCATGTCTGCTGCCCATGCGCATCCCTGCTTGTCACTTAGGCTCCGGGGGCACCAATCCCTTTCGGGCGCCTGCCATTGTGCTGCTCGTGACCGAGGGAAATGCCTCGCGCGCCGCTGCTCCCCTTCGTGGCCGCTCTGCTCGCTGCTGCTGCTGCTGCTGCTGCTCCCCCGTAGACCGTCGCCGTCGTGGGCGTGGCCGTGGCCCTCGGCCGCTCGCTCGCTCGCTAAGGCGGCAGCCCATGTTGATTTCGGCCAGGTCGGGGCTGCCCGTGCTTGGCTGGCTGGCCTTCTCACTCTCCCATCAAGTCACGACCACAAGCACGCCCCCAATCAAGGCAGCTATCTTCCTCCGCGCTGAGACTTAGTAAGTCGGACCTCCATCGCTCCCGCTGCCTCTGCACCGCTCGCCTGCGCGCTCAAGCCCAGACAACGCGCCGCCCTGCCGCCCCCGCCCGCCCTGCCGGACGCGAATGCGCTCACCGCATCCCGATCGGCTTATTTGACGCGCGCGAGCGGCTCGTGGAGCCTGCGCGGTTTGTCATTTCGCTCCCAAGCCCCCCGGACCTCCCTCGCGTCGACGTTGATGGTGGTGATGGCCGTGAGCTGATGCCGAGTTGCCCTGTCTAGGAAGACTGATGGACGCGTCCGCGCAATGAACTTCGACGCCCTCCAAGCAAATAATGGCTACCTCGACTCCCAGAACTCGCTCATCGACCCGTCCATGTTCAACACCAACAACATCGACCTGAACGCCTTCCAGAACCCCCAGCTCCAGCAGCAGCGCCTGCAGAACGGCAACGTGCGCAATGCCTCGCCCGCTGCCTTTCAGAACCCGGCCTACAACGTCAACCCCATCGTCCCCTCCAAGCGCCCGCGCCCGTCCGAGGACGCGTCCAGCGCCTCACCGCGCCCTACTCCCGGCAACATGAACCTGTCGCGATCGCAGACGCCCCAGCAGATGTCCTTCGCGCCCGGCGCCTTCCAGGGCAACCAGCAGGGCCTTCAAGCCCCCAATCCCTACCAGCACCTCCAGCACCAGGGCTCTTCCAACGCGACGCCCTCTCCCACAATGCAGAGCCAGCAGTTCCGCCCACCGCAACAGGCTCATCGCATGAACACCATGTCCCCGAACCCATTCCCCCAGGGTCAGAACATGGGCATGTCGCCCGCGCCCGATCAAAACAGTCGCGTCAACACACCGCAAAACCCTGCCATGGCGCAGATGGCCGCGATGAACATGAACAGCATGAATAGTATGAACAACATGAACATGATGCAAGGTTCGCCAACCGGCCAAGGCTTCAACCAGAACTTTGGCATGAACCCGGGCATGTCGGCTGCTGGCTTCAACGGCACCATGCCCGTGCAGGGCGTCGCGCTATCCCAGAATCTCCAGCAGCGCCAAGCAGACGCCCAGCGCATATACCAAATGCGCCTCCAACAGCAGCAGCAACAAATCGCGGCCAACAACATGGCGCAAAGACAACAACAACAGGCGGGCGGCATGAACATGCTCGGATCTTCGGGTCAACAGATGAACTCTGCGATGGCCATGGCTGGCGGCATGCGCCCGACCCAGGGAGGCATGCCCATGGGCAACCCGCCAAAGCAACAGGAGGCAGCGTTCCTCAATAACGTTCAAGCCTTGATGCAGGCGCAAGGGATGGCATTCAATCCTCAACCCATGGTCTGCATGCGCCCTGTGAACTTAATGCAGCTCTACGCCACCGTCATGAAGCACCGAGGATCCAGGAATGTCTCGAACAGCAACGGATGGTCACAAATAGCGCACATGATGGGATTCCCGCCACAACAGTTTCCGACCGCGGGGCAAGAAATTCGAATCGTTTACGAGTCAAACCTAGGAGCATATGAGCAAGCATGGCTGGCGAAGCAGCGGACCAAGCAGGGTCAGCAAGGCCAGATGCCGGGAATGGGCGGAGCTCCGCAGGCTTCGCCGGTCAAATCAATGCCAGGCGCACAGGACCTTGGAGCCCAGCAGCAACAGTATCTCCAGAGGCTTCGTAGCACCCAGATGCAGGCTCAACAACAGCAGCAACAGCCCATGGACCAGGCAACACCGATGCGGAATAACTCTATGCCCCAGGCCAATGGATGGGCGACTCCACAGCCAGATCCCAATGCAGCAGCTCAGCAAGAACAACACAGAAAAAGCATGAGCCGGCAATTGGAGTCTACGCCACAACCGCAGCAGACAGGGTCAATAATAACGCCTTCGCCTGGACCAGGCGAAAAGCCACTTGAGTCCATGCCTAAACGAGGATCGACCGAGGCGCCGGCTGTGAATGGGACCGCAGCACCAACCGAAACAAAGATCGTCCTGAGTTCGGATTACAAGCCAAAGGTTCGCACGCTTTTGGACACCCACGGTGGAGTCATGGTCGAGGGACAGGCGAGTGTGGGCGAGAAGCTTGCGAAATTGAAGCCCGACGTCCCTGGCGTGGAAGAGATGGGCATCATTGACATGCGCGCAATCAGTCTGTCTCTCCAGTCCGGAATCAGTCGGGAGGTTCGTTTCGCTTTGGATGTCCTTGTTCGGTTGTCCCACGACCCCCGGCTACATCTGGAGCTGGAGAAGTGCGAGGATTTGATAGACGCAATAGTAGATTGCGCCGAAGACCAGGTCGATGCGCTTGCAGAAGACTCAGCCGAGGTATCCGACATCGTCGATCTCACATCATACGAAGACGCGATGCGAAATTCCCGTATGGAATTAGAGTCGCTGCAAGAGTCTCCTGAGTATGGAACTCAAGCCTACGAGCTTGATCGTTCTGCCGATCGTCTCATCGCTATCACCACCATCCTCCGGAACCTCTCGTTTTTCGAGTCCAACCATGCACTCCTCTCCAGCTCGATCGTTATCAAATTCCTCTCGAACACGATTCGTCTGCTTGGCACTCGGATCATGCTCCTTCGAAACAACATCAACACCGTGGATTTCATGAAAGACATAATAACCTTCCTCTCCAACACCTCAGACAAAATAGAGTTGCCATCTCGAGATGACGCATACAATATCCTCTGTTTCCTTCTCGCATTTGCACCCTCACCTGCCCCCAACAACGGAACCACCATCCGCTTCACGCCGTATAACCCCGCAATCCATCGATATCTTCCACCGGCAGTCGATTGTTTGGCAAAACTTCTAGCACGAGACGACCCGAACCGTGCTTTTTACCGGCAAATGTTCCAGGCTGATGCCACTTCGACACCACCTTACGATTTGCTGACTCGTTCATTTGGTCTTGCAATATCAGTGGTTCCCGAACGTGGGCGTGGAGCCGAGCCGCGGATTGCTGAAGCCCGCAAGCCGTACCTCACTCAAGGCATGCTTGCGGCCGACATACTCGCTGGTCTATGCCCTGGCTCAGATTCTGGTGTTGCACGGTCGTGGCTGGTGGCTGAAGACGGATGGGCGAAAACATTGGTGTGGCTGTCGGGAATTCTGGCAGTGGAGCGGCAAACCCAACCTCCTCCACCGACCAGGGGGATGCAAAGACCTCCGCTCGACCAGCTGGATGTCGGCTTCGGGCTCATCACTCATCGAGCTCTGGCAATGCTGCGAAAGTTGGGCGAAAAGGCGCAGAGCGAGGAGGAAGCCCGCGAGAAACGCCTCTCTGTCGACTCTTTGCCGAAGGATGAGGTCCTACTTGGCGCTCTTTGCATGCAAAATATGGACGGAATCGCGCTCAAAAAGCTCTGCTCCTTTGCGGAGTTGAAGGGATGAGCCGCGGGGGATTTGCAGGCAGCTGGTACAACGTGGAAATGAATAAACGGAATTGGGAAAGGAGAGTGGTGTCAGTGGATTCTTTGGTGGCCGATCGGGATTTTTAATTGGATGGATTGCTTGAACAGGATTCTTTTCCGTGGGCGGAGGAAAATCAACCACAGGCTGGCTATGATGTTGCTTACTATTCGCGAAGGAAGAGCAAGGCACGAGAGACCGAGAGATAGGGAGGGCAGAACATTCAATCTTCTCTCTCACCTTTCTTCTCACCGCACTCATCTCTGTGAGTCTTTTGTCTTTCTGCTTGCCCTATTGGTCTTAGGTATTCTTCATTTTTATGTGTCTTCATCGAACTCTTTTTCTGCTGTTCCCTCTTCCTTCGCACAAACACCATCTGTTATGTAAAAAGAGAAAAGACGATTTGATGAGCCCTCAAGCTTTTTTTTTGACGAATGTATGGGGAATCACGCATGCAATCAGGCAGAACGCTGGTCTTCACGTTTGGTTGGTACATTACTTTCTCCCTTTACGTTTTGCTTGGTCTGGCCAACGTTGCTCTTGGTTGTGGATGGCTTGGACTGATGTGATGTCAGCTTGTACTGGATGAGATGTGAGGAGTCGACGTTGGGCGTATGAGTTCGATTCTTACTGATTTTGTCAGTTTGTGAGCACTGAGCGAGAACAGGAACGCCTTCATGCTTGTTATTGTTAGCGGTATCAATATTGATGTTTGGGGAGGCAGATTCTTGGTGTGTATAGAACAGACAGTGGTCAATGCAGTAGCTTCACCACTTTGATGAAATCGATCTGATTTTCAACATCTGCCTCTAAGGTGACTCTAATAGCCCACAGGCTGATCTGGCCCGACCATTCTTAAAAGTATTCACAGCCCTTTCTTCCCGTAATGTCCGAACGAGCGCACAGCAGATTGTGAAGCAGCCCGCTGAGAATGCTTCTCCCCTTCTCTGAGCAATATTCGCGACTACATCGGATGTGCGACATAGTACAGCATGAGCCAGAAACAGCATTTTGTGCAATGTGTGTTGGAGGGTCATGCTGTTGGACCGCAGAATAGAACGAACATGGTGGAGGTATCAACAGCATTCTCAAGCTGCTTGTCAACCATTGTGTCGCCGCTTGCGCTGCCCCCGATGGCATGGGCTCATTAAGTGGGTCTTCCAATTCACAGGTGTCAAGTAAAACTCAATCAGGATCATATCGACGAGAATGCCTATCTGCCTGGGATGCACCGCCACGACGCTGATACGGCGACGAGCGGTAGGGCCGCGTTCGGGAATGCTGCCTTGACGGCCCTGCACGATCGCTTTCCGACGACATTTTGACTCTCGCCGGCCCGTTGCGCCGGTGTTCCGCATCTTCTACGCTTGTAGGCAAGGGTTCACGGTACTGGACATGCCTGTCCCAGTCCTCAAGCCTCGTGTATGGACTCCGCAACCAAGCACCTAGCTCATGCAGGAAAAGCCGCGCATGGTTCCTTCCGATGAATTCCTGCAGCATGTCCTCGGCCTGGCCAGTTGGACCCTTGATATCCATCTTCTTCAGGATCGCTAGTATATACTCGAGGAGAAACTCGGCATTTCCGACGCGACGGCTTGCGGTTTCCGAGTCGTCGGCAGCTTCAGGGTAGAGGAAACTGAAGACACGAAGCTCTCTGCGGATGAAAGCGCGAGCACGGGACTGCAGGTCGGGCGAGGAGGCAACCGTTTGGGGTGTGAAGTTGGCGTAGCGGGAGATGCGATTGGTGCCTACGTGCATGGAGAAGAGCTCGTTGCGGTAGACGTAGCGACGGCGGACCAGGGCTATGTCCGGGCTTGGAGACGGACTGCGGCGGGCAGGACGTCCTTGTCTATAACGGCGCTGGACAAAGGGTCGGGAATGACCACGGGTTGCCGACGAAGCGGAGGAGCTCGATGCGGCGAGCTTGGTGGTTTGGACATTGTATGTCTTGAAGTCTTCAGGCGAGCGCCAGTCGTACTGGATTTGCGAGACGTCGGCCTTGCACAGCGGACAAGTGGAGCATTGCTGAAGCCAGCTGGCGAGGCACAGGAAGTCAAAGCTGTAGTGGTTGCATGGAACGGTTATGGCGCGCTCGGAGATGGGGTCGAGGCAAATGACACAGCTCTCGGGCGCAACATCCTTCGCTTTGCCCTTCTGTTGGAGTGTGCCATCCGGTTCCGAGCTGGTGGAGTGCGGAGGCGCCGAGAGTGTGTCCATGCAAGAGATGGGTGGTGTTTGAGCGGAGGAGACGGAGGCGAGTGCGGAAGTGACGATGACGCGCCGCATCCAGCCCGGCGCGTTGCGATTTTGACCGCGCAGCCTGTCCTGCACCTCAACGACTACAACCCCGCCATGCCACGCTGACCTCCTCTTCTCCGCCCACTTTCGCTTCTGGATGCTCCGCCTGCTCCGCACACCGTCGCCCGGACTAGTTCGCCGACTCAGCATCATGCCGCAACCCATGATCAATGGCTCCGCAAATGGTGCCGCTGGCCCAACCAGCACTCACACCGTCACCATGCTGAAGAGGTGGTCTTGCCAAGACAAGGACCTCCCAAGTACGATGCCCTGGAAGCACTCCCTCGAAGAGATTCAGCGCTAACAGGCGTGCAGGCGTCCAGCAGATCAAGAGTATCCACGTCTACGACTTCGACAATACGCGTACGTCCCTCCTGCGTGCTACGCCCTCTCTCCGCCGCCTTCTGACGTCTCCTAGTCTTTGCGAGCCCCCTTCCGAACAAGCAGGTCTGGAACGGTCCCACCATCGGCCAGCTGCAGTCGCCCGATGTCTTCGTGAATGGAGGATGGTGGCACGACGCCAGCATTCTGGCCGCCACGGGTGAGGGCGTGGAGAAGGAGGAACCGAGGGCTTGGAACGGCTGGTGGAACGAGCAGATTGCCACCCTTGTCGAGCTATCGATGGAGCAGAAGGACGCTCTAACCGTGCTGCTCACTGGTCGTTCAGAGGCGCCCTTTGCCGAGCTGATCAAGCGCATTCTGAAGGCCAAGAAGCTCGATTTCGACATGATCTGCCTCAAGCCTGCCGTCGGTCCGCAGAACCAGAAGTTCTCGAACACCATGACATTCAAGCAGGAGCTCCTTGGAGACTTGGTCTACACGTACAAGGATGCTGACGAGATTCGCGTCTATGAGGACCGGCCCAAGCACACCAAGGCTTTCCGCGACTTCTTTACCAACTTCAACAAGGCTCTGCTCTCTCCAGATCCTCCTGTTGCACGTAAGACCATCACGGCAGAGGTCATCCAAGTTGCTGAAAACGCAACATCTCTCAATCCCGTCACCGAAGTCGCCGAGGTTCAGCGCTTAATCAATGCGCACAACGCCCTGGTTAAGTCTCGTCAGACACCGGCTGGAGTCAAGCCATATCAGATCAAGCGGACGGTCTTCTTCACTGGGTATCTGCTTGAACCTCCCGTCACCGAGCAGCTCACTGCCGCTCTTCTTGACAGCTTGCCCAACAGGCCCGATAGTGATATCCGGATCCTTGCCAACAGTATATTGATAACTCCTCGTCCGGCGCCGAAGAGTATCCTTGACAGGGTTGGTGGTATTGGCAAGGTCCAGCGCTGGCGTGTCAACGGCTTTGCGCTTTTCGAGAACCGGCTCTGGGCAGCCCGCGTGTCCCCAGTGCCTGCCAACTCTCGCATCTATACTGAGAATCCCACTCCCACTATCGTACTCGCCTTGGGTCGTGGCGCGAAGCCAGTAGATGCTGGCCGCATCCAGAACTGGCAACCCGTGTCCGAAGACAAGGCATTGGAGTTCGACAGCACCGTCGGTGAGAAGGTCCTGTTGAGACTGGAAGACGAGCGCCGTGGTGAGAGCGAGTACGAGTCTTACTTCCCTGGAAACCGCAAGCGCGCCAGGCCGCGCGACGATGAAATGGAGCTCGACGTCAATGACAAGAACGCATTCCCGGCTCTGGGCGGTGGCGCCCGTCCGCAGCCGCCTTCTCAGCCCGCTGCGTACAACAACAGCTACAACCACGCCAGCGGCCAATCTGCATACTCCGTCTATAACCGCGACGAGAACAGGCGGGCCCCTGGAAATGGCCCACATCAGTTCCGTGGGAATTACCAAGGTAGGGGCCGAGGTGGTCCCCATGGTGGTCGTGGCGGACGGGGTGGTCGCGGTGGTTACAACGCTGGCAGAGGCGGCAGGGCGCGTCCCGGCCAAGGCCACTACAAGAGTCTTGATGATATGAACGATAAGGGGCCAGGTGGAGTCGGCTATGAGGATGGAGGCTATCCCTACTAATTGCTTTTATCTGAAAGAGGGAGGCATGGCAATGGGTGGGTCTGGAAGGCGTGAGTTGTCTGAATGGCTCATCGTCACGCAGTCTCAAAGCATATCTGGCGTAGGGTGCTTGGTTCAGCTTCAAAAGGTTGATGGTTTCTTAGGCATGGGTTCCTCGGGGTTCTCGGAGTGGACGGTCAAATGCGCGGATACCAGCTTCTGCTGCTTCTTTTCAATTTTCACCAGGGTCATTTTCCGGAAGTATCATGGGACGTAAGGTAGAGGCTTGTGAAAAGATATGTGGCTGACTATCAGCAGACGTAACAATGGCTGTTCATCTTCTTTGCTCCAGAAATAGTCAGTCTCGCAACGAGGTGCTTGACGCTGAGCTGTAGCATATCCTATCCGACTCCTTACAACTGTGGACGTTAGGTTGCTAAGTGTATAAGCAATGTTTGACACCGTTACCGAAAGCATTTATAAAGAAGTGAATGAGCACTTGGTAGAGATGCTCAATTTTAATCAAAAAGGTGTGGGGACTACGATATCAAGATGCCTTCCCTAGCCACAACGAAACCTATGGTTATCTAGGAGCTACTGAGCACCACGAACAAAGAGGTGGAAAAGCTCTTCATCCCACAGAATTACTTATGATTTAACAAGCCGTCCGTATTATCTCTGGTCATCAAAAACATGTTCCATTGTGGTTAAATATAAGTGTAGCTCATTCACGCACACTCTACCCGTGTTCATGCGGGTTGCCAAATCCAATGTGAAACATCAATCACAACTTCTCTATAATTGTATTCCTTTTTATGTAGCCCTCTGCACGATCGAGAAACAAGTTGGCAATTCAGTGGGGGCCAAATGCAGCAATGACGTATCACTGCGTCTAGGATCAGAGTCACACAAAACCCTCTTCGCCATTCGCCTTTGCTCCAACACCACATGCGAATCAAGTACATGTTACACCAGTGCTCCAGTTCTTTCACATATCCCCGAAAATGCCTGCCCAATACAAAGCACCCATTTCCCGAGATACTATCGTCGAGGTCGTAGAAAAAAGTAAGCCAACACATGTTTAGCGTATAGCAAGCTTCACTAACAATGAAGACGGCAATGGCCTGAATAAACGCACAAGCAAACTTGGTGATGAACTCGAGGTTTGTCTGTCACTCGAATCATTCAACGCGAGTGGAGCAGCGCGATAACCGAAGCCATAGCATCGGGACGATGATCGCCTTCGCTTGATGTAAGGTTCCCCGAGAAAGGGCAGGAGAATATGTCGCTGATTGGCAAATAAGATTTGCGGATCCCCAAATCCCACACAAAGACCTCAAGTCACTGGAGAACCTTCTTCCATGGGGCTTTCGCAAGATGATCGGTAGAACTGCCGGTGGAGGCACTGGATGCTGCACTTCTCTTGCAAACGGCCGTGTGGAACATGGTATATCAACTCCCCAACACTTGACTAGAAGATCTTTCTGACTTGTAGAGTCTCTTGGTTCTTTTTCTTGTGGCAGGTGCTGGAGGGTGTTGAGTCGACCTCGCGGGGCCCCAGGCCGTGCACACGCTGGTCGTACATCGACGTCCTGATATCATGGAACTCCGAAACGAACGTTACCATGGTTTTGTACCTAGGGGACCTGGGAAAAATGACTTCCTCACTTCGAAGCAAGCTTGAAGCCGCGGTCCGCAGCGGTGAAGTGTGGCGTGATCCGTACGCCTGGCACCGGCTCATCATTGACGAAGTGGACGAGATTTACAACGATCGCGTCTGGGCCCTGCAGGAGTTCATCGGACGCGTTGAATCGGTGAGTCGTGAATAATGTTCAACCGTCACCTTACACTGCTGTAGATCACTGATCAACAGTCAGGATCGATCCCCCGATTTTTATGATTTTGACCTCATGCATGACATTGGAAGGCTGCTTATCCAATCAAATGAAGTATTGGAGAGTGCCATCAATACTACCAGATGTATAAGGAAATCTCATGAATTGTTGGAGGCAGAATTGTCAAGATTTTCAGAAGTGAAAGTCGATACCGCTTCCACAACATCATCGGGAGGACGTCTCAAAAAAGGCCACTGGACCGGGAACGAGAATGACAGGATACTGTTCTACCGTACACACCAAGAGCTTGGCCAGCTCGGAGACTGTTTCCTATCAACCCTGATGTTCTCTAGAACAGTGCGAGACCGCCTCCAGAACGAGATCAATCTTGTCAGTCTATATAGGCTCAACAACGCGGAATAATTAGCTGACTGGAAATTCAGGCTTTCAACCTCGTTGCACAGCGAGATGGTCAATTAGCCCGGATAGATAACATGACCATGAAGACTATTGCTGCAGTGACACTTGCTTTCCTTCCAGGGACGTTTGTCGCAGTAAGTGTCACGACAAATGCCATCTCTGAGAAGTGCTGATAGAATTCATCTAGTCTCTTTTTGGCATGAACTTCTTCGACTTCTCTCCCGAGGGTGGCCAGCAAACGTGGACAGTCTCAGAGAAAATGTGGATTTATTGGGTCGTTACTATCCCTCTGACTGCTCTTACACTGGGATGCTGGTGGGCGTGGGACTTTGGGCAAAGAAAATGCAAAATTGAAAGGGTCTCGCAAGCCGCACGCCTTCGAAGAGCAACCACGCAGGGCGAAAAGCAAGATCTTCAACGACACACGGTGTGATAAGATGGACATCATCTCATCACGGATGAGATGACAAAGCATGTAGCCGTGAAATCACCACTTCATTAAAGATGGCTCAAGTAAGTGTACGCGCAAAACCCAAATCCACCTCATATGGCATCCGAAATATCCAGCCAGCACTCGTGAGAACGCTGTCCAATTTTGTCCACCCTCTCTGATCAAATTCCAAATTATTTCTAAAGCGCCACGAAACCTTCACACGAAAATAAGTGTCTACGTATTCTTATTACTATAGTAGTGATTAAGCTTCTAACTATCGATAAAGATAAACGTTATTTTTTAAAGAATGTTGACCGCATGATCCATGAGTTGGATTGAGGCTTAGCGAGTGGTGGCTGGGTATTTCGGATAAGATACGAGATGAATTTGGCTTTCGCCTCGTAAGTTTATTGTGTATACGTTCCGGCCAATGCGAGACTCTCCAAACCGAGAGATCTGTGTGTGGAAGATTCTAGACGTCTTCGAGTAAGGCATCCCCCCAGTAATTACCGTTGCCAAGTGCCGTTGATTGGCAGAGACCCTGAATACCTTAATTGTCACTAACCCGGGAACGAACTAAAACACCGTTGGCCACGACACCCTCACCATCGCTTCACCGGTCTGCTGAGAAACCCTATATACCCTGCAGCCCTGTCGCCTGATCTCCACAAGCATTGACTTGTCAACAAGGAGCGAAGCTGATGGTTCTCGAGGGGCCGTGCAGGACGGGCATCGAAACAGAGACAAGGACGTGAGCATCAAATTCCAGACAGCGCCAGTTTCCGCTAAGCGCCATCATAAGCCCTCTTGAGAAGCGGTAAAAATAGACTCACCGCTCATGTCTTTCTTTTTCCGACCGCTTCCGATAGTGGTGGGTATGTAGTCGAAGAACGGGCGCATTGCCGCATTGGGTGAAGCGAGGACCCTTTGGTAGAGAGAATAACACCAAAAAAGCGGTGCGGCACCCTGTTTTAGAGACGGTGTAGGTAGTGTGCGGCGATTAGGCATGCAAGGCGGGAAGCGCCCAAGTCACAATAGGGGGAATGTCTTCCCTGCTCGTGGGATACGCGTATGTGCCGTCGAGGGATCGTCTTCCCTGAAGCGTCATTTCTGGGGTTGATCGGCGGATTGGGGGGAAATGGCCGCTGGATGCCTTGGATCAATGGCGAAAAACGGCATGTGCGTAGTCTTGCCCTATGTGAGTAAGCGTTGCGATTGCGCAAAAAAGGTGGGTAGGTATGAATTGAGGTTGTGGTAGTGAAACGGGCTAAAGCTTGACCCTGCATAGCGCGATAGGCCTAAGTAAACGACAAGTCTCACAGCAGTAACACTCCGGTGGTCAGTAGGCATGGAGGGTTCGTGACCAGCTTGATCGAGAATGGAAATGGAGGATGAGCGGTGGGTACTTTTGCATTTGTCTTGGTTTTCCGGGGTCATGTGGCATTGTTTACACCAAACCCTCGTGCTATCTTCCTTTGAAGGTGACCTTGGGCAACTTGCTCAATGGGAAGCAGCTGCATGTCATCTGAAACGTAGTCCAGATGACGTGGGAGGTAATGGTACAGATGGGTGATGACTTGGGGATCAACGTTAGCCTCCTCATCAGTCCTGCCTCGATATTCTTTCAATCCTTCGACTTTTTGCCCTCGGCTTCCTCAGTGTCGAGCCTTTCCTTACGCCGCTGGGCAACGTCCCAGTTGTACACCCGAGCGGTAGCGACCTCCAGCGTCTACAGCAAATCAGTCACCATGATCCGGGAGCGTGAGGGGATACGCACAGTGATCTGCTCGCGCAGGAAATCCAAATCCTCCTCGCAGTTGGAGAGGCTCAGCTGCGCCGTCTTGAGCTTGTTGTCAAGCAATTCCTCGGCCTCTGGGATGGGGTACGCCAGCATGACGTTTGCCTGCACCCAACCGTCAATATCTCCTTCTTCTCCTAAGCGTATCCACATACCCCGAGCCAGAGGTAGACCTCCTCGGTGGGGGGAATCTGGGCCTTTGCAAAGAGCGTGTCGTTGAGCTCGAACGTCGTCTCAATGGGGTCGGAGCCGGGCTGGACGAATTTAGCGTAACGTCCCTGGTGGTACGGCGGGAGTAGACGTGCGCACCTTCTTCGTCTTCAAGAAGCGGACCGTGTCCAGCGTCTTCTGGATGTCGGGAATCTTGTCCTTCAAGCCGGTAGCGCGGCGCTCGGTGTTGACCTGCATGAACTGGTATTTGCTGCCGTGCCTGTGTGAGGACCGAGAAACCATGCGGTGCCGGGAGGGCAATGGGCACGCACGAGATCATCTCCTGGAAGCTCTTGAGGGTGGGCTCGACATCGTCGCGGGTGGTGACATAGTCCTCGACCTTGTCGACAAAGGGCGCGTAGGGAATGCCGCGCGGGTTGGTGGGAGCATCTTTGCTGCTGAAGGCGATGATGAGTGCATGGCTTCGCAGGGCTAGGGCGGCGGTACCTTGCTCCCTGGGCGGGCGTGGCCATGGCTGCGTGGGGGAGGGGCGGCGGCGGTGGTCGCTTTTCCGCAGCAGGGCTTCTCGGGCAAGCGTCACGTTCGAGAGGGCGGGCGGGCCAAGAACGACTGCAACTGCCAGCCCCGCAGTGCGGCCAAGCGCAGGAGCCATGTCCGCATCATCAGCCCTACAACTCTCGCCATCACCGCCGCTTACGCATCGCCGTCGCACCCGCCCAACCGCCCGCTTCTCCCGTAAGCCATGCGCAGCAGCCCTTAATCTCCTAGTCTTCTGCTGGCGCCGCCGACAATCCCCTGCGCTTTCCCAATGTAGCTGCAAGCTGCGCGGCCCCCTGTGGTTCGTCCAGATAGGCGAGAGGCGCCGTGTATCAGGCAGCGCAGACGGCGCCACGGCGCATCCAACGATCGACGCCGACGTCGCTGCATGCCCATCATGTCATGCCAGCCCGCCCCGTCCAATCCATCCGCCCCAACCCCTCCTCCCGAGACAGGCCAGAGAGCGCCGCCCACTAAACCACTCTTGCTCCCGTCGGACTTCAGTGAGGAGGAAGTCCGACACACGAATGATGTCGCTGTCCAAGGTGGTATTGATGTCGTTCATTTTCCCCTTCGGGATCCAGTGATGCGCAACGCCCAAAGATATGTGACAAAAACCAAGGATCCTTCGCGGGCGATCGATTCTCGGCTCTTTCTTGTTATGGCAGTTGCTGTCTGCTCATGCTAGGGCTGGGCGTGATCAACACATGTCGGGGCCGAAGGCTAGAACTTTGGGTCCTAAGTGGATCGAATTTTTTTTGTGGTTATCTACAGTAGTAAGGAGATAAGCTGTGTATGCTAGTGTATTTCGAGCAGACGAAAGGAAAAACAAAGGGAATTGCGTCTCGCACAATTTGCCGTCCCAAAGTGCTAAACAAGAAGACCCAACCAACCGTCTAGATGAAACGACCCTTTACTCCATAGTAAAGAAAATCATCATGTCATCAAACAACGTGTCGACCAAATGTAACGCCATATGCCGCCCAAACCAGAACTCTAACGCGCACTTTGCTTGCATCAAATACATAAGAAACAGCCAATTTCTATAGCTTAAAGGCTCATGCCTTCCCTGATCAGCTCACCCAGCTTCTCAGCCTGTGAAGTAGAATTAGTGCTTGCTCTTCATCGTTGCTAGTCAGAGGATCAACTTACATAAGGGTCCTTCATCATCGTGAAGTGGTTACCACCCATGACACCGAACTTCATCTTCTCTACTGGGATGATCTGGCCCCAGCCGTTGTCACCGAACTCGGTGCGGTTGTTGAGAAGCCAGGTCATGGGAGCCGGATCCTCCTCCTCGCCGGGCGGCGGGCGGGGGTCGTCGGGGTTGGGGCAGACGCCGTCAGTGCACCAGATGGCGTACGTCTCAGGCGCCCTGTCCTGCGGCATGGGAACGGGCTCGTACTCCTTCAGCGCCTTGATCGAGGCCGCGAAGTGGGGCAGGAGCCAGCCGGGCGTACCACCGGGCTTGCCGGTGCCGAGCAGTCCGATCGAGTCGAAGAAGTGGTGGAGACGTGCGGGAAGCGGGTCGAGCTCGACGGGGCAGGGCGAGTCGAGCAAGAGGAGCCTCTCGACCTTCTCGCCGTCAGCGAGGAGCTGCTGGCAGACCTCGTAGGCGATGACGCCTCCGGCAGACCAGCCACCGATGTAGTACGGGCCCTCGGGCTGGCGGCGCTTCATCTCGTTGAGATAGAGCCTGCTGACAGCCTGGATGCCGCAGTCGAACTTCTCCGGGCACTTCATGAACGGGCAGTTCAGGCCGTACACGGCGAGGTCGGATGAGAGGTTGGGGATGGAGATGTACGAAGTCGCAGAACCAGATCCATCAGGCAAGAAGAAGAGCTTCTTCGTGGCAATCTTGGCGTTTCCCTGAAGGAGGACGGAGTTCGCAGGCGGGAGGTGAGAGACATCGATAGTCGAGCTGAGCTTCTTGTTCACCTCGGAAAGCTGGGGAGCCTTGGTCACCTTAGGAGCCTTGGGCTTGGGAGCAGCCTTCTTCTCAACCTTGGCTTCGACCTTCTTTTCCTGAGCCTTGGGCTTCATACCGAGGGCATTCTCAATATCCTCGATCGTGGCGTTGGTCACCAGGAAGGTCGACGGGAGGTCGACTCCAGTCTGCTCACGCAGCGCACCGAGGATGGTAAGGCTCATAAGGGAGTCCATGCCAAGCTCGGCCAGATCGGCCTGGTCGCTGATCTCAGAAGTCGGCACACCCATCTCATCAGAGATGATCTGACGAGCAAGGCTGATCTGCCCAGAGGCCGCACCAGTCGCCTTCACCTCGACGTACTCGTCCTTGCCGCTCACGCTGGGAGCAGAGCTCGGGGCGGAGCTGGGATCCGTCTCAGAGTCGTCGTCTTCGGGAGTGCGAGGGTCAGACGCCTCCGACTCAGTCGAGTCCTCCGAGTCGACAAGAGGGGCTCCTCCATCGTACTGGGCGAAGAACTTCTTCATCTCGCCAACCGTAGGGTAGTCGGTGAAGAGCGTCGAGGAGATGTCGAGATCCAGGTCCTCACGGAACTTGGCAGAAATCGTCAGAGACATCAGAGAGTCGACACCCATGTTCTCAAAGGCAGCTTCATCGACGAGCTCGGACATGTCGAGATCGCACTCCTCGGCGATGATCTTCATGACGCGGGTAGTGATGACATTGCCCGAGGACTTGGGCTGGGCAGCCTTGGCGGGCTTCTTGGTCTTGGTCTCAGCGACGGCCTTGGCTGCGGCCTTGGGAGCCGCGGCAACAGGTGCCTTCGCAGGAGCAGCCGCAATGGCGGGCTTTGTGGGCCCAGCGCCAGCCTTCTTCGGAGGGGGAAGCATGACGTTCAGAGCGCGGCGCGGGATGTTCTGGAACTTGAGGCCAGTGACAAGACCGACACACTCATCCCCGTCGAAAATGTAGACATCACCCTGGGAAATGTTTCCGGGAGCGGGCTGCATGCGCACGTAGTTGCGGTACTTCTTGTCGGCCGAGAGTTGCTTGGAGAACTTGACAGACTTCCAGCCGTGGGAGATGTACACACTGTTCTCCGAGTCAACAAGGTCAGAGGCGTTGACGATGAATCCAGAGATGTGACAGGCGCCGTCGATGATATACGGAGCCAAGAAGAAGTTTCCATCCTCAGGCTTGTTCTGGAACTGCAGAGAAGCAGTAGCCTCGGTCTGCTTGCCGTCAAGGATAACTTCTTCCATCGCCCTGTAGGAAGGAGCGTAGTCAACAAGCGCCTTGAACAGCTTGTAGGCCATGCCGCGGAGCACCTTGTGCGCGCGTCCAGTCTCGAGCTTCTCCTTGAGGAGGTCGATTTGAGTCTGGACCATGAAGGAGGTGCGCTGCCACTCCTCCTTCCAGGCATCGAGGTCCTCGTAGATGACACAACCAGTGGCGTGCGTCTGGATGGTCTTTCCCTCGGAAGTGACACTGATGAACTTGAGCGAAACCTCCTTCTGCTCCAGATCAGCCTCAGCAATGAGCTGGATCAACTGGCCCTCGGGAGGGGGAGGGAGCTTGGCGATCAAGGGCTTAGGAACCTCCATCTTGCAGAAGTTGTATCCGACCGGAGCCGCACCAGGGCGAAGTTGCTTGTAGAGGTAGTCCGCAGCAGTCATACCCATGTCGGCGTACAAAGACGATGGGCACAAGGGAGCCTCGTTGACCAAGTGGCCAGTAACGCACTTGTGGAGCGTGGGCTCCGTAAGGTCAGACTCGAAGATCACCTTGCCAGAGTTGGCATGGAGCTCCTCCTTGACGATGCGCTGGCAAGAAGTGGTCGAGAACTTGGACTTGACCGGAGCAGCGGGCTTGGGAGCCTCGATGGCAGCCGGAGCCTCGCCCTTGGTGAGGGTCCAGTTGTTGTGGTAGTCGAGCCAGTACTTCTTGTTGTCGAAGCTGTAGGTGGGCAGGGGCAGCAATTGCTGGGCATCGTTGAACTCCATGTGGAACTCGTTGAAGTCGATGGGAACACCCGCGGTGTAGAGAGTGCACAGGCTGGCGGTCAGAGTCTTCCATGGGTCCTCGTTCCTGCGGAGAGAGGACGCGGTGGTAGGCGTGCCGTCGAGCGACGACTTGACCATGCCGGAGCAAACAGGGTGCGCGCCAATCTCGAGCCACACCGTCTTCTCGTCAAAGACCTTCTCCTCCTCGCCGGCGGAGATGGCAGACCAGAAGTTGACGGTCTCGCGGGCGTGCCTGGCGAGATACTCGGGGCCAATGATGCCGCTCTCGCGAATGACCTCACCAGTAAGGGGAGACAGCACGGGAACAGTCGGCTTGTGGAAAGTGACAGCGGATGCAACAGCCTTGAAGGACTCGAGGATCGGCTCGACCTGAGCGGAGTGGAAGGCGAAGGGAACCTTGAGCTTGGTAGCCTTGAAGCCCTGGGCGCCAAGCGCCTCGTTGACATCGTCGATAACCTCGAGGGTACCGCAAAGGACGGTCTCTTCTGGGCCGTTCATGCAAGCGATCTCGGTCATCTTGGCTCCGAGAACGTTGGAGATAGACTCGGCGCTACCCTTGACAGCAAGCATGCCGTGAGTGTACTCGGTGCAGTCGGCAATAAGGAGCTGCGCCCTGCGACCGACCAGGAGAATCATGTCCGCGGCAGAGATGACGCCCGCAACGTGCAGAGCAGCGTACTCGCCAAGGCTGTGACCGATAACAGCAGTGGGCTTGACGCCCCAAGCAGCCCACATGCGCGCCAAAGCAACCTGAATGCAGGACATGCCAAGCTGAATGACCAGCGGGGAAAGCGTGGTGACGTCGGTGCCATCGAGCAGAGGAATGAACGATGGCAGCCCCTGAATGCGGGCAAGGTTATCCAGCTGTTCGATGTCAGCCTTGAACGAGGGCAGGTCCTGGTACAGCTTCTGCGCAAGACCGGTGTACTGAGAGCCCTGGCCAGTGAAAGTGAAAGCCGTCTTAGTAGCGACCATGGCGATGGGGCTGTAGGAGTCCTTGAGCTGGGCCTGCAGAGCATCCTTGACCTTCGACATCTCCGAGACGGCGACAGCCACGCGGTAGTTGTGCTGAATGCGACGAGCGGTCGTCGTGTACGCCAAGTCGGTCAGTGAAGTATCAGGGTTCTCGCCGATGTAGTCAATGAGGTTCTGGATGTTCCTCTTGAGCGAAGCAATCGAGCGTGCCGAGACGGTCACGATTTGCGAGGTACGCGGGTCCTGGACCTTCGGGGCTTCCTTCAGAGGACCATCCTCCAGGATGATGGCAGTGTTACCGCCAGCAGCGCTGAAGTTGTTGAGGAAAACTCTCCGGGGCTCCGCGCCCTTCCTCGGCCAAGCGACTTGCTTCTGCTCGATGTGAACATTGCGCTGAAGCAGATCCTTGGGGAACGTCTTGTTCATGACCCCCTTGATGCCGACGTTGGCGGGGATGGCGTTCTTTTTCATCATCATCATGACCTTGATCAAAGAGTTGATGCCAGAGGCAGCCTCTCCGTGGCCGATGTTCGCCTTGATAGCGCCGAGGTGAAGGGTCTCCTCGGGCTTGCGCTGGCGATGGCGGGGGGCGAAAACGTTGGTGACCGAAGTCATCTCGATGCCGTCACCAGCCTGGGTGCCCGTGCCGTGCATCTCGACGTAGCTGACATCGTGAGCGTCAACGCCAGCGTTGGCGAGGACCTTCTTGTAGAGGAACTCCTGAGCGCCAGCGTGCGGGTGGGTGATGGAGACAGCCTCGGCAGAGTGGTTGGTAGCAGCGCCGAGGATGCAGCCCAGGATGTTGTCCTTGTCTGCGATGGCGTCCTCGTAGCGCTTGAGGATGACGGTGCCGCAGCCATCACCACGGCAGTAGCCGTCGGCGTCGTTATCGTACGTCTTGCAAGATCCGGTCTTGGAGAGGAACTGGCCCTTGCTCAGGCCGGCGAAAATGTCGGGGTTGGTCAGCACGTTCAAGCCACCAGCGCAGGCGGTGTCGCAGTCGCCAGCCCACAGCGAAGTGCAGGCCAGCTGAATGGCGGCCAAACTGGAGGAGCAGGCGGTGTCGATGCTGTACGACGGGCCGGAGAACTTGAAGTAATAATTAATGCGTCCAGGAGCGAACGCACGGACACCACCGGTGATGAAGTAGGTGTCCACGTTCTCAGCCGCATTAATCTCACGCCAATCGTCTGAAGTCTGACCGTAGAAGGTGCCGATGCGGTGCAACTTGGTCGAAGGCGTGCGGTTAGGCACGTAGCCGGACATCTCCAGGGCTTCGTAGGCGGTCGTCAGCGCCAGGCGACCCATGGGGTCGGTCTGAGCGGCCTCGCGAGGAGACATGTTGAAGAAACGAGGGTCGAAAAGACCAGGCTCGTCGATGAAGCAGCCGTAGGGCGTGTGGCTCTTGTTCTTGCCCTTTCCAGAAGGATCGCAGTGAGCCTTAGCGTCGAAGCGATCGGACGGAATCTCGCGGTGGACGTCCAGGCCAGCCTCCAGCAGCTCCCAGAGCTTCTCGGCGCTGGCAGCGCTGGGGAACCTGCCCGACATGCCGACAATGGCGATCTTGTCGTTCTGCGTGCGGCCCGTGCCAGTCTCGGCAGGGCGCGCCCAGGACGACTGGTCCCTGCCGGTGATGGCGGTCTGGCCACCAGCCCTAAGCGCGGAGACAAGGCTGTTGGCGACATTTGTTACGCCAACGGCGGTAACCGAGCATTCCGATTTGCTGAACTCGGTTACCTGCGACACCACCTCCTCCAACAACCGGTCCCATCGCACGGGTTCCTGCAGAATCTCGCCCAGTGCCAGCTGGAACAGCTCTAGCGTAGACGTCGCGCTGTGGCACTGGCCAGTCACGGACGAGTGAACGAGGCACTGCGGGCGGTACTGCGAAAGGAACTCGCGCGCCTCGCTGTCGAGAATGCTGTCGACATCGGCCTGGCTGTGGAGGTGAGCGGCGTGGTACGGTGCGTACACAGGAATAGGCACGCGCGTCTTGCCCTTGACGGCCTCGGACTCAGCGAAGAAGCGCTGAGTAGTGGCGGGGGGGCCGCTGATGGTGATGGCCATCACGCTGACTGCGCTGACCCAAGCCTGGTTCGAGAGTGCGATACCCTTCTCTTGGTGGAAATCGGCCAGAGCGGTCTTAGCAGACTCCTCAGAGATACCTGCCACGATCGTGGACCAACTCTGGGGCTCTTCTTGGACGTGCTCCAGAGCGTCCCTGACATTTCCAACGACTGCACCGGTCCTGAAGGCAATGCGAACAGCTTCGATTGCGAGAGGAAGAAGGTCGCTGAGCGTCTTTGCTGATGCAACGGCCGAGGCAGCGAGGAGACCGGTGCAGAGGCCGAGAGCGCGAGTGTTGGCGAGGGAGGGGAGCTCGGTAGGGTTCTCGCCGAAGTACCTGCGCTGGTCAATATAGCGTATTACATGTGGAGCGAAGCGATGCTTACCCCAGGTAGTGCGAGAGCTGCGCAATAGTAACGAGTGCGCTCTCAATCTGCGGGATCTTCAGGCCCTTCTCGTAGTAGGCCTCGACCAACGAGGAGATTGAGAGGAAGTCCGGTATGCTTTCGCGCTGCGAGCGGGGCAAGCGCTTGGTCTCATTTCTGAGGGTGACACTGGCGCGCTCCAAGAAGGTGGAGAGCAGCGCATTGTCTTTCCGGAGGACAGCCTTCCGCAGAAGCGGGTACTGGTCGGCAGTCTGGTCGCCGAAGATGAGGACGTTCATGATGCTGGACTTCGGATTGGGGTTAGGGCGGAGAAGTAGGGAGGAAGTCCTGATATTAGATCGTGAAATCGGCGGTTGGCAGAAGCGAGCCCGTGAATGTGTGGAAGAAGAAGAGGGTTGGTTGATCAGTCAGTCATAGAAAGAAAGGGACTGATCGTCTAGGTATTAAGGACGAAAGTGGGAAGTAATGGGGAGTTGATGTCTATGGAGCCACTCAAGGGCGTTTGAGCTTGTTCTTAAGTATGGAGCATCGGAAGCGCTTGGCTTTTAATATTTGCCAGCGGGTGAATCCTGATCTTGATCAGTAAGATGTGAGCTTGGGCTGTGAGCTGTGGCGATGAGACGGCTAGCCTGTCCGGCGCAGTAGCATCAGGGATGCCGGAGACGCACAGTCAGGACCTTGACGTGAGGAACGGTAGGCGCGCCGCAGCACCCACCTGGTTGGTGCGAAACTAGGATGGTGGCGTGCATTGCTGGTAAGCAATGTCGCTATTGTTAGCACCCTGAGATCAGACTGGTAGAGGCTGGAGGTGTAGCTGCCGTCACTACCTTTCGGACATTGACAGGGGGTACGGGTCTCCTCAACCCGGGTCCTAACAACGTCCCACCGTCTGTGCTGTCAGCCAGCGTTCCAAAACAGACAGAAGTCTTCGGTTGCAGCTCCATCCCAGCTCTTGCAGGCATTGGATGCATGGCAATATCCAAGATCGAGTTCCGTCGAGCGGTTCATGTGCTCGCGCTGCCAAGGCGCAGCGCAGTACGGTGTTTTCGTGCACGCTGCCATGCCGTCACACGTGCAATGGCAGTCGCTCGCGACGTCAACGGCTGACGGCGGGCAGTAGCTGCGCCTGACGATTTGTCTCTCAAGCTCGTGCAGGCAGGGAGGGCGCATTCAACCCGCGGCACCGGGAAAGCTTGCGGTCCTGGCCAGCGCGCACCGGCCACGGAGGGCGGCGTCAACGCCTGAGCGAGATCTCGCAGCCGTCGCCGGCCTCCCAGAGCCGCAGGCTGACCTCTTGAGCGGATGTGCGCCGAATGGGTGAGGTGAGGTGCCCGAATCGACATAGCCCCGGGCCGCTGCTTAGAGTATCGGAAGGCTGGGCGGCGGCGGAGCGAGGGGAAAGGCACAGGATTAAGCGAGACACTGGCGGCGGCTGCAGTGCTGCTCACGGCGTCATAGCCACCCCGGGCTGCAGTTTGGCAGTCCTCAGGCGCCGACCCCTGGCCGCTCATCCTCCGGCATTGGGGAGATCGCCAGCCCAAGTCCCCAGACTGCACCCCCAGCGCTTGATCGTGATTGCTCGCGCTAGCCGGCCGGATCGATGCGGTAGCATATAAACGCGATATGGACCGCGGCGGTGTCGCGCGCACGCTGCCCTAGCCCGGGAGTAACACACACACTCGGTGCTGAAACGGCTGCGCTGGCAGGCAGGTCAGACGCTTGATATTCCCGTACCTATTCGGGGGCCAGGGCGCGAGCCGACTCGCTCGCTCGAAGGGGAGCAGGGCTCTGCATGGCCGACTAGACGGAGGACCGTTTCTAGACCGCACCGCGAATACGAAGGGTCCAGTTGAGCCTTCTGGTCCGGAAGCGTCCCCACAGCGACGGTCGCAGCGGGCAAGGCGGGCGTGGGTACCAGTCTTTCGTCGCCACCTGCATCCGCTTCGAGCGGCCGTCGCGGGAGGCGTCGCTGAGGGTCGAATGCGTGAGGGCGCTGGCGGCGAAGCAGCAGCGCGCTGGCCGACGATCACCAGTGTTGTTGTCCAGCGCTCTCCTAAACCGGCAATCTAAGCGAACGGCGGAACCCCATTGTCCGTCCCGCATGTGCTTCCATCCTCACAGCCTCCTCCACCACCAAGGCGCGTCTGCCGCACAACCCCCGCCAGCCCCGTGATGACAGCCAGCCCTTTCCACCGCTCGCTTAGCGCCCGCCGAGCGCGACACCGCCAGTGACACCGTCCCGGCCCTCGCCGCCCCCAGGAAAAACCGCCTGCCGTACGCCCGTCTGGCCGCCGTGAAGATTCCCCTCCGCATTCTGTGGGCCAAGCCCGAAGCTGGCGGCGGCGCCACACTCTGCTGACGGATCGGCGTATCCGCCTGTGCCAAGCTGACCGCATCTGTAGGCACCAGCCCGTCACCGCGCCGCCGGACTGTTAAGGCTGTGAGCCTCCAATTCTGGCCTCCGTATCTTTGGCTGGCCATCATCTGGCCCGTTTCAGCTAGCCGTTGTCGGGCTGTTCGAGAGATCTGCGACTTTATCGCACTCCCCAGCCTCGCGGACCAATTCCGGCCTGCATCCCCCGCCGCGTGCTTGTTTGTCAGCGCCCGCTTGCTCTGGAGTCATCTGCTTCTAAATTTCTCTGCTTCCGGGATCGCTATCTCCCTTGCAAACCCAAACACCTCGCCGGCGTCTCCCGTCCGATACACGGCTTTCCCTGCGCGAATGACGACGCATCCTTCGCTCGGAACCGGGTACCTGTATCCCACTGCCGGACCGTGGGACGTGTACATCTATTTTCACGTGTCCCGCGGTACACTCCGTTCCGCTGGTAGCGGGAGTTGCAGCGGCCAACTTTAACGCTGGTCCAGTGAGACGGCGGAACTTGCAGAATACCACAATATTGCTTACCTGATCATCATCATCCCCAACGGAGCATGACACGTCCCCGCGACTTGTTCCCGCCCCGGCCTCAGCTCCCCCGTGGGACAGCCGGTGCAACGCCGTCAGTGCGTTTCAGATGGCCGCAGAACTGCACCTACGTGCAGGATCTTTGTACTGGAGATATCCACGTTTCGGCAACCTCCAGCCTGCACCAACCACCGGACCTTGGCAGCGCACAGCAGACTGCCCAGCCTGTCGTTTGCTTCCTCCACGTGCCCGGACGTGACACGACTCCAACGACATCCGCCTCGGAGATCTGACATCTCTCCGACGGTTGTTGCGAGCACCGTGAAACTCAATTGCCCCTTGTGGGCAGCACCCCGTGGGTGCATGGCTGCGTTTTCGAAATGATCTCATTGTCGATTACAGCATCCGGACGGTTGGTGCTACTGGATGATTGAAAAGCCGAGCCGATCAATCTGCCGGCAAATGTTGCTGAGCAACGTGAAGTGCTGGGGCAGCCTATACCTAGCGTTGCTACAGTCGTACCACACTAAACTCAGGCTACCACGTTCGCTTTCGCATCGATCCAGGAATGTGCTGGCCCTGGCATAGTCTACAGGCAGCTATGCAAGGGCTAGGACAGGCTTCCAGTCCGCCTTAGAATCGCAACACATTCCCGAAATACTCCTCTTGATCAGCTTACTTACAGCGGGCCGAAAGTGACCAGAGCCGTGATCCCGGAAGCTGACAGCCTTCGCTAGCGCCCCTGCCTGCTGTAAATGCCTGAGCGCCACAACGACATGCTGAAGCGTCAGTAGGATTCGCCCTGCAGCAAGGCTACCTAACGGCCTCCTCTGTCTCGGACACCCGCCGGCTCCGTGAAAGCATTGATTTTTTAGGGGCCTTCCGGTTTCATAGATAAGGGCTCCAGATCGCACAGGACCCACAGTGGCATGGCAACATGCTGACGGAGGTTGTGGTGTGGAGGCGCCCACCAGTTGACACTGCATGTTTCCGCCACAAGGACTACCATGGATTATCTGACATGGAAAACCCCTCCGGCCATCAAGACTTTGTGCGATGAGATCAGTCCACGGCATCCGTACATATCATTGTTAACTCCGCTGTTGGGCTGCGCTGATCTCGTTGATCATGAACGGGATTGGTCCGCGCAGATCACTCAGGTCCTGCTTAGTGAGGCGAACGTAATATCTTTCTTTCGCAGCAGCAGCAGCATGCAGCAAAGCCGCCACCAGCGCACCCCTGTTGTCCATACGAGTTGAGGAGCCATTGGCGGCCGATGAAAAGCTTGCGGGCACAGAGTCAAGTATCGCCTAAAATATCTGTGTCTTGAGTGAAGCCTAAGCTCTCACCACTCCGTGTCCGAGGGAAGTGAACTGAGATTTTCTAAAAGCTAATTTCAAATACTATCCATAGGTTCATCCGTTCTGCAGAAGACCCTCCTCGAGGCTCGCTGCAGTGGGGCCCCGCGCGTGTTCTCCAGAAGGGTTGGAAATCGGAGCATGAGATGTCTTGCAGTAGCTGAATGGTAATCCCACCCCACAGGAAAACATTGGCCTTTCTGGCAGAAAGGCGCCTCGGAAGCCCCGCGTACACACACATTTCAACAGGCTCCGGAACGATGCGTTTCACTTCTGGCACCCATGATTCTCATTTCCTTTGGCTCTCGCCATCCTTGGGCGTGGACATCCACGAAAATCAGCGTTATCGTCACTTCCGGAGTTTCCGCTTCTGCACAATGCGGCCATCCCTCCCTATAGCACGCGAGCAAGGCCAGTTCAGTCACACTTGTTTGCCGAGTCGGGGATCCGAGTTGAGCCACGTCAAGGGAGTCGAGCCTCTACAGGTTGGGTGAAGATGCGAGTCGCGGAGGATGAAACAGGTGTCGAGGCCAACCGGACGCTCCCCACCTACTCAATCGTGATCTTCCTCGAAAGATTCTGTTGACCCTGCTAGCTCATTTGCTATCTCGGACTACAGTCGTAGAACACTCGAGGCTCTTCTTACTGAGGGGGCTCACCGCATATGCTTATACAGCACCATTGAGACGCGTATACTGATAATGCCCAGTCTTCATGTACAACGAGGTTGGAAAGGATGTAGGCCATGTCAAAAAGGGGCAACACGCCGATGCTGGAGCACATCATCATACTTTCTTCCATCGTCGTTGGCTGTCGGCAGGAATCCGTTGACCGTGATGCCCGTCGATCCAGGCAGGCGGTAACTCGCTTACACGGGTTGTCGTTACTCGTTACGGATTGCAGTTGCGCCAGGACTGGACCAGTGGCATCTTGGCAGGAAAAGCAAGCATGCGCATGCCCACAGTGTGCTCAGCCCAGTGCCAGATTACTCGAATTGATCCACAAAAGCAAC